ATTGAAACGGGCAATCTCTGATACAATAGTCGAAAGATTATTTTCAGTTTCAAAGAATACTACATCGGAAAAAAGAACCAACCTACATTCCGAAAATATCAACCAAAAGTTATTTTAACAAAAAATTTAACTTTGTTGAAAGAGCTCTTCTGTGAGAATGGAAGAACAAGAACCATTTCAATGTCATCAACAACCACAGCCTCGTCTGCAGATTCAATATCAATATCTATTATGCCCAAGCAATCAAAATTTGATGATGAAGACAATTATAATAGTTTGCATAACGCATGAAAACCTTTACGAAAAAATAAATGAACGTCATATAGCTGTTGGTCATTCTGGAAGAGATAAGACATGGGCTGAGGTTTAGTGGCGTAACCAGAAAATTGTGGGTGCCCTGGCGGTGCCTTACAAGCTTTAAAACAAATTATTCACAGTAGTTAATTTTTCCCAAAGTTCAACTGAATTACCCAATTTTCCCTCAATTACAGAGAGAGACAAAAACAATGTATCTGCTATTTTATTAAGTTAAACTAAACAGCAAAAGCATCAATAATCTTTTCATAATCAACGCAGAACTCTCGTTCAATTGCTAGTAACGATACTGTAAAGGATCAATTCGATCACAGTGATGGCAAAATTAAAAAGAATGCTAGTAACGATAAATCGCTAAGCCTGTTGTCGGACATGCTCTTACGTGTAACAGTTTTAATGAGCTTCATTTTACTAAAAGTCCTTTCTGTTGGTGTAGATGATACTGGAATTGTCATTACACCGATAAGAAGTGAAAGAATACTTGAAAACGCTTGTTCGAATGGTAAAACTTCAAAATACAAATCGATCATATTTTTCGGTTTTAATTGTGTTAACATTGGCTTTAGTACTTGAATTCCATCATTTAATAATTGAATATCCGATTTTAACATTACACATAAAGCTTTCAAGTACAGCGCCACAGAGACAATATTTCTTAGCATAAACTGCATCTGCATAAGATCATCGTATTAAGATGTGATGCAGAGCATGACAATCAGACATTCTAGTTCTTAATACACTACTTATAAAATAATCAATTACTTATTTTGTTATGCGATATATATATATATATATATACAAAAATTAAAAATAAACAAGCAGCTGATATTGCTCTTTAATTAATGCCTATAGTTTATTCGATTGATGTCACTTACTAATTGTTTTTTTTCAGAGCTATCGCATCGCATATACAACAATAAACTACAAACATTTTAATAGTGCTTATTAATTTTTTCTTTTGACAGGTGCCCTGGTGGTGCCAGGGCTAGCCCACCGCCAGCTACGCCACTACGAGCCATAGTGGTAGTGACTGAATGATTTCTATAATCTTCTTCACGGGCGTTTGCCTCAAAGTTATCAGATGGGCATTATAACCATGTTACAAATCCAGAGACAACAAACAGGCACAATTAAATTCTTATTGCTACACCCTACTATTTGAGTCTACGGATCATATAATAAGAATAATGAACTATGAACGACATATAATAGATAAAATAATCATTACATTCGAAAATATTTGCCAGATGTGAGATCTCTTATTACTGATGTTATTTCATACTTTTATAACTAATAAAGATTGTGGAACAGACTTCATAAACAACCTCATTCAGTACGAACTGTTGTTGTTGTTGTTGTTGTTTTTTTGTGAAAAGAATTATGAGCATCCATATTTTTTATTTGTTCGTTTATTATTTATCAGTCATTCCTAGAGATGCACAGCACAAAGTTTTTTTAGTTTCGTTCACGATCTGGTCCCGGTTGTAGTTTTGGTGAATTCGATCTACTCATGGTTCCGATTCGATTCCATCCGTTTTCTTTTCAATTGGCTCCGATCCCAATGATTTTAGTTTCTTGAATACCAACCTAATAATCGTAACTGTGGTTTTAAGTAAAAGATTTCGAAAACAAAAATGACGAGTGAAGGCAAAGGTGTAAGAGTGAATGAGATTTCAACTCAATACAGTTTCATTTCTGTAAAAACTAAGCAAATCTGCAGTCATCGAGTGAGCAACTTCTGTGGACNACTCAATACAGTTTCATTTCTGTAAAAACTAAGCAAATCTGCAGTCATCGAGTGAGCAACTTCTGTGGACATCGATTGTGGATTATGTGGAATGGTTCTTATATCACTCTTTTTATTCAATCTGAATTATTCAAAGAAAAAAAAAATTTTCAAGACGAAAATAAAATTCATTTTAAATGAAAAAAGATTTAAAATAAATAAAACAAGCTGCATTACAATATAATACTATTTTCTATTTTGATACAAATATTTTTGATCCGTAAATTTATTTGATGCGTAATGATCACCAAAACTGGATACATTCGATCATCAAATTCATGATTATCAGCAAACCAATTAGTACATGAGCAAATAGAATTGCATAAAATAAAATGAGAAAAGAGCTTATTCACGTAAGGCAAAACAAATAGCAGAAAGAGAAGGACGATGTAGAACAAAAAGCGTGATAGTAATGCTGTTCCAACATTTTTTGGACAGTGTCAATCTATTCTTTCTTTGGTGATGTACAGCAAGTTCAAATGTCATTTTCTTGTATTTAGTGTGCTAAACGGATACATCTAGAACTTTTCTAAATTATTGGGATCATATTGATGAAATGAGACCAATATTATTTCAGTTTCATGAACGAATTACGCTCCTAGATGAATCTATTATCTGCTGAAGCATAGGCGGCGCGCCAGCTATGCGAGGGGTATCAATTGCTACTCCTAATAATACACATTTCGATAATTGTTAGAAGAACGCTTATACACGATGAGCCTTGTTTTATTTTCTCCTGAGGCTCTACTTTCATCATGTATGTCTAACATTTATTTGTGTCAAGTTTGATGTCGGTTTGCATTACATGGTTGGAGAAACAAAAACTATTTTTTCGCTTCCTCTCCTGATACAAAGAAACTCTTGATTTATTTCCACTGTTTTATATTCAATTCGATTTTTTTATGATGTACTACGAACAGTCCAAAAGTAGTGTTGTCAATACTGTATTTCCGTATATAAAGCTTGAAGCAATTTTCTTTTTTCATATAGTGATAGAGAAAACAATGCTCTTTTTTTCTACGGCACTTGATCAATCTTCACTTAATATCAAAATTAAAAAGCCTGCATTTTTGAGTAACTTTTCATTGGAACAAGATAGAGAGCTGTGATCTTCACAGTTTAAAAGAGGACATAAAGATGTATCGAATCGTATATTATAGGTTTTTTCACTCTGATTTTCATAAGATTTTTCAGTCTTCTTTCAAAATAAATCTACTTCGCGAGGTATGTGCAGCGAATTTTCTATTATCACGTGTGCATTCAAACCGTTAATGAAAGATCTATACAACAGCAAAAAGAGTTGACATGTTTAGAATTTATTATTCTGGAGTCATAGATATTCTAGTAGAAGCCGTAAGCGATTTTTCTAGCAATTTCTGTAAAAAGGTTTGCTTTTATTGTTTGCTATTTGATGCAAAACTATTTCTTTGGCACATAGAAAATTGATTAAACATTATCGGTTTAATAAACTTATTGCTACCCCTAGAAACTTTAGCTTGCGCCGCCCACACATCTTCAAATGAAGTAGCAGATTTAATAAAACAAATAAATTCAACGATCAAAAGTATTCAAAAAACATTACTCTCGTTGAGATGTATTGCTACATCAAATTACAAGTTGAAATTTGAAAATCAATTTTCGAATGTTTCTGAAGGGGGTTACGACAATAATTAAAAAATACAATAAAAAAGGCCTATTTTCGTAACAATAAGCTATCCGCCCAAAATATTTTTAGCATATTCATAGTTCCTTGGGAGCTACATAATCTAAGTAGTTTCAACGTAAAAGCGATTGAACACTTGGTGGTTCTCCCTCGTAAGTTAATATACCAAAAAGAGCTAAAATTTCAATGTTAGCACATAATTGCTGCTTAACTGATAGCCATGCATGTTATAATTTAAAAGCATCTGTTCAAAACCAACTTACTGTGAAATCTATCTTCATGCTTGTCTCTGTCCAAAAGAAAATCTATGAACGAGAATCATTTGCATCAGACAAACTCACATAATAATGTTTCTACCATAGCTTTGAGATTGAAAAATAAAGTTGTATTTTCTTCCTGTTGTCATCGTTGATTAAAAATGATCTATGTGATTTAAAAGAGATTGTATTCAAGACCTCTTTCGATTTTATCGTCTTGATTTTCCCTGATTATCTTGTGCACTAAAAACATGATTTTCTTTGTCTATTATTAGCATTTCCAAACGCATTTAGTTTTTTCATATTCTCTACGTGTCATGTGATTTGACATATCAGTAGTTCTGTTTACATGTGCTTCAATGAATCATAGTATTCTTCCTTGCTTTTTACATACAATGCATGTACTTATCTTTAATTTGTCTTCATTGTTATCCATTGAATTGCATTTTTTCTCATATACTTTGACTTTATTTTTATTGCAGCATACTAAACTCTTGTATACAAGTAACATAATATTCACTGGTCATAGGACAGGCAGTAATCTTTTTCGTTTTTGCTATTGAATAGTGCGACTCATGCGTTTTATAACAATAAGAAAACGTAAATAATTGCACGTCTCATGTAATTTCGATTATGTAAACATTGGATCAATGGTAGTTTTAGTCAAGCAAATGTTTCTACGTGTTGTTTTACTTTTTTTCATTGTTTCTTAAAAGTTTATCACTGAGAATATGGGTGGGAAACGTCATGAAAAATGCTATTCTGCGATATTTCGATGACGTCCACAGACGACGAAGGACTTTCTTCTGTTCGTGTTCAAGGACCATCTCTTATCGATGTCCATGATATTCAATGTTCAGTATTGTAACGAATTTTGTTTGATGATAAGTGGATAGTTTATATTCGTTACTACTGCAGTATTTATTTTTATTTGTGATCACAAAGAGAAACTGGAAGAGTAGCGTTACCGCTATCCTCGGTGTATACAAGATGTTAGTTACACTACTCCATTCTCCAATTTTCCAGTTCTGTTCCAGTTCTAATTCTTTTCCAGTTCTCGTGTATAATACAATATACTCGCTTTATATGCGTGCACACGAGAGAGAAGAATAGAAAAAGATATAATAGGCATATGCGCATTACGTAGGTTATGTCTAAAGATGTAATCAGGTTACATAAAAGTAGATGGATAACATTAAGAAATAAACCAGATAGATTGATGACAGTAAAGAGTTATGCAAGGCCTATGGCCTATTGCATAACACTCATCATAACGTATTCCTCCTTCCTAATACCGGATCAGAGGATATTCCAAATAAATGGAAACGTAAATATGTGAACAATAAATGATGTCCATGCATTATTGGCACAAGTATGTCATAATATCCTGTGGAAACTCATCGGTTGTCAATCATGTGAGACTCCTTTCTGTTCACGTTGTATCAATACATACGATGCGGTGAATTCATCGAACATCTGGGTCCTCGGTTCGTTGCTAATCACTTAGTCAAATTACAAATTTCTTGTATTTATCAATCGAATGGTTGCGAAAAGGTCAGTTATTAGCTCGCTGAGAGTCATTCATTGATGTTTTATTATATAGCTTGTTTCATACGAAGTACTTGAGAAACATGAGACTCATTGTGATTATCGACCTCAAGAATGCTCAGGTTGTAAGTTACAGATGTTGAAAAAGGACTTAAATGAACATGAAACTCATTGTCCAATGGTCGAATCAACATGTCCAAATTGTAAAATTGTTTGTAAGCAATTTGATGCTACTACACTTCATACTGATCTTATCTGTGTCAGAGAACAACTTCGACAATTACAAGAAAAATTTCAACTACTCGATGAAAAAAACAAAGAAAATTTACAAGAACATAAACGAACATTTTAAAAGTTTCGTCAAGAATGTGAAGAGCGAATTTTACAGCTCACAGGAGCGAGAACACTCTGGCGTAAGTTGAATTTTTGCTTGTGAACGGTTTTTGAGAAAACAATCTATAGAACTTAAACCATGACTTTAGAAATAGTATGAGAAAAGAAAATCTGTAGAGAAAGAGAGCTTCATTTTGTTAAAATCTAATGGTGACATCTCTGAAATGAGTACTTCAATCATGTATTTTCTCATAAAAATCGAATATCCAAACAATAAAATTCCTTTTTCTTAATCTACTGTTAATTGAACTTCCGAGAAACGTATTATTTGTGAACATTCTCCATCGTTTAGTTGAAGGAAATTAATCTTTCAACTTGTCTTTATCGTCCTTGATGAATAGAAATCTTTGTTTTTTTTTCTACTGAAGCCCGATCACTTCCAAATATTCGTGTCAGTGCCGTGAGAATGTTGCTGGTGGCCAAGGTGATGGCAGTTCATTAAATCAACTCTCAAGTCCTTTTGGTGTGTATGTGGATGATAACCAAACTATTTTCATTACTGACCTGGGGAATGATCGTATAGTGCAAAGGAATTACGATGCAGCACTCGGTCAAGTAGTAGCTGATGGTAACGGACAAGGAAATCAACGAGTGATGCGACGGTTTCGTCAGCATGACAGAAACCAAGAAACAATCATCGATAATATCGATTATACTCAATTGGCGATAGATAATCAAAAAAAATTCTATGCATCTAATTGTGATAAACAGGAAGTAAGACGATATCAATTGGGAGATTCATAAGGTACGTTGGTAGCAGGTGGCAACGGGAACAGTCGTGATTTCAATCAACCCAATTTTCCTACTTACCGCATAGTTGATCAAAATCAATCAGTTTACGTGCCAGATACATTTAATCATCGTGTGACGAAGTGGACTAAAGATGCACAAGAAGGAATCATTGTAGCCGATAATCGAGAAGACGGTACCGATTGAACACAGTTGTCATGTCCCAATGGAATAATTGTCGATCAATTAGGTAGAATTTACGTGGCAGACTTAGCCAACAATCGAGTAGTGCGCTGACATAATGGAGTAGTACTAATTGCTGGTGGAAATAATGCTGGAGCACAATCGAATCAGTTAAATCGACCTTTATGCTTGTGTTTTTCGATCGATATGGTAATCTCCATGTTGCTGATCATCAGAATCATCGGATCCAACGATTTGATATAAAACCCTATTGATCCTCTTCTTTATATTGATCATCATTGAACACTTCATTTTGTTTTTGCTATTCTTATTCGAATCATGTAATCATAAGAAATAATTAGTTTTTGGTTGTGATTTATTTTCAATTGATTAAAATGTGAAAGTTAATTATTTTTCAAATACTTTAATTTTTATGTGAAAAGTAAGAGAAGTTGCTTTTGGAACTTCTCCTACTATCATAAAATGCATTTCTTCTACTAAATATAAATAATATTTTAAATCGGTATGCACGAATAAATATAGCAACATTATGAATAAAAAACAGAAAGGAGATCGAAAATTATAAAAATTCGACTTAATCTTGAAATTATCAGATATACGTCATCATTACCACATATTGATTTTTCAGTCAAATAGTTGCGTTTTTTTTCTTATTCATGGCAGCATTTTCTTCGCAACTCTTATCTGTAAAAACGACTACTGACAGTTAAAATTAAAGTGATAAGTTGAACTCAATCTTTTTAAAATACATGAACTAACCCACTACCACCATATGACTACTTGTACTTCGATTCGTGGTATTCTGTATGTATTGACTGCGCTATTTACTTTTGATTTTCTGAAATTTTTGTAATGTATTTCAATATTATATATCTGGCCCACAGTATTGATACAAACATATGATGAACAATTTCCATTGGTTAACAATGAAATACGTAGAAGATCTGTTGTTTAATCAATGACGTGAGATGAATACATCATCGATTCAATTATAGTTGATTTATCAATATATTTTATTTCACTGTAATTTCTGGCTTACGTATCACAAGTACAGAAGTAAGTTAATGAAATAGAAATCAATCTTAGAGTGAACATTGGTATTTGTTGTTTTATATCATAGAGAAAAAAAATCTACAATTAAATTTAAGTGCAAAAGAAATGCACCGACGGTTATCTGTCAGTGAACTGTCCATCAAACAACACTGCTTATCATTTGAAAATTTCTTTTTTTAAATTTTATTTGTTGTCTATTCTATTAGTATGACTCCATGAAAGAGCATGATATATCCACACGCGAGAGTAAATGTGTTGCTTCAGAATACAAGAGAGATAATTGAGTCGTAAAATTTTGATAAAAGAAATAACGAAGATTGTGGTGTCGACACAAAGCAAGCACACATTACATCGAGTTACATTGAAACATTTGTTATTACAATAGACTATCAAAGTATGACTTTCTACAGCAAGATCCAGAAGTTAGGAGATCCTATTAGTCAATACATTTATGAACATTCACTTCATTTCACAACTGAACAGCTCGAGTTGATTGAATACACTAAATCTCTACCAGGTAGTCATCAGATTTCTTCTATGATAATGATGATGATGATATCTTCCTTTTGTTTAATATTAGAACATTCACAGATGCTTGGTTCACTTGATGAAGCTCAATTCTTTCAAGTCCTCATTCGACTTATGAATTGCAAACGATGCAGTAAGGTTTTTTTTCTTCTATCTAAATCCTATTAAGACAAAACAAAACTTTGCTTACGATTATTTTAGTTGAAATCGGTACATTTACTGGATATACATCAATGGCCATTGCACTCGCTTTACCATCTGATGGTAAACTGGTTACATGTGATATTGATGATCAATATATTCGTCAAGACCTGTGGGCTAAAGCAGGTGTCCGGGACAAAATTAGTTTGAGAGTTGGACCAGCTATTGAAACGCTAGAAAAATTGATTGAAGAATACGGTGAAGGATCGTTCGATTTTGTTTTTATCGATGCTGACAAAGTTAATTATCTGGAGTACTACAAACTGTCCATGCGGTTACTTCGTTCCAATGGACTGATCGCAGTCGACAACACATTGTGGGGTGGACGTGTTGTAGATGAAACTGATACAAGTGAGCAAACAGTTGCCATTAGAACGACGAACGACTTCATCAGAGATGATCAACGCGTTGACATCAGTTTTCTACGTCTTGGCGATGGTACAACGCTTTGCAGAAAAAAATAGACCCTACAAAACGCAAAAACAATTTGTTTGAAAATCCCTCTCTAAACATTATTTGAATAAAAGTCCTTTCTTTTTTAACGATGGGCACAGTGTTAACGCTCTTCACTTTGGAAACATGTTTTGGTGTCTGAAAATATGGAACGGATTTCTATTTCTTCACATACTATTGAACGAAAGTAAAAGTAGTCCAAGCAAGACTTATAAGGTCAGGTAACATAATAGAAAACAATTGCAAAATATAGTATTTTGAGCTAAAGAAAAAAATGCAAGAGTGTTTTTCATTGCACGTAACTGTTTGAAATCTAAAGTGTAATTTTTCAGTTAAAATGTTGACAGTTGTTTCGTCGTGTGTGAATTGATTGTTGTTCATTTAGAAATATTCGCTCATTTTGTTGAAAAAAATCTTAAATACTCTTATTTTTTATCAGCTTTAGAACAGTGGAAATCATCTGTTCTCTTTTAAAATTCTCTCGCTTGCTCCTAATATATGCTCATTTATCGTATCACTTAATTACTAGAATATGAAATCATTATTTCATCTCACTTATATTACTTTTCATAGCACAATTCTACCACGTTTCCCTATTTGAATTGAAGAATCATCGAAATCTTTTCGTTTCATATGTTTTAGGTATTCAACATTTAATACAAAAAAAAACTGAGAGAATGTTGTATATATTACAACACAGAAATTAAAAAAATATCTGAAGTATACATGTACCATTACATAGATATTAGTCCAATTTTGATCTTGTTCAAATTTTTAGGCTTCATAGATTGAAAAAAATGAATTACAAAGTCGTTCGATATTGTATTTTCATTTTTAATGTTCACTGACGCCATATTCACATCTATTCTTTATTATCTTATTCTTTGAAATTTAGTACGTGAATTATGATGGACACAGTTATGTTGTGTTCGCGAGACAGCTTCGAGAAGAAAACATTTTTTTTAAAGCTTGACTTTTCTTGTTTTTTTTTTTTATTAGTTTATACATAAAACGTGATCAAAAAATTCCGGTATTCATTTCATTTGTTTTACGTATCGAACGTTTGTTCTTGAAGAGTAAATATAATCAACAATAACAATAATAATAAAATAGATGAAAAACTTTGCAAAAATGCACAACTCTTTGTATGGTTAAAAAAAAGTGGACATTGGTTCATTGACTTATTTGCATGTTCATCTCAATCTTTATTCGATTCGTCGGTTGCTTTGTTCTCTTCTTCGTCTTTCTTTCGCTTTCCGTCACCTTGTCCTGATCCTTCTGTTAAAGTACTTGCTTTCTTTGTACCTGATACAATGTCATCAATGCGAAGTAATAAAATAGCGGTCTAAAAGAAGAAAAAAAACAGAATTAAAGTTTTCTGAACACAAAAATGATGCCAACAAATATATTATTTTACTTCAATGGCTGTTTTGATTGTTTGCATTTTAACAGCAATCGGTTCCCATATTCCAAATTGATGCATATCAACTATTTGACCAGTTTCACCATCAATGCCCCATGAAAATTGATCTGCTTCTTGATGATGTTTAGCACGAAGTACTGTTAACTGTTTTATAACATTAGCACCACAATTTTGTATTAATGTTCGCGGAATAATTTCCAATGCACGACTAACTGCTTTATAAGGATATTTTTCAACTCCTTGAAAAAAATCATCTTTCACGTCACTCTGACTGTTACTCATGACATCGAGGGCTCTGAAATAAAACAAAAATTATTGAAACAAAACATTGACTGTTGGAAAATAAAACCTAGAAAGCGCCATTTCAACAGCGCCCCCACCTGGTGTTAATCGTGGTTCAAGCATGACGTTGCGTGTTACATTCATTGCATCATGAAAATTTCGTTCGATTTCATTTAAAACATCTTTATTTGCACCACGTAAGATGATTGTGCAAGCTTTCGGATTTTTACATTGATCGAAGAATGCATAATATCTAAAGAAAGATGATAAGAATATTTCCGGATAGATTAACTTTCATCTATTCTTACTCGTCGCCAATTTTTCTTATTTCAAATAAGCCACAACCTGTACCAACATCTTGTTCTTTCAAATCGGATGTCTCATTGACAATGCTAGCACCAGTTGCTCGTGAGATTCGATTATTGTCGGATTTCTTTGCACGACGTAAAGCCGATATACCAGCAGCAGCCAAAAAGTGAATAGCAACATCTAAATTCCATTATTTTTCAAACAGAAAATGTAAAGAATTTGTTTTTCCTCTTACCAGATATTCCCTTTTCAGTAACAATAACGTCAGGTTTAAGAGCAATGATATCTTGACACATTTCACGAATGCTTTCTTCTTCCAATTGTAACATACGGCTATTAAAAAATGAAATGAATTCAAGATTTTTCAAAAATCCTAGAATCAGTTGTAATAACGAGAGTATGAACTGGGTCATATTATAGTAGTTTTAGAAGTGAGAAAAATATAAGACGGCAAAATTTTTGGACGCCTCGCCCCCCTCATCAAAGACATTATTGAGTTCATCATCATGTTCATTGTATATTAGCAACCCAGGGAGAATGGGCAAGAGGTTACCATTACTGACCGTAGTAACCAGCCTCTCTGTCACCGTTACACACAACCAACAAAAAAAGTAACCCCATATTACTTGGCAACTAGCCTCTACCATTGTTACACACACAAACAAACAAGTAACCTCCCGTGACAGATATTTTTGTAATATTTCTCAAAATAAAAATTCATTTATACGTACGTAAAATCAGGTTCACCACTAAATTCGAGGGATGTTTGACTTTCACCTTTCTTGTATTCAAGTGAACAATCCAGTAAAATAATGCGTGGATTTTCAATGCGTCTAAGTAGACAATTAAAATAATAGATTGTAATTATTTTTTAGTTTATCAGTCTCCTTGTAGTACCTTCTCATTTTTGGATGAAGAACATCTTTATTAAGCATAACTCCTTTAAGTAGACATGAATCTTCAATGGAACCACCTGGTATCTAAATTGAGAAAAAAAATAAGTTACGATAGAGAATAATATAAATTAATAGCAAACCTTTTCAAAACGAGCATATCGTTTAATATCAATTTCTTTGCGTCCATTCTCATCGATCATTACAGTTTGTACAGCATCAAGTGATATTTGACAAGCCAAATCACTCCTAATTTAATTTAGTTATATAAGAAAAATAAAATTTCAAACATACCATCTTGATAAATATTTTGTGCCAATACAACTTTTAACAACGCGTAGCATTTCCTCACGATTGTTAATATCAATTGGTATACTAGCTTTTGTTCTCATTATTTCAACACAATCTTCAAGGGCTTTTCGATAAGCACGAATAATTACTGTTGCATGTAAACCTTGTTGAAGATATTGCTCTGTTTGAGCTAGTAATTCACCAGCTAAATAACAAACATTTTATTTTGTTTATTCTAAACGTCATAGGGCAAAATTTACCTAAAATAATAACACTTGTTGTACCATCGCCAACTTCTTCATCTTGTGTTCGACTGATTTCAATCATTGATTTACCAGCAGGATGTTGAACTTGAATCTGAATAAATCGTAAAAAACGAGTTGAAAGATTCAACTTGTAGGTTATACTTCACGTAGAATAGCATTGCCGTCATTTGTTAAAACAATACCACCCATAGGATCAAGTACCATCTATTAAATAATCATTTTAGAAAAAATTTTACTCGAGAGAAAAACAACGTACTTTGAGCATTGCTCGTGGACCAAGACAAGTACGAATCGTATCAGCAATTGTCTTGTAAAGAGAATGTAGTGATTTATATTATTGGGGGGTAGAAAAGGCAATACTTTAGCTGCGAAAATATTGCTCATTTGGGCTTTTTTCCCTTGATTTCGTTTTGTACCTGCATCTAGAAAAAAAAAAGAAACGAACTCGATCTATTCCATACCGGTTATTTTACATACTTAGAATCATAACTTGTTGAGAACCGCCACCACCATACATCATTTTTGATTTTTAAAGAAAAATTGATTGGATTGATCTCGAAGAAGTTTTACGTATATGTGAGAATGAAAATAAGAAATCGATGTTATTCCTTCGTTTACCATTGAACTCCACTATCACTAGGCAGAGTACTGTATGACTGGTCTCTATTGGTCTATCAAAGAAAACACAATCATCTACAGGTGACATCTACATGATTTTCATAAATCTGAATGACTAACAAAAAATTATTGCTTTCAAAAAGTCATTGAAGTGATGGACTTCTATAAAATGGCAATAGTTTTGACAACGAAGTTTATTAGATGAATTCGGTTGAGAAACCACATAACTATTGCACTGAAGTTATGTTTCAATTATTTTTCGAAAATGATATCGAGCACAGCAGACATGATTATGTCCTAAAAGCATTGCTATTATATGATCGATTTGGTCTGTCAAAGAAGTTTGTGTGATTAAATGACGGTATGCTTTCAGGCTAGTGAGTGAAGAAGAATATTTTTATGTTAATTCACCGCTTGTATCATTGTTACGTGTGATTGGAGCGCAACGAACAGATACATGTGACCTAAACTTGATATTCTAGATAAATACATATGCCAACATGTTGCGGTTTTTTCATATATAAAAAATATATAATCATGAGGTCACTCATTCGATGGATTCCTATTCATTGATTACATTGGAAATCGGAGTCCACGCCAAACTTAAACTATAGTTATAATTCTTGAAAACGATTCAAAAGCTTCTTGTTTTTGGGTGACCTCTGCTTGAAAAAGATTTTTTTTTTGGTAGTTGCTGCCATAGAGCAAGCCGTTTGGATGGTGTTGTGTTGTCAACTTCTTTTTCTTGACAAAACCAAAAGAGAAAGAGAATAGAAATGGCAAAATAAAGCATTCGGTTGTTTGTCGATTAGCCGCCCTACTTACGATTTTAAGTTTTTTCCTTTCTTTTATGCTTTAGGTAAATATATTTGCAACTTAGAATGAACTAAAGCTACAAAAATGGGCGCTGCCTCATGTAAAAATTCGAAATCACATCCGGAATCTCAACAAAAGGAAGATAAGAAGTACGTTAAAATAATTAGTTTGAAATTTTTCTTTACAAAGATTTGTTTATAAGAAAAGCACCCAGAGGCGATAAACATCTATTGCGTCGAAAGTTTGTTTACACATGCGAAATGCGTAGATTAGCAAGTGTCTAACGTAAGACAGTACTGCAGTAAATAATGATTGGAATCTATAACCAAATTTTCTCCTTATAAGGCTAAAATTAATTCAGTTTCGATCTAAACAATTGCGTATGTCAAGTTTACAATCAGATTACCCGTTTCGACACGTTTCAAGGACGTGTTAAAATTTGTTGAAGTACTCGATTCAAACAATTGAAAACATTGTAGACAATATAGTGACATGAAAATCTTGATATTACTCAAATTTTCTTATCTAAATTCAATTGAAAAGGCTGAGATTTTTTTGAAAAAAAAAAAGCAAGTCGTTCAAATTTGATAGGTTAGCTATATTGAAACAAATTACTTTCAATACATCTTCTCTATCCTTGTACAAAATTTGTTGCTTTTATGATTGATACAAATAAAATTTAATCCTGTTTCTAATATCAAAGAAACATGAAGTATTCAATACTTTTGAATTGTAAATACAGATCATGTCCTTTTCTGTTATCTCAATCTGCGCAATATTTTATGCTTGAATAACTTTTGAGTAATACCTAGTGTTCCATAGTGGTTGGTAAAACAAATTCAAAAAATATGAGCCTACAGAAACTAGCTATTGTAAAATGTTGTCTGAAGACCAAATTTTTTGAAGATCAATTCTGAAAGTTGTCTATAAAAATAAACGTCTACGAGAAAAAGAAAGAGCCCCGAGTAGAAAACTAATCTAGCAAGCATTTCGTATTCATATTTTTTCACTATAAACATACAAATTAGTTTCGTGTATAGTTGCAATGCTAACGTAACGTTGACATAGTGATTGATGTACTGATTTTATTTGATCAATAGTGTAACCCTCAACCATTTGGCTAAGAAAATAATTGAGAAATTCGATGCCTTTTTGAGCCTCACGTAAAAAATTCTTCATGAAGTGATTTAGTTATGAGTGAGATACAGTACAGTTTTAAAATTTCATAAAAAACCAAGGGTCTATAGATTTTCGATCTCAATACTAGATAAACGTGAAAAAGTAAACTGAGAGATTTTCATTTGATAGTTTATCTCTAGACATAAACATTGAGAAATAATTGTGCCTTTTCTGAATATGACGCGCTGTTCATATGTCTGAGAAAAACGAATGATATTTTACTTATTTAAAATATTTTTCTTTAGGGATATTACAATTGGTGTATTTGGTCTTGATGATGCCGGTAAGAGGGTCCTATTCATATGCATTTTGTTTCTTACGCGAGATTTATTTAGGTAAAACGTCGACAGTTAAAGCAATTGAAGGAAGTAATATATTGATTTTATTGACAATCTTCTAATTAGTTTTATATTGTAGATCCCACAGATGACGTTCAACCAACTATGGGTTCAAATTCAAAAATGGTCCCCTTCCCAATCAATGAAAAAAATGCTGCTGATAAAAAAAATAAAAATCAACGTGTACGAATGATTGATGTAAGCGGTGAAAAAAAATTTCGTCAAAATTCATGGCCGCAATTTTATGATGAAATACATGGTTTAATATTTGTCTTTGATGCAAGTGAAAGAAATCGATTAAGAGAAAATCAAGAAACTCTAGAAGATTTACTTGAAAATGTTAAACTTAAAGATAAACCGATTCTTATGTAAGTTATATCGTATTTTGATCTTTTATATAAGGTTTTCCCTTGTTCTAAAATAAGTTTGGCCAACAAACAAGATCAAAGAGGTGCTATAAGTAATGAAAATGATTTAAGACGTAGATTGAATATCGAAAAATTAAAAGCGAAACATAAAATTGTACGTTGTGTGGTTATTTTCAAGCAAAATAAAAAATCTTAATTAAAATTTCTATTAAGGAATTATGTACGGCATTACCTCAATATGATGAACGATCAGCCGATGAGTCGATACGAAAGGGTTTTTCATGGTTAATTCGAACAATCGATGAGAACTATACACAACTTAACTTACGTATTACGAAAGCAAAAACTAATCGAACAAGTCGAAAAATTAATCAATACGATAGTGATGGACATGCGAGCGATGATAAATATTCGAAGAAAAAAAATACTAGTTTCACAAATAAAAATACAGATTATCATTCAAGAATGACTACTGAAAAACTTCCAAGTATATTTCCAGGTAAAGCCAAAACTAAAGCCTACAGCGACAATGACGATGATGATGATGATGATGATGATGTTTATCGTAGTAAATCATCTATGGGAAATGATTTTAGTAAGAAAAAAAAGGTAATCGGTCCTATAACGAATAATAATGCAGCAACAAAGAGATCAAGTAGTAATGAACCGAAACCCTTTCGATCTACATATGAACCGTTTCCTGAAGAAACTCCTTGGTCAATTTCATCAGCTCTTAAACTAACAAAAAGTGATGATATGTTATCCAAGCTTCATTCAAATTCATCGATACTAAGTGATTCAAAACGACGAAATATGAGTCCGCTTGTGCATGATACGAAATCTTATACGAATGGTTCATTATCGAAACGTAACTATGGTAGTGATGACGAAGATGATATATATAAACAGCAAAAACCGAAAGTAAATGTTTCTGTTCTTTTTTATTAATGAAACGATTTTTTTTACTGTTGCTTAGTTAACCGATCGATTTGATAATTCAACCTTTTCGACAAATAAATTTTCTTCAAGTACTAAAAAACCATTATCAAGTTTTCATGATGATGACGATGATATTTACAGTAGAACAAACAATCGTCTTATGAATGCAACATCAAAGAAATCATCCAATGCCTATGATGATGACGATGAAGATAATTATTCAAAAACAGCAACAAAAATAAATAAAAATTATGATTTTGAAACTAATAAAAGTTATCAACGACCATCTAGTCGTCTAAATCTTGATCAGGACTATCGAGGAACTTCACCGAAAATAGCCACTCGTCCGAGATATGACGACGACGGTGATACTCGTCCATTATCATCTTCAAGAAAAAAAACAGTTACAAACTATGATGATGATGACGATGATGATGATAATAAGGATAATTATTCAAAATCAAAGCCGATAGCACGTTCGACTTTCAGTAATGATTATTCAACATCAAAATTTGACGATAATCCTTATTCATCACCAAAATCGACAATCCGTGCGAAGCATGATAATGAAGATCGACCGTATTCGTCGTCGAAACCAATGTCAAGCTCAAAATTTGAAGATGATGATTATCCGAGTTCATCGAAAAAACCAAATTATTCATCGCCTTATAATGCGAACAATACTTATGGTGGTAGCAGTTCACGATCTCGTATTGATGATCATGATTTTTTTACATCAAAAGGTGAATCCAATAATACGTATCGATCACAAAAAAGAACAAACTATGACAGTTAAAGTCCTTTTGTGATAAATTTTGTTGCATTTTTCAAACTATCAAATCTCATATTTTTCTTTCTTTCTTTTTTAAACTTAACAAATAATCTGATTAAATAATAAATTCATCTCAACATAATCATACAAAATATCGAAGCTATTATCTTCTAATCTCATAGTTGAATAACATAGAATTTTCTTCACATGAGAATATCTTACGTTAGCATAGAAAATAAATCTCAAGAGATTATATTTCTAATATAATATTTAAGTGCTTATTGTACCGATCACTAACGGTAGGGTCCCATTTTCCACCAATTGCGGTTCCGTAAATCACTATCTAAACCAAATCCACATTGGTGGAAAATGCGACGATTCAAATTTTCTGGTCACCAATTGGGGATTTTCGAATTTGTGGATAATCTAAAATAGGAAATACAGTGTGTGAAATCCTACTTTGTACACTAATTTAATTACGGCCACACTATTAACAAACGAAAACTGTGACGAAAAACATATGCTATAGAATGATTCTGGCAACCAGAATATTTGTTTTGACGTTCAACATGACTGTACATGAGAAAAATAAAATTTTACAAATAATCAATGTAGCTACAGTATTCAACTACATATAAGTCGTTGACTGTAATCAATTTTAGAGTGAGATTAAACTATGTATTGGATGATAATAAAAATGCATATGAATCGATGAACTATGGAACGAATCTGGTGACCAGAATATGTTATCTTCTTTTATTGCGAGCGGATACTTAAAAATGCCTTTTTTTGCGAACTGCATCATTTCCGTGTCATATTCATTTTGAACTATGACTTGCAGGTTTCATTTATGTCTTCTTAGTCAAAAGGTTTGTCAATTGAACAAAGTTGTACAGTCTAATAATGAAGGAAACATACCGAAGATTGCACTTGTATTTTGTTAGTGACTACACTGAAAAAAATGGTACCAAACGAATTCTTTGATGTCTCGTTGAGCTGCATTGTTTACTACCAGGTGCCGCATCAGTTCTTCAAACCTTTTTTAGGTTTAGTAGCTACAGAGGTTCCGTATAAAATCTCTTCTGATTTTTCGTAGGAGACCTCTTAGAGGTATCTGTGTCAAAAAGTTTCGTACAATCCTTTTTTCTGTACATTTATGCTGCCGGCAGATGTTGACTAATCAGAAAATTGTCCAGTCTCAATTCTTTCATCCGTTAATCTATTTATCGTTCACTTAAGATTCATTTCATATAGTTCATCGATTCATATGTAAGTTTTATTTTCTTCGAATATGTATTTTAATCTTATTCTACAGATGACTACAGTCAATAACTTCTTTGTCGTTGAATACTGTACATGTCTTATTTTGAAAATGATACTGTTATCCTAATCCAAACTCATGTTGAATAACAGAACCAGTGTTGCTAGATGTCATAGTCAGAAATCCAGAATTCCAATGTAAAAATCCAGAAAATTCCAGAAACGTTTTTTGTGAAATTCAGAAATACTTTTAGCAGTTGATTTTTATCCGCTAAAATAAGTATCTCTAAATTTTGTTCTCAATTACATTATTATTACTTCAAAAAACACATGTTTCAATATAAAAAAAAAAGAAAAAAGACGTCAAAATTCTAAATTTCACTATTATTTAACGCGTTGGTTTTTAATAGAATATTTTTCACTGCACTGAAAACAAAAAAGGTACTTTACCGAACTTTAAAAGGCTTCGAATTTTGAAACGTATTCTGAACCTTTTTACGATACTGTACCGAACTTTGAAGGTTTAGTAAAATCACACAAAACCTTTTCAATTTCGGTAAAAACCTGATCATAGTTTCGTGTGACTTTCCAAAATCTTCAAATTTCGGTAAAGTACTTTTTTTGTTTTCAGTGTGGACTGAATAAGTTTTAATAGTACTAGTTTTGACAAAAAATATTCATAAGCTTTTGTACAACGTAACGACGAGTTCAATCGAATTTGTAACTCAGCTCGAATAAGTTTTGTTGACATACGATTTCGTTTATCATGAGATAAATGTTTCGTTGTTTAAAAAACACTTTCAACGTATTCATTACTATTATCTTCTTACAGATTGTTGAAAAAAAAACATAAGAAAATCTATGCGTTAGAATGGTTAAAATATCATTCGTCTTTTAAGTATATCAATGAAATAGTGCAATTAGTCACTGAGCTGCTATCAAATAAAATTTTTTTTTTGAATATTAACAAATAAATAATATGTAATTTAAAAGAGTGATCTAAATTCTAAAATCCAGAAAAATCCAGAATCCAGAAAAAGTTGTAAAATCCGGAATTTTTCTGGAAAATACAGAAGATCTGGCAACACTGAACAGAACATAGATTCTGGTAACCAGATTCATTCCAAATTTAATTCAAACAGATCTATATTATTATTTCCAAATACGTGGATTAATCTTATGACTAACTTGATAATAACAAACAATCACTTGCAAATGATCAGTGCTTATTTCTTATTTTGAAAATTACATCCGCCTCCCCCGCCTCATCTACACTCGTGTTGAGTAACAGAATACACATTCTAGTCACCAGATTCATTTTAGAGTTCATCAATACACAGATGTATATTGTTACATTTGGATTTACAGTTTAATCTTATTCTACACTTGATAACAGCCTACGAGTATTCACAAACGATTAGCGTCTATATTTCTCATTTTGAAAATTTTATTTTTCTCATGTACAGTCATGTTGAACTACAGAACAAATATTCTGGTTACCAGAATCATTCTATAGCATATGTTTTTCGTCGCAGTTTTCGCTTGTTAATATAGTGTGGTCGCAATTCAATTATTGTACAAAGTAGGATTTCACACACTGTATTTTCTATTTTAGATTATCCACAAATTCGAAAATCCCCAATTGGTGATCAGAAAATTTGAATCGTCGCATTTTCCACAAATGTGGATTTGATTTAGGGAGTGATTTACGGAACCGCAATTGGTGGAAAATGGTACCCATTCATCACTAGCAGACATTATCTGTCAAATAAATTTAATTCGCCTCATTTTATTTGGTTGTTCTCATGATCTCTATATGAGAGTTGGTGAGAATCATCAAAAAAAGTAGTTAACACCTTTGCATCGTTTTAACCATCGATGTTGACATTTTCTCTCATAAATATTAAAGAAAACGAAGGTTTTCTGGCGCATCAATGTTATAACCATTTAGAGTACCCTCTCGCTTTCTCTTTTTTTGCGATATATTATAGACATGCGAATCTTCTTAATGTACTAATGAGAATATGCACGTTAAAGTTTTAAGATCATGGAAGATCAAAAATATGCCAGAAAAAATCTTCTTTAAATCCTAGGGAGAAAGCTAAATTTATCATCGTAATCAATTCGTTACATTAAGGTTCATTAATCTTGGGTTACTGTTTTCGAGCAAGGATTATCAAGTGCGATTTTGCCCTGAAAATTGAAATTTACCTATGTTGTTCTACACAATAATGGGACTTCTATGATATTACACGTCGGTACTCTTATAGGTAAAAGACTAGACTTAATCAGTAAATAAGGATTAAATAGAAACTGAAGACTCGGTTTTAATCTTAAATATCAATGATTATGTTTACTTTATTTTTAGAATTTTTTCTGAGTACTAGTGTACAAATGGTTTGATGGCATCTGCAAATAAATAATATAACATTATCCATAAACTGCAGCTGTAAAAAAATGACTTGTCATATATATTTATACCATGTTACTTAATTGATTAAATTGCAAAGTGCGCTGTACATTGCAACTTGTCGGTGCAGCAAATGATCTTTCTTTGATCTATGACGAAACCAATCTGTACTCTTTTTTTATTATTATTTCGTTTGCTGTAGAAAAAAGTATCAGCATCATCAAAGCAGCTATTATTGCAGCGTAATCTGAATTCTATTGACTTTTCTATTTTTCATAAATTGTACTCGACAGAAATAAAATAAAAACAGCATGCTATCAAATTCATCGAACAACTGTTCTGTGTAGACAGTCATTTCATACAGTATATGGTGGTAATTCTTCACATGTATGCTAGTTTTTTTCGTTGAAGAATTTTCTCATTAAAACAAATCTTTTTGGAATAGGATGCTTTCAATTCTAAATTAATTTGGTTGGTTTTTATCATTTTTTCAAAAATAAAAATACATATGACAATCAAACAGATACATGAAATAAAATAAATCGAAAGCTTTACCATCGTTGGGAAGTATAATAGATCAAAAGGAAGCTTTTAGTTTTTCTCTTTGCACTCATGATGTAAACGCGATGGATTGCTTTTTCTTGTTACGTAAAAGGAGATAAAAGTTGACAAAGTAATTCGTTTTTGGACAAGGCTCGCACAAAACTTTCCTTTGTTATTAGGCCTTGTTCATTACAGTGACATGCACTAATGAAATGTTTGAGCAATTCAACCGACTCGGATTCACTACCATTACCACCTAACATCCGCAATACATACTGAAAATAAACGAACAAATGTATAAGAGTATTCTGTGAAGTAGGATGTAAAGCGAAAGCAAAAGAAAGGAAACATCAGCATTTCTCCTCAACATCGAAAAAACGATCTTCTATGAGCTCTTTTTTTTCTTTTATTTTCGGCAGATATTGCTACGCTATATTTAAAATTTGACATACCTTAGCCATAATATCAATCTCAGATTGGTCAATAAAGCCATCCTTGTCAATATCTAGAAAGATAAAAAAAAATAAATCGATTTATTCTTTTTCTTTCAATATTTTGTACCATAGAGTTGAAAAGTATAATTAAGTTTTTCTTCTATCGAACCTTTCGTAGTCAATAAAAATCCAATAGCGAACTCTTTGATATCTATTTATACAAAAAAATAAATAAATATTTTTGAGTATAAAAATGCATAGTTTAAAAAAAACACAAAAGCAATAACTTCTTACCTACTTTACCATCATTATCTACATCGAAAGCTTTATATATAGCATTAACAACATGTTCAACTTTGTCCATGTCACATGAACTTAAATCTTTATAACATTTTAACATATCTTTTTTTGTCATTTTACCATTTGGACATCGTGTCTAGGTGATAATAGAATAAAAAAGATTAGAATTTGCTATTATTATTATAATTATTGTTGTTGTTGTTGAAAATAAAAAGAATTCGTTATGCTCTAATGACAGAGAAAATTCATTGAAGAACTATGAAGATCTCTTGTGTCTATTGAAAAGATGTTTGAAAATATTTATCTTTTGTTTTGTTTAAGGATCAGGGGAAAAGAATCGTAGACATTTTCTTACGTTCCTATTTAATCTCGTTTTTACAATGATCTAATCAACACAGAACATATTACAAAGGCCATTTGATTATTTGTTGCTCTATGCAAAATTTACGAATGGCATCAACAAGAATTTTCTCGTACACATTCTATAAATCTTTTGGATTCATTCAAATTTTTTCCTTGGAAACTAGTCAGACATTTTATACATTCAAAATAACAATAAAAGAAATCTAATATTATTGATGAAATAACGGTAAAAAGAATTCTAGAATGTTTACTTTGAGTTCATTAAACCAGTCTGTGATTTCAGTCGATTTCATTCTTGTTTTACATTTAATCATAGCCACTGTGGCATCGTCCAGCGTGGCCGAACTAAATTGTGTACCCATAGATAGACCATTCAATGAGAGCAATACACAATCTTGAAAATGAAAACAAAAATAATATTTTTTTATACATGCAGTTGAAATTGAACACATAGAATACGATGAAATTGTCAAACACACATTCTTGTTGTACGTCAACCCATATATGTCAAACTTGAATTCAATTTTCGACTTTTAAACCAATAGCATTCTGAATAATCGTGGCTCATACATATGTCGCTATGAGTTGAAAGTTGAAATTTTCTATTTTCAACTGAATTCAAGTTTCAAGTTTGACACTACTGCGTCAACCAAGCCGCATATTTACTTTTGATTGGCGGCAGCGAAATATTGATTGTCTCACGTTATAGATAGGTGATAGTAAACGTATAATGATAGACTGCTCTTCAAACATCACCGCTAAGGTAAGATCGATAGGCACACGTTTTTGTCACATGGTTGAATAATTATTTTAAGGAAAAGAAAACGAAAAACATATTGATGTTACATATTTAACATACCAGATGCATTAAAAACTACGAATATGAGAACAGAAAAGAAAGAAAAAGGCAAAGCAAACAGAATCTACTACTCTACTCATTCACTAGCTTACATAGAGATGTATTGCCGTTCAATCGAATGAAAAATATTTCAAAACTGCCAAGTTGTTTGTTTTTTAAATTTTTTTTCTGAAATCTAGCATACTTTTTAAACTATAATTGTAAGATAAAGGTAGTGCCTGTAAAAGAGAGAACATTATCGATTGTTACCTAGTATATTTGGAATGAATGTGCCGCTGCAAAATTAGAAATAGCTTCCTGCATCAAAGAATCACCTTTCTTCACACATCTATACTGACGATACTAAATATTAAAAACAAGAAAAAATACGACGAAGAAAATTTTCATAGGATTTTAGCTTTTTTTTTTGTCTGAAAACTTAGAATTAGTCAATTTTAAAGCATAATAGACATTTAGACAGCAGCTTAGCGAAGATAAACGTAAAAAAATAGGAAAATAAATAAAATAGGAAAACGATTCATTCTGAAGGATCGGAGAAAAAAACCAAAAACAATAACACACACCAAATACATAACTGAATGAAGGATAAAACAGATCTTGGGGATGGGTATGAATATGGCATTTCTTTTTGTTAAAGTTTTATGCACGCATAGATGTAGCCATGTATTCTCTTTCTTGCTAACAGCTAAAAGGCATTAGAAAGAAGAAATCCAAGAAGAAAAGAATAGAAAATATGTGATCATCGCTATCATCATGGTTTATTCTGACTGCTACCATGCGACTACATAAAATAGCTAGAAGAGGATGCTAAAGATGAAGTGGCAAACAGAAAAAGAAAGAGAGTACGTGAAAGCATAATACATAAAACCACTTTCTGTAGAAAGACTAATGAGCATAACTATCCTGCTTAATGAACCATACCTTCTTTGCTGGTGACAGTTTTGACACTTTGTGTGGACTTTTGCTTTTCTTTTTCTCTTGCTTAACTAAATACTCAGTGCTCACTATTTATTTGTGGCAACATTGAATACAATATTTTTCAAAGCAACAATTACGACAATCTTCTTCACTTAGAATGAGTAGTAATTGAAAATTTATTAAGTAACCTCAAAAGTTTGTTTTCTATTAATATAAAATGATCATGATAGTCCTGCCATGTGTAATTAAAACATGTCTGCATGCACAAGTTTGTTTTAAAGAAAATTGCTATAAAAGTAAGAGCCAGAGAGCAACGATTTTGTTTTGCTTATGAAAATATTAGTCATTGAATTTGAATGAAAAGAAGAAGAAGAAGAAGAAGAAGAAGAAAAAGAAATCATTTTATACCCCTGGTAAGTTTATTTTGTTCTGGGTTAACAATAAACAAGCTGAAATTTCAATCTAAAAGTAATAATAAAATATTTAATGGGTTGCTGAGCTTTTCTTCTTCTTCTTTTTGTATTACTGACAAGTAGATTTTTGTTTTAAAGTTGATATTTTTATTATTTTCTCCTTGACACATCGTCTCTTCATTTTTGAAAACTGCTTCCTATCAATGTTGACAACAGCAACAACAACCAAAGTCTTTTAATTCTCTACGCATATAGCTAAAACCTTTTATCTTTGGAAAAACTCGGTTTTTGAAAAGTAAAAAAGCAAATCGGAAAAGTAAAAACTTTGAAAATTGTTACACAATTTACCTGTTTATGTCAGTGAAGATTTTTAGTCAATATTATTATCGGGTGGAATGGACATAAAATAATTATGAAAATAAAAAAATATACAAGAAAAAAGAAATGAAGAATGATGAAGAAACAGAAGGAAGAATGCCACCAAGCAACCCGACTACTCTCGTCACTCGATTCAGGCTGACAGTTTTTCTTTTTTTTTTATATTCAGCGTACGGCATATTTCCCATCAACTTTTCTCTCATGTGTACACTAACAACTACTAAAAGGAATGCGTTTGTATACAAATTTTCTCATTCAAAACCCAGAATAACGAAAAATCGATATGAAATCTTCTGCTTTTCTTGTGATATTAATTGGATCTATTGCGCATAATTACGAATTCCTAATTAAGTAAGATAGCAACGAGAATGAAATAAAACGAATGGCGGTTGAATATATTATTGTGTTGTGATATTTAAGTAGTAATCGAAGAACCTTACTTTACATATGAAAATAATACTTATGAGTAGAACATAATGTTTACGAGTAGAACATAATGTTGTTCCTTATCGATGAGAAAATAAAAAGAAAGAAGTTGTGTTCAACAACCGTAAATCTTCATGTCAATAAACTTGATCAAAAACAACAATTTGAATAAGCACCATATTCATATAGATGATTAGTTGTTTTCATTTATTTACTAAAAATTATTCAATGAGATAATTGCGTTTTTCTTTTGGTTATGATTTTATTGGCATGTATAATTTGCAACTATTAATAATAATTTTTTCTTTGTCTTATTTACGCTTCAATTTCTTATCAGAAAATGTGAATAGAAAATCTTTTTTTGTAAAAACTTACTCGGCAAGATATAACATTAAAAAAACATGAGAATCATTGAAATCATAAATTTCATCTTTTTTAAATATTAGTAAGGACCTTCCCGCATATAAATCCGATTTTATAGAAAGAAAGAAAACAGCATGTTTCATTTTACCAAAAGAACTATTTATATTTAGATTCTGCAATTAAATTATCATGACTATTAATCTCGACAGCCTGCAATTCGTCTTTTATTCTACGAGTCAATGAGACACCTAGATTTTGATATGAAAATGCTCGTTCGTTTGTGACATCAGTTGTAATAGTTTACTTGACAGAGAAAAACTCACTTCTTCTTGTTTCTCATCGTTTTGCCAGTAAAATCAACGCGTTCATGCTTTAAATTTCATCTCATAATTTATCGGGTTCACTTATCTATAGGCATATGTGTTCTTTTAGCGCTCGACTCTTCTTAGGATATCATGATCAGACATACAAAAAAAAACAGACCGGAAGAGCGCGTTTTATTAGTTTCATAGTCAACTCTTGGTTTCAACATTTTCTAATGTGAAACATAGGCAAATTCGTTCATGGAATACAAAGTTTTTTGAATAATGAATATCATAAATTTTCGACTGAATATTGCTTTTTTTAATTTTATCTTTCATTTAATTTTGCACTGTATAACTTACTCGTGTGTCGTATTGGTTAAAAACAAGCATAGGAGATAATAGTTTGAGGAGAAGGAAAAAGTCAAACAAACAGAAAAAGATTTTACATCAAGAGAAAATTAACGACGCTACAAATTTGCACATTCATGAATATTTCTTATTATTCTAGTCCATATTCAATAAACTCTCTGGTTATGTCACTTCACCAGATACAAAAACAAAACGACTAGTAAGGGAAGCCAAAAGACAAGAATTATAATTGCACGATCATGTTTCATTCCTGTCTACCATAATTGTATAAACTCGACGCCAGTCCAATTTTCTTCGCGTTTCTTCCAATAGTTATGTCCTGGATCTTCATCACGAATAAAGACATGCGAATCACCATCTCGTTTGAACCATTTTGGAGGTAGAACATGGCCAGCACGTTCGCGTTGAGCTTGTTCAATACGAGCTTTTTCTTTTTCAGCTTCTTCGACTTTTCCAGCTTCGAGTAAACTAATTTAAAAAATAGGAATAGGTCATATTACAGTATGAGATAGAAAGAAAGTGAACGAACCGTTGATCAGGTCGAAAACGAGTATCTGTCGGTGGTAATTGCTTCCGAAGATCATCATCAAGTTCATTTAGTTCAATGGCAAACCGAGTAAAACCATAATATTGCTTTGAATTTTCTGGTACCGCACCTAAATAAAATTTGAAATATGTACAAGCGATTGCATTGAATTAGCCAAAACAATATTAATCTTCAAATGATGAGAAAACTCATTGCATGGAAAATCCGTCGTAAACTACAAGGGAAAAAATCTTGATGGACGTCGTAATCAAGAACCTCCGCTAGAGCTCAGTTGTAAGCATGCTGCTGAAATTTTGATTTATTCTTAGAATTTTATTTACACAAAGAAAAACAAGATATGAATGTTGTCCATTGAAAAGAATTCTCTCTTTGCATCTCAGAAACGTGTCATAAGAGAGAACAGTTGTTCCGGTTGGAATTTTTAAGGATAATTTGATGCTCATTAGATTTATGAAAAAGTAAACCGATCAGAATCTGGCGTATAGACAAGGGGGAAACGGCGGACTTTTGAACTTCAAGTTACTTTGAGCTACTTCAAGTTACTTTCAGCTATTTGAAGTAGCTTACTTTGACGTACTTTTTAACTTCAAATTTTCCTGAAGTCACTTGAGGTTAATTTACGTTACTTGTTCCTACTTTGGGCTACTTGGGTGGTACTTTGAGCTACTTCAAGTAGTCTACTGTGAAGTAATTTTCTACTTCAAGTAGTCTACTGTGAAGTAATTTTCTACTTCAAGTCCGCCATTTCCCCCGTGTCCGTGGTTCATGCAAATTATCAAACTAACTACTAGTAAGCATCATATGTGCATCATGTTCCCATCACATATGTCATATCTAGATTATTTTCACATGCGTTAGCTAAAAATCTGTTTTGTTTCTATTTCCACGAAATCCGAAAATAGATAATACAAATCTCGTCTCCATTGATCTGTTAATAATCTAATTCATTCGTATGTTGTAAGAACTAATTGGTTTCATTTAGCACCATATTTTCAATAAATATTAATCTCTTATTACGTACTTTGTCGCCAAATACATTTTGCTGTTTGATCATTTCCACAAAAAATATTTTCATGCCAATGGCCGAATATTTTGTGAACTACTTTCCCCGTAGCGTCTATAATATCTCCAGCGACGTTATTTAAACGTGTTCGATAATCACTCTAAATTGATTTCGAAATAGAAAAAAAAAAGACTTTTTCTATTGAGTTTTGTTTTTTTAAACAAAAACTAACCTGAATAAAGCTAATTCGAGCTTTAGTACCAAATGAACTTTCAACAAGAACATCACCATAATGATCAATCCATCGTTCTGATGACAGAACATTATGTATACACATTGGACATTTATTCCATGTTATTGTTTCATTGTATTTTGGTAATACTAATGTATTCAATGAATCAGGAAATATTTCTAAAAAACAAATTATTATTACAAATTAATATATTCGGAAAAAAAAGTAGCTACCTATTGATTTTCCCCAGAATTTTACTTTGGCTTGTAATTCTAAATAGAAAGAAGAATTGCTGAAATATAATTTCCTCTAATTTCATTTTCCTACTTTGAGAAAATATAAAATTGGGTGAAATACAAGTACATGCACTTATTGTTGGATGGTGACTGACCTACAAAACATAAGACATTAAAGTATTGTTAAAAGAAATTAAAAATAAAATTTTACTTGTTCGGCAATGAATTTCCATCCTTTATCTTCCCGTATACATTCGTATGTTTCACCCAATAAAGGATTAAAATTTTTTCGTCCAGTTCGATAATAATTTGATGAATATGTTGAAACAATAAAAGCAGCAATATAAACAAGACGCAGATAAACATCGTCTGTTTGTGATGCACGGTCGAGTAAATCAGAAAATTCCATTTCTTCACATAATTTTTGTAATAAACCTAATGGTTCATTTAATATAACTGGCATTGCTACACGAGATAAATCTTTTCCAATCGCTTTACGCATTATATTCCATAAACCAATATTTGATGTGTCCGGTGCACACGATGGTAGAGATGACCGCCGCCATTTTATTTCAGGTAGTTCTATAGAACGAATGAATTGAATAGAACGAATAAGAAAAATATGAGCATACTTAATTGCGGTGGAATAGTTGATATATGAGAGAGATCGCCAGCATGACTTTCATCATCGCCACAACTTGATGATTCAAAGTCAGACTAAAACACAAGAAACGATTATATATGAGAAATAGAGAGAGTATTGCAAATCAGTTTGATGATTTCATTTTTAAGCAATAATTAAATTTTTCTTGAATCATTTTTGTAAAGTTAACTTTCTATTGTTAATTTGTTTTCTTTTCTGAAATCTTCTCAGATATTGAAAACGTCTAAAATGACAAGCGAAGAAATCTTATCAATCGTTATTTTTTACAAGATTGACTGCAATCATGCAGAGTCTAACCTTCATTTAGTGTCATGAAACTCAGACCAGAACATAGGCTCGGATCGAAAATGTACTGTCAGATTGATTCCGGTATCGGGCGTAGAAAAAATTGTCGGTTTGACTCCGGATATGAAACGTTATGCCCGTGTAGAACATTTAAATTATGATTCTTAGTTTTCCTCGCGTTGTTATTTTTAACAGAAATTTTGTTTAAAAAAAAACACAATTTAACACAAGTTCTTCAATATTTTTTCTTAATGCATACATCACAGAGAAGATACGTATTTGTAATAGAAAATTACATATAATTAATGAAATGATCAATTAAGTACTTCTCAATATTTTCTTTTTTAATTAACACTTTGTGAAGGAAGAAGAAACTAGCTTGCCAAATCAATTTAACATATCAGATAACTAAAAAACCATACAGTGAATGAGTTTCCTTAAATATTTTTCACAAAAGATTAGATATTTATTAGTTTCAGTTCTGACTACTCGAGTATTTTTTAAGTCATTTTTATTGACTCATATTCTATAATAGATGATGCTATTTTTGTGTACTCAAAAAGTGAGTACACTCTAGAATCGGTCAGTATGTCCGTCCGGTCGGCCGTAGGCACGATAACTTTCGACAGAAGAGTCAGGCCGTGATGAAATTTTCCACACAGTTCAATCTCATGAATATCTCGGTCGAGTTCGAAGATGAGAAGAATCCCTCAAGAAATGGCTGAGTTATCGAAAAAATTGTCATTTTTGACCAGGCCATCCCTGAGGAAGGGTACAGGGATTTTTTTCCGAAAAACAAATTTTTCTCAGAATTATTCACAATATATATAACTCGACTCAGTTTTTAACGCTGATTCCGAATCTGATATTAGTTTTGAACTAAACCGTAGCTTTCTAACGAAACATTGCCTGAAAAACGTCTCAAAATGCACAAAAACTGCATCCAGAAATCAAATTGCCTAGTTTCTCATGATAATTTTGATGTTCCGACATTCTAGAATGACTCATATGTCCCATGCACTTTTTGCAGTACACATAACTCTCGGATGAAATCCGAAGTTTCCACATTTATTTATACATAAGACCACGAAGATATTTTCTAGTTTGATATTTAGGTAACTGGCACAAATACATCGTTACAGTAAACCAGTATTATTTATCGAAGATTTTTGTCCAATACCTTCCACAGATGTTTCAGAAAAGCTTTACTGATATACGAATCATACAAGCATAGTATTCATATTTTTTTTATGATAATAGCAAAGTACAAAGTGACTTCCGTGTTCGAAAATAGCGATTGAACATAGGCGGAAGCAATGTCTTCGTTTTTTTCTTGCACGACAGTATTTCTCGGGAAAAAAAGAATGCGTATCCCATGATAGTTGAGTGATGATGAAAAGGACACGCATGTATATAAAGTAATTTTCGCTTAAATTATGTAGTTTTGACACAAATGTCAAATAATGCTCCATTTGTCTGTTCTATTGTGTCAGGACGAGTTATTTTGGATTTATTATCTCTAATTCGTTCAGCTATCCTCGAAATTGCAATTAATCACTAGTCGATTTTTTGAACAGTCTATGTCACGAAGTACTGTATGAGTTCTACTAGGAAAGATATGTTTCGAATCATTTCACAAGTGTTGATGAATAGTATAACAGTTAGAAAAGAAATATTTTGCACCAAGATAAAATTCAGGGTATCACGACGTTTCGTGCATTTCTCAAAAATCACAATACGAAAAATGTTAGATTAACCTTGAGTCGTAGAATAAAAGTTGTCGTAAAGTTTCAGCTTCCAGATATTTTCTTTTATGAGATATCGGAGATGTAAAATGACCTAGAGTTTCTATGCAAACACGTAGAATTATAACTTTCGTAACTATGATTAAATTGCAATTTATGCCCTATTGTTTCCTCCGATTCGCACTATCAATATACTACAATCGTTAAGAATAAAACAGCGCAATTTTATTTCCAAGTTTACCACAAAAATCTGTTTTTGTTTTCCAAATCAAATTCCATAAAATTCATGCAGATCAATAGATAGCATTGATATCAACAGGGTGTAAGAGTTTGACTGTACGGGGTAGCACACTCGAAAATTCGTAGAATAAAATTAAAATCAATGTTTTGACGGTTAAGGTTTCGTGAAACATGGAAACGAAAATTTCTCTTAATCAATGTACAGGTGACTGAGAAAAAGCTTACCCTGGACATCCCTAGTGGGGGCTAAATAGTTAAATTTTGATATTTTTCAGAGGCAAATTTCCTCTACGTACCATTTTTTCAATTTCATCTTTATCTTCATTGAGCATGAGAACACTAAGAACTTCAGGAGCATCATAAAAAATAGATTCATGTCGAGACATAGTCGTCGATCCTGATGATATTGATTGAAGGGTATTACTGGTTCCTGCATTTACTGAATTAGTCTGAAAAAAGAAAGTTTTTTTCATGAAATTTTTTTCATAAAATTTAATTTACTAATTGTTGTTGTTGTTCTATAGCGAGCACAGATAAGCGTTTATAAAGATTATTTAGATTATCAAAAACTAAAATCGAAAAAGACACTTGTTAATGAATATTTTTCGTACTAATTAATAACCTTTTTTCGATAATTCAAAGTAATCTTGTCGTTGAACATCGAGTAACGTAAAAGAATTAATACTACTTATACTAGCTGATGGTGTATGGCCACTATTTGTTTTACCTCCATCCTAGAACACGAGAGATAAAATGAATGACATATGCTAAAATAGATAAAAACAAACAAATAAAGAAAGAAACTCTTACTATAGATCTCGAAGATACACTTGATGTTGTCGTCGTATTTATCTTGATTTGTTCAAGAACATCAGATAGACTACTTAATTGCACTTGAATTTCAGCGAAATCTATTTAATTGCAATGAAAAAATGATTTGCTTTATTTTCCTTTGAAATCAATTTTTGCAAGCATTACCATTGTAAAACAGGCGATCAGATGATTTTATGGCACTATTAATTGGCGATGGGCTTTTATGGTTAGTTTCTTTTTTTGGTTCGTCGGTGGTATTTATATTTTTTATTAATGGGCTTTGTTCTTCCAGTACTCTTTGTCGATAATTTCGATGAATGGCTATTTGTTCAAGCCACTGTTCAAATGAACTTCTATCTTTTATTTTAATATGATAAACAGAATTTGTTTCGTCGATATTAATACGTTGCAATTCTCGAATAAATGTAACAATGCATAAACCGATATCACATCGACCATTGTATCGACCACGTTTTATCTGGCAAAAAACAAAATTTTAAAATCAATTAATTTTCGTATCGTCTTCTTTCATTTAGTGAAGTAGAGTAAATTGATCTCTCTCTCTCGAGAGAATGTCTGATCTGCACTCAAAATATAAATCATAATTATTCTCAACCTGTTTTTTAGTTGTATCTTTGTTAATTTTGTTTATTAAAAAACTACCTTATGGACAAATTTTTCTTAGTAGAAAACATACGACGTTTTATATAGCTCATTCACAGGAAGAAAAAGCAATGTTCAATGGATGTTTAACAGCTTACTTCTTGCTCAGATTTGCCGTAGATTAAATAACCATCTTGTAAAACAAAAAAGCGTTTATGCCACCCACGATATGGCCATTTACGTTTTTTCATTAAATAATTCGATAATGTTATCATAGGTTTCGATGGATCATTAACCAATTTCATTGGTAACAATTCCGATGCATATGTCTAAATAGATATTCAAAACTTTTTTATTAATATTTCATTTTATCATTAGTAGAAAAACGTTTTCGTGAATGTTTCGATCATATCAAAGCTGTGTATTCAACCTTGACTTGATTATCCTGGTTTTTTTATTTACGTTTATAATCAAGCAAAAATATATCATCTAACCTTTCTTTGTTTTTGTCTTTTTTGGCCACTTGTTGACACAATTTTTTCGTTGACTCCGCCTGCAACATCATCATCGGAATCTTCGCCATTTTCCGAATCTGTATTAACCTAAATAAATGAATAAAAATAATATAATATTTATTGTTTTCTTTTCGTACAAAAATAAAAGAATAATTTCTATTCAATATGTTTTTCTCACTTGGTGTCTAGTATTATCTTCGACGGTTATTTGTTTATTGGTTGTAATTGTAGTAGCCCATTTTGGTTGCTTTTTTGAGAAAATTTTTATCTCATAAGTAACATCATTTCTAATTTCATGAAATGTTTTTAATTTCAAAGCTTTCTTAATACCTCTCTCGCTAGTCATTATTGAGATGAATATGTCATCTTTTGATCCATTGTTCCTTTACAAATGAAGACAGTGATGGGGAGCACATAAAAATATTTTTTTTCGTTCTTTCGTACGCTTCTTTTTTGCAAAAAAAAAAAGAAAAGGCGATATATTTATATATATATATATCCATGTACACATACATTTAGTTGAAGGGCACAGCTGAGTAAGTCCATAAAAAATTCCCTGTTTTTTGTCTTCATTTTTTATTTGAAGAAAGTTTAATAGAAGGCTATATGAGATAAGAATTCTTGTTTATTGTACGAATTTACAATGATAGACATATCATATAGGAAATTACTAAACTATTTCTTTATCGATTTATGGCAACTCCCATATGTTTTTATTCTTTTTTAAAAAGTATTCAAAATATGTTTGTTTTGTCTTGGAGAAAAAAAGAAAATATTTCCTCACAAAATATTCTCTATTCATAAAAACCTATATTTAACATAATACAATAAAATTCATATCCTGTGTTAATATAATAAGATTCTGAGTACATTTATTCCTTTTAATAATATTCGTACAAACGAATCGATTAAGTTCAAAATTGTCATATAATTGTTTTCGATTTTCTAAAATGAGTAATACTCACGAAGACGAGAAACGAGCGAAGAAAAAATTGAACTATATTTGTTCTCGTTCGTGTAAAAAGAAATTGGAGTAAGACGAATAGTTACCATAAAATTTTCGATTCTCCTTAAAAGCTACTATTAAAATAAAAAAGTAACTAACTTACAGAACGATTCTTTTGAATTTTTGCTGCTGTCGTTGTCGTTGATGATTTATGCATTTCTTTCTTCTTTTTTTTTCGTTAAAATTAAAATAAACTCTCCAGCATCGAAACTATTTATATATATTATCAATTGATTCAATCAATTAATTTCAAAAATCATTCTAAAATAATATAAATGCAATCAATAGAAATAAAATAAAATAAAATAAAATAAAATAAGAATAAACAGAACAATAATCGATCGAAACGATTATTTCCGGTTTAAAGAACTAACAAATCAGATGAATCATATACGAATTCTTCCAAATGGCTGGATCCATGATGGAACCAATCTTTTCTTCTCGTTTCAAAGATGTCGCTTAGTTATCTAGAAGATCATATTTCGCTATGTACACTATTATAATCAGATTTTTTTCTCACGATCAACCACAATTCAATTTCTAGAAAAATGAACATGAGATAGAAATAGTCGTTACTTTCATCAGTGGATAGAATTGATAATTTTCTTTCTTCTATTTAATCAGCTAGAAGATAATCCAACATACTCATAAAAGCTAATCGTCGTCGATAAGGATATGAAGTTAACGGCATCTCTTGCTTGGAAACGTTTCTTCCTGTAAGATTGTCTGTAGAATTTTGTAGGGTGGTCTCGAAGGATGTTTGTTTTTGTTGACTATGATTAATCGTTTTTTGACACGACAGTAGGCCTACTCTTTCATATAAGTTTTTATCTCTCTAAACGCATAGAAGTCGAGTGACGAATTGATGAGTGATAAAGAAATGACATTTATATAATTTTGTTTTGACTATTACTTGAACCCAATAGTTAAACCAACATTGGATCAGTGGAATTTGTTGGCAGAATTTACGATTTTCATTCTAATGAACTGTTGCACAGATTAAATATAGTTTCATTGAAAGCTAAAATATAAATAAACTCGATCTTATCCATAAGATAAAAATAAAACAGTTGAATATTATTTATTTTCATTGCGATTCAATGAAATATTTATATGTAAGTCTTAAATAGACATCTTGAAAATTTTGACTGCAACAGTTGGTTGCAAAATAAATCAAGCGAAGTCTATCTCATAGAACATCAATCGAAATTATATAATAAGATGAAAAAAGAGCATATTAACTATACTCAATGAAAAGTATTCTTAACAAGCTGTCGCAGCTATCCAAGGATCATATTCGACTTACTTTCAAATAAAACAATTTCAATAAACTATTGGACTCTTTGGTCTCATTCAATCAATGCAAAATAAATACAATGAAAAAATTCCAACGAACTACTGTTATTCCTCCAAGGATAATCGATTGCCCGACAAAATATATATCTTATTAATTATTTCGAACGTAGTTTTTTCTCTTTTTTTTGTGCTCACTATCATCGTATTTTTTTTTATATTGCTGTGCTGATATTCGCTTGTTACTTTTCTTTGATTACACATAATTAATATTCTAACCATGGATCAAAATGACAACTAAGGGCTCTGTACACATCTATAATATTCGTTGTAGGTACCAAAGTGACATTATTCACCTCAATAAATTCAGAAATACTCATGGTGGTTCGATGGCTACAGTTTAATCAGTTCAATATTTTATAAAGGCTGTGATCGATCAATGCAACACTTCTCATTCTCTTTGAAATCTTGGAAATCATTTTTTTTTAAATCTATAAACAAAAATAAATTGCTGAAATCTTGAAAATCAATTTTAAACGTTTCTGATGATCATTATTAGAATATGAATGATTGTTTTTTTAAATATTTAATTAAGCTTGACCCTCCAGTGATGACTTTGGGAAACGCCTATTTTCTTTTTCAGATCGAGTTCTCTTTGATTCAACAGTATAACAATCCTTATAGAACAAACAAACAAACAATTTTCAAAAGGATTTCCTACTAGGAAAAAGCTGATATATTTGTTATGTATATGATGTTCTTTCTCTTGGTGACAATCATCTTTTATTAATCATTTCTTTAAAAAGAAAATTGTTGTTCAAAGCATAATTATTCATAAAAAATCTTTATTTATACTGAAATTACCAGAGGAATCTATCTCTCATTTTCATTTTATATAATAATTCTTTCAACGCGTTAGACATAGACAATAAACAAAAATAATATACAAGAGAAAAAATGATGGACAGCGTTGGTGGCACTTTATACAGGAAACAATAAGCGAACATACATACATTAACGAATCCTATGAAATGAACTGAAAGAAAACATGAACCAAAATCTGTTGCGATCAACGTAAACTTATCCAGAGTCTTGATTTTCTGATGATTACGAAAAATGATTCATCGAGAAATGCATAAACTCAAAATTTTTCTGGATATTTCGACTATCAAAAAGAAAAGATGGTCACTTTTCTCTTCATTTTTCTCAACTGCAATACATCTGTTAAAGTTGCAATCTATTTCTAACGGATATTATACACTGTTGCGATTGCCTATTTTGTTCGACATACTTTTTTCTCACGTTTCATTTCGTATAAAACTCTAAATAGTTTAATCTCTATCGAATATATTTAATTTTCGAACGGAATTTGTCAATTACTATGCGTCTTTCGTTAGATAAAGTTTTCCCTGTACTCTAAAAATAAATCTACAGGTTTTCAATAAGGGAATATAGAGGGACTAGCTTTTTTTAAAGAGATTGCCATGGCGATCGGAGATTTTAGTTCAAATGTTTTTTTTACATTTACTTCATAGAATCAAATTAGTGCATGAGAAGAAAGGGAAGGTATTCTCTATCTGACACACAACACACACGCACAAATATACGTAAACATAAAACAGAAGAAAAACGAAACCTGAGAAAGAAAAGCATTAAGCATATCGATATTTTCGTACTGAATCTGTTGTTAGATCAACACAGAGTACACAGCCATCCTGAGTTGTTGTTAATGAACATGGACGTCTTAATCTTTGGTTATAAGAATCAATAATACGTAATAAATGACCTTGATTATCATAGATTTCAATATGTGCATTTCCATCTTTCTCACATTTGCCAGCTAACAGAAGACCATTTTTATCTACACAAAGCGCTGTATAAAATCCTAGAAAGTTTGAAAAACAAATGATTCAATGAATGCATAAAACAAAAAAAGATCGACTTTGATTTTGTCTTACCTCCTTTTGTTGTTTGACTATTCATAGATTTTGTATGTTGAGGTAATGTTAACGATTGTTTATGATGTGATGCAATGAGATCAGGTGGTTCATGCGTTATATGTATATCGACATCAACAATTTGTTGTTGATTTACGGATGATATTTGCCGCATATATTTTCCTTCGTATGATAATACATGTATACGATGATCGCTAAGTATAATTTCGTCTTGTAAACCGATTGTGAATGCTTTTATAGTTTTTATACCAAATGAACGTATATCAATTTTATTTATCAAATCACCTGTACGACTATCAATAATTAATAATGTATTATTGTCGCATATTAGTAAAGAATTAAAATGTTGTTCAAATAGAGCTATTTGAACAGGTTCATTAAATAATGAACATGTTACTTGATGATTTATATGAATTCGACTATTATTGAGATGTGCTGATGATGAATTGGAATTGAATAATGTGAATTCAGTTATAAATTTACTTTTCCAATCAAGCAAATAGAATGTTGATGTAGATGAACGATAAGCTAAACCAGTACTTGTTGGTTCAACCAGAGAGTCAGCTACTAGAAATAAACATATTTGTTTTAAAACACATGATTTCATACTGAGCATAACTAGGAATGTGCAGTGTGTCCAGTGGAGCACTGGTTATACCGGCAGTGTGCGCAGTGGAACACTGACAGCCCCGACGTCGGTGTTCAGTGAAACACTGATACACCGATATCTTTCTGATTGACTAAAGACTTCAGTCAATCAAAAGTTGTCGGTTTGTCAGTGTTTCACTGCTCATCAATGTATGAGTGATCATCAGTGCTTCAATGAAGTCGGTGTCAGTGACACTGATTACAGTGTGACCGGTGTTCCACTTTGCACACTATCGGTGTAGTCGGTGATCAGTTTTTCAGTATTTACGCCGACACTGTACATCTCTAAGCGTAGCAAATACTATTGAAACAGTTGTTAGTGAGATAAAAGTAGAAAATATGAAAAAGATGTGTATATTGTTAATGAAGAAAATCATTAATATGTGTTTTAGGTTGTCAATTACTGTCATGTTTATTATGGAGCGTGTTAATGCTAATATCTTTTAAGGAGCACATGTCAGAATGACAATGGGCAGATATTTTAATGTAGTTCTTTTTCTTTTGGATAGTGACCTTGCTGTAAACCTGGATGTCGATAATTGACTAGACGATACTTGATCATTATTGGTCGCCTTCAGATTTATGTTCATCATTTAGATTCGGATAGGCTATATGGAATGTAACAAGATGTAAGACCCTTTCTACTTACTGATCACTGAGAAGATACTAAAATTTCATGACATTTGTTCCTAAGTTGAGAACAAAAGATTAAAGTTGTCTGTCTATGGTAGCAATGTAAAACATACACTTTTACCATACTCATATCTTAGGATTAGCAAGGACTCACAAGTATAGAACAACTGCTCTCGTAATCAGAAAAATAAATATGTTTGTTGATTGGTCAGATTTGATTCTTCTACGAATACTTAAATGATGGAAGTCTTACCGAGATGTTCAATAAATTTTCCATCCACTGTAAGACATTTAATTCGACTATTTCCTGGATCGAGTATATATACTTGTTCTCGCTCATTTCGGTTATCGACGATAACACTCACCGGCATTGATAATTCATGTTCACCTCGACCCCGTTTACCTTGAAGTTAAAGAAAAAAAAACAATCTGCTGAAGAAAATCTTCTCTTTTTGGTTTTGTTTTCATCTTACCGAATGTCCATAACGGATTATTATGTTTTGTTACATCAACTGTAAATGGTGAACCTGATATAGGACGATCAAATATTCTTATATCGATTTTATGATTTCCACTAATTAGCGGTCGAAATATAATTGTATATGCTCCACTTTGTTTATCATATAAATCATATTCACATAATTTTCCATATGAATCCCAAATATTAACTGTTAATGGATCACCACCATCAACACGTATATTTCCATTGTAATCAACTGTTTCAATCTGTATCGCACATTGAAGATTAGCTACAGGTGCTTCAATTTTTGCTCGACATAATGGAGGATATGTTGATGATACACGTATACGGCCAACACTATTTAATGAACGTGCTAAATCTTGTAGAGCTTGATTATGTCGAAATTCAAATTTCATAAACGAATTTTCGCGTGGTTCACCCAACAACGACATGCGTTCAATACGATCATTCAATTCTTGTATACGTTGAGTTAACACATGAATATCGGATGCTTGTTGAAATGCAGCACATTCCAGTTCAATTTTAGATTTTTCATCTAAAGAAAAATCTTCAAAAAATTAACGTCAAAAAAATGGAAATATTTCAAAATTTACTCAAAATAACATTTAATTGATCGTTGAGAACTTTTAATTTATAATCTTTTGTTGTTTTCAGTGATTGTAATAAATTATGACGGCGATGTTCAACATAGCTTTTTATTTCATTGAACGATCGATCAATAGCTTCAGCTGAAAAATAAAGAAATTTGGCTATGCAACGTTTTGCCAACGAACTTTAACTTACCAGCTTTTTCCATACTACTATCCAGTCGTTGAATTTCATTGTTAACTAATTCGAGTGCATGATCCAAACAACTGGTAGCTATGATTGAAAAAATAAACAATTGTTAGAAGATCTATCGAACACAGAATTTCTATTAGCGTCGTAACGATGTAAGACATCTATATATATAATTTCGATTTGTCAATACTTCCTATGGTTCATGTTAGTAAACATACTATCGATTAAATTGCATTGCTATCTGAATTGAGAGAACGTTAATGCAAGTGAAGAGAAGATCTATACTCACATTCTCAAGATTATTATTATTCAGAATTCATTAGGAGATTTTTTTTTATCTAGATATAAATAGACGTATCTCATCAAGGTTATGTTCATACAAAGTAGTGACTATGCACAAGGACGTTGACAATCAAATGTTATAATAGATTACCTTTTCTACTCGGATAATCTTCTGTCATTCTACAAGAAAGTGAATATGAATAATCAACATGACATCGTGTAATTAGTTTTATATCAGTGAGGAATTTTTCATACTGTCTACTAGAAAACAAAATTGTAATGGACTTTTTGTTAATACAAGCCTGATACTATTAATGTCTAATCAGCAATCATCATGGTTTTCTTTTTACCATGGTATACTATGATGGTGATGATCAAATAACAATCGTTTTTCAAAAGATGACACAAGGGAATCGCATTGTAGAAATCGGTTGCTGAATTTTATTAGGCTCGTATTGTGGTAACTAGAGAAAACTTGAAAGAATTCGTTACCATAAATATAAATATGAAAGAGAGGTTTTCAAGGTAATTCTATACTCGAGCTCACTAAGGAATTATTTCCAAGCAATAAAATATTTTTGAGTTGAATTCTTTATTTAAGGTAAACACAAGTCTGATACGAGAAAAATGCATGAAATTCAGTCTCTTTGTATCTGTTTCTCTAGAATTTCAGCGATTTCAAAGAAACTTACACGTCCGAAGAAATTTCCCTTCAGGAGATATTTGATTTCTAAAAGTAAGTGCAATATTTTGCAGCAGCAATACTGTTTTAAGCTGAAAATTTTACGAGAACGATTGCCATCAAAAAAAAAAACCATTTATTCCTGGACAAAATTTCTATTTTGAAATATAAATTCCTTTTTACATACCATCCTTTAGGTTAAATTGCGAGTAAAACGATTATAGCTCTGCAGGAAGAACGCAAGAGGACTCATATTGTTAAGATTTCTTTCATAACTCACGAAGGTCGACTTCATATACTAAATTGATACATAGAAAAAAATTCCCACATCAGTTCAAACTTAACATAATAGACTCCCACTGAGACTAATTTATTATGCAAGTATTTAACTTCCTAACATCTTCTGACCGTTGAAGAAAAACTAAAATCTATTACTTTTAAAAATCAATGGGCTTATAGAACAACTTAATTTATAAAAAATTCAAATTTGAACATGATTTTTAGCCATAAAGTGAAATACACAATAGCATGTAATTGTAAATTTAAGTTCTCGCATTGTTCGATAAGAAAGCTTTAGGTGATCCATGCATTTATTACTTTAAATAGAATCCATTCAATTAAGATAAGACTGACTCTCCAAAGAAGCTTTACCATTTTATAAGGTTTTCTTGTTCGAATCAAAGAATAGTAGTCGATTTTCAACTCATTTCTCTAATCGTTACTCTGATGATGATGATGATGATGATGATGATAAATTCTTACTTTTTGATGCTTTAAATGACAGGATTTCATTCATACGTTTAATTGCTAATGAAAATGGAACGACTGTATGTTCAGCTGATATTTGATGTTGATCACATAATTGACAAAAAATCTTATCGCATGTTTCACAAAATAGTAGTTCTTCATTTGTATGTGAATCACATTTGGGAATAACATCGCGTCGTTGACTAACCATTAAGTCAAGTAATTGATTAACTAAAAATGACGGTGGAAATGAAGTGACACCACCTAAAATTTGGAATTATTTAGATATAAGAAAGAAAAGAAATTTTTGCGATCACTCACCTCTAGGTAATAGAATATGTTCTCGACAGATAGGACCTATGTAAATATATGAATTAAGACTATGTAAGCAAGATTATATATTAGCATACACTTAATCGCATCAGATCTTGGTTGTGAATTAACAATATGTTCTAAGCATTGACGACAAACTGTATGTGAACATGGCAATAGTTTTGGTTGATGTTCATGTGAATCCGACGAGTATTGATTGATGCACGTTGAACAAGTCAGAAAATGTTCTGTAAAATCTTTAGCATTAATATTAATTGTTTCTACTAATGTTGAACCCATTTTTGTTTTCTATATGATTTCTGTATCTTTCGTCGTCATATCACATCTGAAACTTATAATTTATATATTTACATAAATATATGTATGTATATATATATATATATATGATCAACATAAATTGACATTGATGCATGATCCATGGTAAAAAAAAAAGAATAAAAAAACGAAGAGAAAGAACAAGCTGACGGCAAGGATGCTGTTAACCTTGGATTTGGATCGTCGACCTATATGCTCGGAGTTGTTCATACATGTAAATAGAGACGATGAGCAAAGATCAACTAAATCAAGTATCAACGATACGATATGATAAGTTAACTAAAGCTCAAGGAGAAAAACAAGAATAATATCATGGAAATACACTAAGCATATTCATTATCCTGAGGGACTAGAATGGAAAAAAATGAACTACAAGCAATAGATAGATTTTTTTTTTCTCAAGGTAGTACCGAATCAAAAGCGATAGTAGTCGAACCTGTGTGTAAAAGAACTACGTAGTACGATAAGAAAAAAATGAAGTAATAACCTTGGTCGTTTTACTTTTCTACTGATTTCCTGCTGACAATTACTCATTAATAAATGCCATTGCAAATTCTGACACTTCAACTGAATTTCTTAGGTTTCTTTAGAATTTATGTTTATTAAGCACTAGAAATATGTAAAATCAATTTTTTTTGGTCTAACGGATTCTGAAAATTATCTGCAAAAATAGTCGAATTCTTATTTTAATCTCCTTTTTAAACATGGACAGGCATTGTTTTTCTCCAACGTAAACATTCTCCATATGAATAATGACATCTTCCTATGTAGAAATGCTATTAAATGAAAAATGTAAAGCAAATAAGTATAGTTCTCCTATGAAATCAACAAAATATATTGATAAAGATTAGATACATTCGACATTTTTCTGTAAATGTATTTCCGCAAGCTAAAATTACTCACTTGTATTTAGTGATGAACGGATGCCCATCGGAGTGTCATCAGATGCATTCATTCATTCATTCACTTACGGGCTAAGAAAAAAACTGACATTTGTGCTCCTGTTTAATTCCGAGGAGCATGGAAGAAAAAAGTGGAAGAAAAAAAGGGAAGAAAAAAACGGAGGAAAAAAGAACGACGAAGAGAACGATAATGACACACGCTAAGATTCTTCTGCTCTACGTAAATCGTTTACAGATGAGATGTTCATTGTGTTCAATATGTTGCCATTGCTACTGTTCTACTGATAATAGTAGTAACAATCGAGCCACAAAAAAACAAAACTAAAACGATCAATGTAGCACCTGAGCAGGGGCTCGAGCCAAATTGCAATCATCTATTATGCATTTATTACTAAACAATGACTTTTTCAATGCAGGCTTGATCGATTTCAAGATAACAACGTAGAATAATGAACAGTCTCACCTGGACCTTGTGAGGAGAAATATCACGCTCTGCCCACTGAGCTATTCGGGTCACATGATTACAAAGACGAAATGATCAGTTTTGTTTTCCTATTTCAAGGGCAAGCGTTTCTACTTGAATGTTTTCTTTCTAGCTCATCTCGTGATCAAAAGAATGCTTGACAAAAACAAATTTCTCATGACTGACATTCCTCTGTCGGTCAGTGCAAGTGCCATGTTGGCGATAGATGACAAAAATGAAAGACTGTCCTTGCAACATGCCATTCATTCTATTGCTGGATGATTTCTCTTTTTTTTCTTTCTTCTGTTGAAGACAGTGACAATGGATAAATCAAGCAGCAGCATAATCATCTCTCAAGGTTTGATTATATAAAAAAGAGAAAAAAATCTAACAGTAACGTAAATCAAGAAACATAGAATACGATATATTTATATATACAACACAAATTCATCTGGTAAAGCATGCATTTCTTCTTTTATTGAACGAAGAATGAATGCTAACATGATGAATCCCATCAGCAAGATAAGAATTTGGTGTTGTAACATACTCTATGGTCATCTCATATTACGAAAAAGAATAACAGGAGATTCATTCATTCGGTATTCATTACCTGGCTTTTTTCCCCATTCGATTACTATCTATAAATTAAGCAGACACGAAGAATACGAGTAAATCTACATGTGTAAATCTTAAAATAAATGTTACATGATAATGATAAAATAGATATAAATCTAGACAACTGCAAAAGAAGCCTTGAGAAACCAAACACATGAAGTGATTGATTAGTTTAAACTAATTTTATCAGAAACGCATGAAACAAAAACTTACAACACGAAATCTCTTGGGTACAATATATGTTTCAACCCCATCACCATTCTCATGTCGACCATACTGCCCACTCTTATAGTCATTTTTTGATCTATTCTTTTTCTTTCTCGTTGTCTCTCTCCCTCTGTGTTTTTCTCTACTTGTTCTCTTACGTCCGTAGAGCGACACAATGTTCATTTTTTGTTCCTTCTCTATTTTCTTTTAGCCTGACTGGCCGCATGCACACACATTGAATAGTATACATGCAAACATATGCATGCAGCAATATATTAAAATGAGGTTCACCCCCTCGTCTCCTTCTTCTCCACCGCCACCAAATAATAATCATATCAATAAAAGAACACATCCACATAGAAAAAAAAGAGAATGTCGCCTTACCACTATCGATTGTGCAAACGAGAAAAAAGACCCTCGATTATCCCTCCATCACGTCGAACTCTTTTCTTTGTGTAATCACATTCTAATGTTTAAAAGAAAAGAGAACAAGAGAAAAGAAGAAAATGAGAAGTCCAATAACATATCTGCATTGTGTATTAACCAATTTCACAGATTCTTAATAAAAATTAATAGATCATTCACTGAATTTTAAACAGTCTGCTTATTTTACTAGACACTATCTACATTCAATGTTTATCTTTTACAGCAATTAATTCAATAGATGCATGACATGAAAAGGCTACCGATAAAAATTAATATACCTGTCAGAATCTAGACAGGATAGGCTTAAATGAATCTTATTTGAGTTTAGAAATAACTTTAATCTAGACAAAGCTTATCAATCGATTCATTCCCAATCTTTTTTCTCCGATAAGAAATCAAATATTGTCGTATTTATTGAATCAATAATTAAAATGTCAATTACATTATTTTGTTTTAGTCTAAGTCTTCTTAATACATTCTAACGAAACTAATATTTCAAATCGATTTAAACTTAATACAAAGATAATTATACTTGTTTATTTCTTTCAATGAACACAAAAAAAAGAAGGCTAATGGAAAAGAAAAAAAAAGAAACGAGATGTTCGTCTTCCAACCACGAAGAAGATCATTCGCTTTCTGATGGTGTCTAAAATTTCATCGTAAATAAAAATTTCATTATTCTCACTGCTATCTTACTGTCGGAATCTGTTGATCTGGTCTTGTTATGGATTTAAAATGACGATTAGATGAACGTAAATCGTTCTGACAATTACTATATCCCATACCTATGCCTATACCTGTACCAAAGATAATTGGCCATGGACGACCTAGTCTTTCACAAACAAAGTATTCATAATATTTTAATGTTAACCAAAAGTTTCACTTACGTTTGAAGAGAAGAGCCGAAAAAACAATACCCCATGTGAAACCAAAAGCTAAAAAACATGATCATGATTAGGATAGATAAATATTTTTATTTAAACCTGTTTTAAGAATGCCATCGGTTAAGCATCGATCCCATTTTTCACCATTTGCATTATCTTGTGATAAAGAACGATTTGATGTTGACATCTATTAAAATATGAATGTAAATAATTAAAAGAAAATAATAGTATTTATGATATTTGCTAAAACAAAAGACTCACGCACTATCACACACACACTCACACTTTCTAAATTGGATTGGTTGGTACCTATTTTTGACCAATACAACCAATACTTACTGTGTCGCTACTATCTGCAACGCATTTCACTTTTGAATCTTCTCTGATGAAAAAAATGAATAGTTTTCAGTCGACTTACCCGATCACTACTGAGTGAACAACCGATGAGATTAGAATGTTTACATGCATTATTTTCAATTCATTCAAAGAATAAATGAAAAACAATCATTATTAAACCATTCAGTTGAAAATAGGAACTTGTATAGCTTTTGAAGAATTCAAAGGATTACCAATCTTTTCCAGAGACTTCACTAATCTGCTCTTGAAACAACTTTGCAACTTATAAAAAAACAAGATAAAAGGTCGACATGACATAATTAAAATGAATATAGTGTAATAGTTAAAATAAAATAAAATAAAATATCTGACGGTGTTCAAATCAGAAAGCTGTCAGCGCAATGCCCTGGGAGATTCAAATATACAATAGGGCATCGATGCTTTTGTTAACCAACGAGAGATTGTTTTAGTCTATCCATTTTTGGGTACATTTCCTCGTCCATTCTCTTTTACTTAATCCTTCTCAAATGCAATAAGGAAGCAATTTATATATTCTAACGCGATATTATTGATATACATGTTGTCTGCAATCATCGGTCTACCTCTGTCACGATCTGTCATGTTCACTGATTAGTGTCTGTCACGATCTGTTGAGAAAGGACGGGGGATAGAAAAATTTTACCTATATAATTCTATACTCGTTGTAGATCGTATTTCGCGAAATGAGAGTTAGATATAATAAATAGTGTCAGACTAAATTATATATATATATATATAAGAACAAAACGTTTACAGTCAATTGTAAAATTGTTCTGGTGGAAAATTGTCGAGATGTTAAATGATGTAAAATAATTGTTGAAGAAATACTCGATGAAGTTTATGATACTTGTAAAAATATGCTCAAATGAGCTGTTTAGTCTATTCTACTAGCCGGCTTCATTTAGCCAACAATAGTGTCGACACAATTATGATAGGACATTACTTATTCAACCTATGATGATAAAACATGTCTAGTAATTCTCTAAAAATGAAATTGGTGAAATGTGTAAACATTTATTATTATTGTTACTATTGAAGGACAGTAATAATAATAACAACAACAACAACAACAACAAAGAAATTAATTTATCTGCAATAAAATCATCTTCATTTTAAGTGAATAGACTATAGACAAAAGGTCAAAACAAGTGTATTACGAAAAAATTTAATATAGATCAATTTGCAATCATAATACTTTACATAATTTACGAAATTATATCAAGTAAAATTTAATTGATATTGAATGAATCGAAAATCATTTTGTGTAAAGATAGTTTAAACTATTACACAAATATTGACATCCTTTTTTCTGTTTGAAGTCTTTTTTTACTCGATTAGAAAGAACATTTACATGGCTTTTGTTAATAACACATTACATCATATGCCTTTGATTACTAGGAAATGATACGAATTCACATAATCAATATCAATAATTTTAAACATATATAAAGTTGATTATATGATCATTGATTGTACTGTAGATAATTGTATACTGACAGTTGATATTATGATGAAAATTTTGTACCTGCTTTCTTTACGTAGAGACTTTTTATTTCTCATTGACAGATTGCATCATGAATTGCCGTTTCCGTGCTTGCCGTTGGTTGTTACATATCTATGATTCACATTATGAATATGACTATGGAAAAGAAAAACTTCTAAGAAGAAGAAAGTAGACAACTAAATGTTCTCATTTAATTATTTTTTTGAACACTTTCAGTCATCGCTTAGATTAAATCATTCACTGTCAAATTTTTAATATGATTAAAAATGAAGTCATGATTTTCTATTTCCAAAATTTTCTGAATTCATAGTGGGCGTAACTGTCGGTTTCTTTATTATCGACTACAAAACCGATAGTGTTTATCGTATTGTTTTTCATACTCGATGTGAAAAAAACATTTTTGAGTGCGCTGTAGGATCTTTGCCAGAAGAATCGAAATGAATTTGACCTGCTGGATACTGTTCTTTTTTTTCTATGCATAAAATATGTCTTGCAGTACGTCGAGACTTTGATAATGAAGAATAAAATGATTCTGAAAATGAGTTAGATTGACTAATGAGGTGGCGAAAGGTTTCATAGTTACAAAAGAAGAGAAAAAACGGAGATAAGCCCGAATGATGCATATTTTATCTTTCCGGTTTATATGTTGGCAGCTAATGCAATTTCCTAGTTGTCATTAAATCTCTTGCCGATCTTGAAATTATTTATTATTTTCTGATAGGATTTCTAATATTCACACTAAATGACGGATGTAGCTTTTTTGTTTTATTTTATGAGTTCACAATCAAGGGTTGCTTTATGATGACATTAAATGCCATTCTGACTAAACGAAACATCGACGTCTGTTGTTGTTTCTGCATGTCAATCAATCATTTAATTGTTTGAATATACGTTCACGGAATAATGAATAATTTGTGACGTCAACATGGTCATTAATTATTGAGTTTTCTTATTGATTAGGTTTCGCAATTCCCTCATTTTGCGTTTTCTGACAACAGAATAGACAGAAAAAACGAGAAAGAGAGAGAGAGCAAGAAAAAAGGTGTTCAGCACTTATTGGACAGTCTGTTTCGCAATCAATCTAATTAACACAAATCAAACTCTCGGTTTTTTTTGTTCTACATTTGAGTACTGGCCGCTATGCTATTTTATATATACACATTCTGACTGGTCAAGTAACATCAACGTGACCTTTTTGATAATAGTTAAGTTTTTCTTCTTCCTTTTTTCCTATTTTTTCTTAGATAACAATGTCATTCTATTTTTATGTGTATATATAGTTTTTTCTTCTTCTAAATACTCTGTTCGTAGGGTGACACAGAAAAGTAAACTGTCGAACGGCAAGCGCGGCACATTTTTTTGTTTTATACTTGTTCCTCCTCTTGTTTTGTGTGCATTTTGGCTCTACGTTAGACGTTCTAAATAATTCATTACATACGTTTTACTATTGAATGTTTTTTTCTTTTTTTTAGAAACTGTCAAATCGTAGAACTACGATCAATATTATATCCGCTTGTGAAACAACTACTATTCAAGTATTATTATTACTTGGTATCATAAATAACTTGATTCCTATTTGATAGCGTTTGTGTTTTTTATCATTGTTTTTAATTAAAATGCCTTTGGCTCAAAACTATAAAGATGATATGTCTCGTTTGGAATACAAGGCAACTAAAAAAGCAACAACAATGGACTCGCGTAAAACCAATCCATGCCTACATCAAGGAATTTCGGTACGTATGAATGTAAGTTTCTGAATAAAAAGAAAAGTGTTTGGCTATCGCTTGTGTTGGCATGTCGTTAAGTATCTTTTTTTTTTAAATATCCTTATTTATTAAAGGGGGGAAAAGCTTTTTATTTAATATTTACTTTCATTGTTCGTAAATATGTTGTTCTTTCCTGAAAGACAGATGTTCTAGTATTTTCTAATTGAATGTACTTTTATAGCTGACGTTTAATGCATTAAAAAGAAAAAAGCTTTGACATAAGAGATAAATCTTAACATGCAAGACTTCATGAAATATTATTTTATGGAATTTATACTGAAGAGCAATTTTCTAAAGCAAAAATAAACAAGAAATTAAAAACAATTCTAGCATTTTAGATCATTCTTTTCCCGTACATATGAATGTTTACAGTCTGTTTATTCTATTTAACATTATAATTGAAGTACACGCTTTGAAAAACTAATTATTTACTTTGATAGTCCTTGGTGTTCTTACTTTGATTAGCTTACAGAAAAACTTCAAATACAATGAAAGTTTTTCCATTGTTAGATAGGGCTAAGATTGATGTTCGTTTTTAGCAATTACTTGGTCTGTTTTTTTTATGGAAAAAATACTGAATTAGATCGTGTCTTTTATCTGCTCGAGTATCACGTTCAATAGAATAGAAAGATTGAACATGGCAGCCTGCGTATTTATGTCGATTCATTTTTGCTCCTTGCAACTAATCATCGTTGCAGACTGAATCTTTTTCGGTAGGGGATCCGTCGAATTTGGTCATTTTGAATCAGTTTTTGTGCCCATGATTTTTTTCTGCAAATCGACTCAATATAAAAAGTACGTGGGAAGCAATGATGTAATGATCTTTCTTGATTCATGCAACTGGAAATATCGGATATATCTAATGCCGTATAAACTATTAAATATAGCTAAAGCCCTACGAGTATTGAGCCCCAAAAAGTTGCCCTTCTATTTAATTGAGCAAAATTAAACAGGCAGAAACACACAGGATATTATACTTCATTTTTCTACTCAACAACAGGTGAGAGATGAAAGAGGAATAGTTGTATGATCGTAATTGATAGTATTGTTTACGGTGACTCAAAAAATAATTTTGTAAGAAATTAATAATTTATCCTATCAGCATAGAAAATTATCTGCCATTCCATATAATTATGTGCTCTCTTGCATTTATTTAGTGGAGGAAAATTGGAGTGCAATGAATACATCATTTATTGGCAAGTACTAAAATAACCCTTGCACGTGCTCACAATCTTCTCCATGAATTTTACGACTTTTTTCTACGTTATAAATAACGATTAAAAAAAATGAATCCTGTGATTTTTTCAGCATGAAAACTCTGAATAAATTTGTATTGTTGAACCGTTTAGCATTAAATAATTTTCTAATCAATGATTAAGGATATTGCAATGGGAAATCTATCACACAGTCTAAGCTATGTGTCACACATTTTGAACTAACTTTTCTAGCGTAATCAAAACTTTGTATGACATGCTTTGCATAGCAATTTATTCGTCCCAAACAGTATATTTTCAATAATATATTTAAAGATTTAACAGATCATGATTAATATATATGATTGTTTTCCAATAAAGAATTTAGATAAGTGCATATGAAATTGCATTCGCTCTCCACTGTCTAAGGTATTTGTTGTAAAACATACGGAAACATACCATCAGAAGATTACAGTTTACTATTTTCTTCTTAGCATTATTAAGCAGTTAAAACCTTCACGATTTAGAATCATGGAAACTTTTGCCGTTCAATACACCGAAATTTCTCGAATATTATTTCATACATAAACGGTAGAACACTTCATATAGAACACGAGCTATTTGTAATCCAATGATAAAAGTACTTACATTAAACTTGAATTTTTTACGACGTCTATTTTGCACTGCACTTGTAAAAATTACTATTTATATGTTGCACTTTTACCTTCCGTTTTTTTTTCTATAAGACAAGTTTAATTAATTAATTTTTAGAGTATAGATTCTATTGTAAGATTTGAAGATCTTTAAGAGATGTCTAAGGAGATTTCATACGATGCAAAGACACCCATAAAATGCTACCTTGTCATCATCAACTTCATATCCATAGAATAAAACTTTAGGAATTCGCATGCCATAGTATGAAGAAGAAAAAACCTTTCTAGGAACATATTATATTCCTTTTTGTTGTACAAAAAATAAACATGAGTGATAATGGAAAACATTGATGCACAGTAAAATGTAAAATAGGCTGTGTTTCTATTAGTTTTCTATTATTGCATGTTATTCGAATCAAAATCCTATTGGCAAGAAGAAATTATTCATTTTAGATAATGGAAAAAAAATGATGACCTCTATTTATTTTCTTTTAATCAGATTGAACCAACTAGATACTATTGAAATGAGCAATGACTTCAGATATAAAAAAAATTTTAAGTTTTGAAGAAAACATAGCTCTCTATTTCTATGAGTCTCAATAATATTCAATTAGAATTTAATTGATATCTGTTGAAGTTCTTTTTTTAACAAAGAACTTTCTCAGGAAAATGTACGCACTCATATTTTTTTTTGATTTTTCTACGCTTCATCAACTGATAAAGCTAGGAAATTTTTCACAAGTACGGATGTTTTCTCATTAGTTTCTATTCTTTACAGTTACACAACAAAATTACATAGTCATACTTTTTTGTTGAATCTAGAAATTGTTGCTGTCACGAATACGATCTTGTTTTTGAAGATTACAAGCATACGGTTTTTAGGTAAAATAATCATACTTTGGGAAATCTAGCTAATTAGCTTAATCGTGAAAGAATTCTATTTCTACTCCTCGTTATTTTGTTCGATAGACAATGAAAGATTGCATGTTTATAGTACTTGTCAATAGTTTTGATAGGAAAAAAAACGCACTATAGAACATGTAATCTAACCAAGCATGAAAATTTTCTTAATGTCTTATTGAGAAAAAAAAGAATCTATAATATGTTTGTAAATACTAAAAGCCATGCATCACTTAAAATTCCCGAAAAGCGAAGGAAAAAAGTGTTTTTAATAATATTAAACCTATTCGCATCATTCTTCTATTTATGCTTGAGGCATTTATGTAATCATATGCTTTTTCAAGTCTAAAATCATTTCGTAAAATAATATATAATTAGTTTATGTTTTTAATGTCAATGTGACCATCATTTGAGTAATATTACCTTCTTCTTATTGGCATGACATTGATTACGCTTGAAAACTCATCTGTCAAATCTTCTTATAAATCACTATGGTTTATGTTTATTCGTTGTTGTTTACTACTAGCGTGGAAATACATTCGTCAAAAATGGTCCATCTTTTATTACTACGTCTACGATAACGAACAATAATTACATCCTAGCCGACGATGATTTGCCAGAAGTTTTCTCTCATGTAAGTAGCACTGTATACTTTCTTAACAATTATCATTAATTATGACACATGAAGAAAAAATGAGAGTGTCTTCTACTTAAAATACCAGAACTACTAAAAAGAAAAGAGATGCACTCGAACATCATTCCTTTTACAAATATGAATATTGTAATGATTCTCATGAATATCAAATGTGTTATATAATAAAACAGTTTTTAGCAACATGCCGCCTTTATAATACAAGAGCAAGCTTGTTAGTAGAGCAAGAAAAATATATATATATATATATAAGATGACGTCAATATTTAGTATTTTATTCTTATGGTTCACTGTTGTTCCATTTAATGAGAACAATAATAATTGGTTTGTCGACATCAAACATCGGTTGTGAAGTAATAATGAGTGCTTTATTTTTTTCTATTCTCACTTTTTTTCTTTTCTCTGCTAAAAAAAACTGTTCACCCACGCACTCTTCTTTTCTTTCTCCTCGATGCTTGGATCTTTTCCTTTCATTCGCTCGTCACATATCTCATAAGTGTGTTGACGATTCTATTTAGATAATATCATTAGTTGCTCTTAATTTTTCTTGTTTTTCTTTCCTACTAACTCAAACAACCTTACCTATTTATCTATTAATGAAAGATATTTTATTACAGCGTAACGTGTGTATGGATTCTCTTGAGTTTCCTCGTGTCGCCGATCGCCATAGATTTTATCTGAGCTCTTGTGAATCAGGTACCGGTATTGATATCTCAGATTCGAATGCATGTTCACGGCGTCCATCCTCATCCTCATCATCCTCATCATTTTTATCATCAAAGAACGGTACATCAGCAGTTATTCCATCTATTCATACAAATGATTTTTTAATTGTACTGAAACGTTTACATTGTTTAACACTGCGACGTCAAAAAAATGGCCGATATCGAACACTTTCATCATCATTACATCTTTTCTTTAAAAAACATCATCCTTTATCAATGAATCAATTTTATAAATCACCATCGGATTCACATTTAACAACAAAAGATACAGAGAAAAATCTCGTGTGTAAAAGAAACAATAGTGATCATCAATTACATATTATCAATAAAAATAAAAATAAACAATTTAATACTAAAAACGATTATTTTAATATTCAAAAACCATTATCCCATTGTATAAGAGCATCGAATAACACAGTTAGTGAAGATAATAATACAAATACAATGAGTTCGTTCGATTTACCAACAATACTGCCAACAGTACTTGTCACAGATACAAGTTGTTCAGCAACATGTATACAACAGATTTTACCTAATGAAACACAGCTTGTAAGTGAATTCTTTTTTTCTCAAAACTATTTTTCTTGGATATCTATCTATTGAAATAAGACTATAGTGTAATGTCTTTTCTATCGTTCATTGATGAAATTCTTAATATTAGTCGAGTCTTCAGGCTATGTCATATTTTCGTTTTTCCTTCTCCAATAGTGACTACTTTTATCAAAAGAAAAAGAAGAAAGTTCACTATTCAGTAACACGTAGCAGATTCAATTTCTGCTTTTCAGCTTAACCGAGAGAAAAGACAGTCAATATACAGAATTAAAGTTACGGACTCGATTGACGTTGGTATACGATTTCGAAATAAGAAAACGAACCACTTTTCTCTCTCTCACATATGTGCGCAAACTACCGCTGTTACATAAAACGTCATCAGCGCCACCCACTAGAAAAATAAATGTATATTTTCTTGCCTACGTATAAACACAATAGCACCTGTTGAATATAGATTGTTCTTTTTTATATTACCCTATATATATATATTAATTGTCAATAAGAATTAAAAGACAGAGAAGAAAAATTGCGTAGGGTTAAGTGCAATGACTTTTCTGGCCCAGTACAATTTTTAGCACTCTACGGACACATACACATTATATGAAACATTTGTAAACAAAAGATGCTACCAATTGAAGCTAATAAAACAAGTATCTACTTGATATAATACGTAATTACATCGAGTACAAAAATATTTATTGAATGTATTTTCTGTCTTAATCAAAAATCTGCTTTTCTTCTTCTTTTGATGAATTGTTTTTGGTAGAAATAAATGGTAAGGGGAGTATCGACCTTGTTCTCTCTCTCTCTCTCTCTCTCACACACACACACACACAGTTATTGTTATTGTTATTGTGTTGTGCTATTATTTTACCTTGGAACTTTATATTGATTCACACAAAAACATAAATATATATGTTACAGTTGACATGAGAATTTAGTTGAGATTGGAATAATAGATTTAATTAAAGATAGAGAAAATAGACACAAAAGAGAGCGAAAAAAAGAACAGAAGAAAACAATTTCGAAAATCAAAATGCAAATAAAGTAATATGAACCATGTGGAAACTTTGTCTATGACTTCAATTTAGCACAGTATTTTCTAATTAATCACAATTTTAATTTCCTTTTCAAATTGGTGATCAAAACAAAAAAAAAATTTATTTCTTATTTTTCATTTATCTCAATGCGCTCTCATATCACTTGTATGAGTCATATAGTAATTAATGTATCTTGTTCAACTGGTACTTTAATATTAAAAGGAAATAAAATACTTCGTTGATTATGATATTTATGTTACATCATCAAATAAATATTTATTTATCCTAGTTTTACATTTTAAAAAATTTAGTAGAATCTATTAAATTCTAAATTTTTTGTTATCATTTCTTTATTAATTTGAGTTTTAATAATCGATCATCGTCACTATGAAACAGACAATGATCAGCCATTAATTATGAAGTTTCTTTTATATTCACTTATTTATTTGTTTAACGCAGAACCATTGCTGATAATAACACATCAAATGAACTACTTATATAAGAAACTTCTTTATTAATTTCATTAAAAATTAGAAAAAAAAACATTTATTTTTCTTTCATATCATTCGAATTAAAAGCTTGTTCCATTCCCATTCCAGCTGCTGCAAACTCTTGCTTCGAAATAACGATAGCGAAAATCTCTCTTTTCTTCTAGTCAAGAAAGAAAAAAAAATCAATGTCACTATGCCCCAATGTCCCGAGCATTAAAACATAAACACCTATTCAGAATCTTTGTCATTTTTCTCTCTTCAATCAAGAAAAATAGACATAATTAATCTTGGGAACAAAAACGTTTTTTTTTAATCTACATACTCAATCAAGTTAGCTCGTATTACTCGCTAACAAAATTCTATTTCTATGAATCACTTTCTCACAACATTTATAGAATAATCAACAATTCCAATCTCAACTAGATTCTAAACTCTACTGCTATATATATTTAACAAAAGCAACACATGTTCATTGACATATAACTATATTTTCATAAGATAGATTTTGATTCTTTTTTTTACATCTTTTGATATAACTTACTGGAAGAACTAAGAAAAAAAATGAGCTTACTCAATGATAATAATAGCACTATTCAAAAGAAAATAAATCTCATTCCCATTTAATTATAATCATCATTGTGGGCGAAACCTGTCACGGTGTTAATGAGAAATTAAGCAGACGTCATCAACATGTTTATGATAGAAAAAGGAGAGATATATGGTTTTGCGATGTTTTTTATTCGTTCTTTAACTGTATGAGGTCTATATATAACGACCTTACTCTTCTGTCCAATTGAAGTGATCGTAAGCCCACGTGTATAATTAATCATACGTTGAAAACGGAGACCTATTGGGTCGATATTTTGCGTATCGTATACAATCATCCAAGGATTCAAGCGTAGCACGCATTTATTTGAGCGTGACGTATATATTATATGTTTTTTTTCTTCGCCAAGAGAATGATTGAAATTTTACAGGCATTTTTTCGGTTCTCATCGGGTGTAACTGAAGGAAGTAGCAGTTCTCAGCAGTCATATCAAACTAATGTACGATAGAAGTCTTTTCCCTAGAAACAAAAAACACCACAATAAATATTCTTTTTAATTTCAGGATGAAACAAATAGTGTTGAACGTGAAATTGAAATCACCAATGTTACTAAAGAAGGATGTGATCATGCCGATTCGGCACAATTTGAACTCTTACAAACACTTGGTGCAGGTTCATTTGGAAAAGTAAGAATTGTTCGTTTTTTTTAAATCTATAAAATCATATTTTGTCTTTTATCCAAGGTTTTCCTTGTTCGTAAAATTGTTGGACCTGACACAGGTACACTGTATGCTATGAAAGTGCTAAATAAAGCTAGTCTCAAAGGTTAGTATATTTTTCATGCACTAGGAAGAAGAATTTTTTTTTCAAAAAATAGTTCGTGATCGTCAAAGAACAAAAATGGAACGAGACATACTCGCACAAATATCTCATCCATTTATTGTTAAACTTCATTATGCTTATCAAACACGAGGCAAAGTTTATTTAGTGCTCGATTTTTTACGTGGTGGTGATCTTTTCACACGTCTTTCGAAAGAAGGTATGAACGCACATAGCTAGATCGTCATGTTTCGATGAATAACAACGTTGTTTTAACGTTTTAGTAATGTTTACTGAACGAGATGTGCAATTTTACTTAGCCGAATTAGCTCTTGCACTTGATCATTTACATTCATTGGGCATTGTTTATCGAGATTTAAAGCCTGAAAATATTCTTTTGGATTCCGATGGCCATATTGCTTTAACAGACTTTGGCCTATCAAAAGAATCAGTGCCAACACAAGATTCAAAAACATTTTCATTTTGTGGTACCGTTGAATATATGTCACCTGAAGTAGTTTCACGTAAAGGACATTCACATGTGGCAGATTGGTGGTCATTTGGTGTACTTGCATTCGAAATGATGACTGGACATTTACCATTTCATGGTGCAAATCGTAAGGAAACAATGAATTTGATATTAAAAGCTAAATTAGCTATGCCAACATATCCATCATCAGAAGCACAAGGTTTATTACGAATGTTATTTAAACGGAATCCAGCTAATAGATTAGGTTCTGGACCTGATGGTTTTCGTAATATACAAAAACATGAATTTTTTGCTTCCATCGATTGGGATAAATTATTTAGAAGAGAAATTGAGCCGCCATTTATACCACCAATCCATACTGATTATGGACATAATTTCGATAGAGAATTTACATGCAAAACACCAACAGGTAAATATGAAAATTTTCTATTGTAGTATTTGAACGCTTCTTGTTTTATCTATTTTTCAAATAGATTCACCTGGTATTCCACCAAGTGCAGATGCAAATAAAACATTCCAAGGTTTCAGTTATATTGCCCCAGATTTAATACATGCTCGTCGATCTGATTTATCTTATGCAAATGCTGTTGAACAACATTTAAGATCAGTAATTGGTGTTAAAACAACACTATTCACCGATGAATATGTTTTAAAAGAACCATTAGGGCGAGGAAAAACTTCAATTTGTTATCGTTGTGTACATCGACAAACCCATGTTGAATATGCTGTTAAAGTAATAAAAGATGCACATATCAATGATCCATCAGATGAAATCGAACTATTATTTTGTTACAGACAATTGTCACATATTGTTCGAGTAAAGAAAATTATTAAAAAGAATAACAACAGAATATTTAAAAATTTTATTTAGATACGAGATGCTTTTTATAATTCACCTATAGTATATATTGTCACTGAATTGATGCGTGGTGGTGAATTATTAGATAAAATTTCTGAAGAAAAATCATTATCTGAACGTGAAAGTGCAAAAATAATGTTTGTGCTTATTAAAACAGTCGAACAATTACATAGAAATTCAATTGGTAAATTATTATATTTTTACAATAGAATAATTAAAGTTTGTTTTTCTGTTTTTCTAGTACATCGTGACCTTCAACCACGTAATATAATGTATCTCGATGAAAATCGTCAAGTATCCTCATTGCGCATTGTTGATTTTGGTTTTGCTAAACAACTCCGCGCTGACAACGGTTTATTAATGACACCGTGTTTTACAAAAGAATATGCTGCACCAGAAGTTTTATCAAGAAAAAAATATGATGAATCCTGTGATATTTGTTAGTTGGCTTTTAGATTGATTTCTATAACTAAATTGTGTATTGGTTTAATTTAGGGAGTTTGGGAGTTCTTCTATATACTCTATTAGCTGGTAATACGCCATTTGCATTCGATCGAGATGATTCTCATGAGCTTATTCTTGCTCGTACGTCTGTTCAATTACAATTTACTGGACCAACATGGGATCGAGTATCATACAATGCAAAAGTAATTTCGTATATTTTATTTGTAAAAATAGAAGATTCTATTGAAACAATTTTAGGCACTTGTGAGTTCAATGCTTGATATCGATCCAAAGAGCCGACCAAGTGCAGTTGAACTTTGTAAACATCCATGGTTTGCTAATATTGATAGTTTACGTAATGTAAAATTGGGTAATATTCAAGATCATAATCATATTCGAGTATGTTAACTCTTTTTTTTCTTGTAACAAAAAATATTATTAATTTAATCTTTGATGCTTTTTTTCTTTATAGTATAATCTCGATGCTACTTTTACCGCAATGAATCCTAACTCAAATAAAACATTAGCACTCGGTCCAATAGGTGATTCAAATTTATTTAAACGTCGTAATGAAAGAACTATTCATCAACAACAAATTGAAACAGTGAAATAATTTCATATCTCCAACACCTCATGTTTTGTATCTGTTTATTTATTTTTGTGTTCTCGTTCTTGTTTGTGTTCTCGCTCTTGTTTATGTTTTCGTTCTTGTTTGTGTTCTCGTTCTTGTTCGTTGTGTTGTTTTTTGTGTATTCAATGTATTTAAAAATGAGAATTTGTGACAACAAATACATAGAGACCAGAGACGTCTACAAGGCATAATTTTCTCTCCTGTCCTTGCCTGTCCTGGCGGGCGGCAGGACAATACGTTAAAGTCATGTCCTGGTTAGCGTTACTGATTTATTCCCATTTTTCTAGTGGCTGAAAACTAATTATGAGTCCGAATTTTGGACTCCAAACCCTAGCTATTCTCGATCAAAGTAAATATTAGTATTAGTAATCTTAGGCTTAATGTATTTGACATCATTTTCAAATACAACAAATACGCTTTAAATTATCACTAATTTATGAATACAATAAAATAGAAAAATATCTTAACTTTCGCGGCAAGAAAAAAATATGAACAAGATTGATTGTAGCATGAATGTGATAACTTAAACTTGATACTATTTAAAGAAACAATAACTAATAGGCAGTGTTTTACCACAAAGTAAAAATAAATGGATAATACACAAAACAAAGTTCCTACCAGAGACATAGCACATCATTTTTTCTCCGGTCCTTGCCTGTCCTGTTGGTTACCTTGGTCCTGGCGAGCGGCAGGACAGGACAAAAATTTTAATCTCATCCTGTTCTAAAGGGCAGGGCAAGACAGGACAACAGGACCGTCCTGCCCTGTGCACGTCTCTGATGGAGACAACATTTTACTATTTTAATTAATTTTTTGATTTTCTTGTCTTGATCAAACCTCGAGAAGGATAATTATTCGGTTTTTTTTCATATACTTATCTGATTTACAATACCACAAGCCGCACACATAATATGAATCATTTTGCAACCACGTAGTATATATTATTAGTCATACTCTAGCATGTGTATGACCCAGTTCGCGAGTACACTCATTCATTTCACAGAAACTGTATATAATTTATTTTGTTTGATATTATTTTACTTATTATGGACCTTGGCCCTAGTAAAACTTTACCAGAACTACAAGAAATTAATTTTTCACCTGGCAACGATGAAGTATTCCAACCAGTACCACTGGCAATTGATACTGATGGATTTATTATGACATTCAGTGTTGAACAAGAAGAAGAAATTTTGAAATTTTTTGAATAACATGGCGTGGTCGTTGTTACAAATGTTTTAGCAGAAGAACAATGCCAACGTAGTATTGATGATGTATGGCGTTTTTTTTACAAGAAACGTTCAATCCAGACATTCGACGAGATCAACCTGAGACATGGAGTTATAAATGGCCAAACTTTTCTAAACTCGGTATACTTGGCAATAACCGTTGGCTCTATCCACAAGCTTGCGATAATCGGCAAAATCCAAATATTTATAAAGTTTTTCAAATCCTATTTGGTGAACGTGAATTAATAGTTAATATTACACGAGCCGGCTTAATGCGACCGACAAAAAATATTTATTTTTCAACGCGGAATGAATTTGAAGATAGAGAAAACTGGAAAACAATATCTGATTGGCTTCATTTAGACATGAATCCATTGACTGGACGTGCAACAACATATGGATTTGAACACAGGTATGGATGTGGGTGTGAGAGAAAAAGAGGCACCCATACCCTATGTGAGTGATTTTTTAATTCAAATTTATTTTTGAGAAATTCAGTAGTAAACTGTCTTGATGCATTGTGTTTCTTACTTCTGCATATTTTGAGAAGCATTGTTTTCGCTGATAGTTCGTATAGTTTCTGTGGATTTGCTAGTAACATTGTATAGTTATGAATAATTTAGGAGAAATCGTATCAGTTGAATGATGTTATGGCCGAAAAGATACTTTTGAGATGAGTATAAAGGAGTCTAGCCATTTGCAAATGGACTGATCGGATCCCACTGAAAACTTATTGGTATCCTAGTGCCGGATGTGCCATCGGTTACTACAGTGGCATATCATTCAGTATTCATCGGAATCCGAGTCTCAGATCTGTTACTAATTCTTCAACCAGGAATCCCATCGAATATTGTCGACTGATTGGATCCCACCAGATCCGATGGGATTCAAGATCGGATTCATTCATCTGGGTAAACGAAGTGCATCATGACTGCTAAATATAAACAAACTCATAGCCTGGGTGTGATGGTGTGAACATCAATTTATTAAATTCACATTGACACCCACGCCCTCCAATAGTTGCGTACATAAATTATTTTTAAAAAAGCAATATGGTGACTTTCGTGAATGTTGGAACTGCGAGTGAACCAATGGTTGATTCCCATTTCCTCTAGGAATTATCACAACAACGCATGATAATTCTTCAGCAGATTAGGAATTTCTATTTCTCAGTTCTCGGACACTGCTGATGGTGTCTTGTTTAGATCTATTTGGAATATACGACACATCGTCATGCAAACGTAGCTAATTTTGCCTGCTTCTTTCGACATGATTTGAGTCAAACAGAACGAAGTAAAGATAGAGAGAAGATAAGATATATCTACCATATAAATGTGTCTTCAGAGGACACACAGCAAACAATTCAAATCGTTTAGTAAAAAAGTAGCTCAATTATTCTGACTGAATGTCATCTTCGCTTTCCATTCCATCATTTGACGAAATTTTAGCTGCTCAATCTCGTTTGCATGGTATTACTATTCGTACGCCACTTCTCAGACTTAATTATGATATTCCTGGACTTGAAATTTATTTAAAATGTGAACAATTTCAACCGACATCATCATTTAAAATACGTGGTGCTACAAATATCGTCAAAATTCTATCTTCGAAACAGAAAGAAAATGGTATTGTTACAGCATCATCTGGGAATATGGCAAAAGGTGTAGCTTGGATAGCGAGACAAGAAAATATTAAATGTCGAATATTAGTACCTGATACGACAAACGAAGCCAAACTAAAGGCAATTGACCGATTGGGCGGAGAAATCACTAAATGTCCATTCGATGAATGGTTTCAAGTCATTGAAAGTCATCAGTGTCCAATGTTGGATGGATATTTTATTCATCCAGCAAGTAACCGACATGTCATGGCCGGAAATGGAACAATAGCATTAGAAATATTAGAAGAGTTGCCAGATTGTGATGCAATACTTGGTAGGTTTGCTATGATGCCAAAGAATAATCGCATTTTCTTTATGAATAATCTTTACGCATTCTACTAAATACATTCATTGATAAATCTCAAACCGATTGAAATTACGAAATGAAAAACATACGATTGACATATAGTTCGAAAGCAGAATTTACTTTTTAGAACAAGTTTTTATGTCAGAGTTTTGTGACAATGTGCTACTCGCATTATTAGATATAGAGACTGCCATCAATAGAATAGAAACATAGTTTTCGTGTCTACGAAGATGCTCGATTCTTTTCACTCCATCAGAAGAAGTAGTTGGAGATAACAAAAAATGTCATACTGATGGTTCTTGAGCTATTTGTTTTTAAATTTACTTTAGTTCCATACGGAGGCGGTGGATTAATCACTGGCATTTCATCTGCAGCCAAACATTTGAAACCATCTATTGATATTTTTGCTTGCGAAATAGAAACAGGTGCTCCTCTTCATGCTGCCTTCAATGCTGGTGATACGATTCGAATTTCAGTTCAAAATTCATGGGTCAATGGTATTGGCATTTCAAGTGTCCTAAAAGAAGTTTGGCCAATAGTCAAAGAGTGCATTGATGGCGCAATTGTTATTACATTAAAAGAGACAGCCGATGCATTAAAATTATTAATCGAAAGTAATCATTTGATATGTGAAGGTGCAAGTGCAACAGCACTAGCTGCCAGTTTATGGCATTATAGGAATTTATTAGAAAATGGTCAAGCTGGACGAAGAAGAAATTTAAAACAAGAACCTGTAAAAATCGTAGCAATTCTAACCGGTGCAGGGATTGATAATGAAACAATTATCAAGTGTTTGAACGAAACTTTATAAAAGAAATAAATTACATTTATCCTTTTACCTAATGAAATTTGTGACGATATCCTATTGCAAAGCGACTGTTGTTATAACATTTTCTGTGTTCTTTCAATGTACACATCCAGAATCAATTAGAAAAAAACGCTGTTTTCATTTTCATATTATTTTACTCGCCGTTGAATAAAATAGGTCAATTCAATTTAAAAGAATTGAGTTACCAAACACGTTTCTAAAACTTTGTGAAATTATCTTGATATCACATGTTCTATACTGCTTGCTTCACAGGATAAATCATTGATTTTGTGTAGAAAAAGAGTTATAATTATAAAATTACAGATTTTTAGTGACTTTCAAAAGTAACCATACTTGTGTAGAATTATCTAGTATATTTTTGAAAATCAGCGATAGTAAAGTGCACCCAACAGTAGCTTGAATAAAAAATATGAAAAACTATATTATTTAACTCATTAAAAAAAGTGGCAGAAAATGCTCATCCATCGGAGATAATTGAAATCAACACCATTAAAGCTAGCTAGCTGTAGCATTCAAATTGTTAAAATGTAGTATTTCTACTGCTTTAAACAAACTATCACGACAATCGATTTGTTACAATGACTTCTTTTTTTTTTCGTTGAAAACTCAATTGATCTTACGATTGAAACTTCCAGCAAGAACACAGCTGCTCATTTTCCAAAATATACAGCCCGTATCTCTTCATCATAATGATAATAATCATTACAATCGCGATGGCATTTGTCGTCAATTAATCGTTCCTGACGGAAAAAATTATTGTTTGCAAAAAATTGAGAAATCGGAAGAATTCACTAGACCAGCTTCAGAAATCGCACCACATTCTGCACCAGTAGCTTCAAATCAGCAGCAATATAAATTCATTCGATCCTCGAATTTTAAATGAGTCATAGGTGGACATGCACTGAAAGAGGAGAATGGTCAAAACGATGACTTTATCAAACTCATACCCACACCCTCATGTTTATAGCTGAAGAGTGAAAATATGAACTGGTTTCTTGAATAACATCATACATAGGATACATCGTTAAAGTTTATAAGCTTAATATATTATGTAAACGACTTCAATAATTATAAACAGGATAATAATTTACAAAAAAAATTGAATAACTAGATGAATCTAGTTAACTACATAAGTATTTCTAAATTGTGATAATAATCTAGCATTATACATTCATATTCTTCGGAGAATAAGGTTACTAGTACCATTTGTTCTACACATTGTTCTTCAGTAACTACATATGCTGTTGTTTTCTATGCCATTATCTCTCCCTTGTCTTTTTGTTCACCTACAGGTGATGCTATTTGTTTCTGTTGATTTTTGTGCCAAATTCGTCTTTGCTTTTGAAATATTGATTCATTATCGACAGTATAGATAATTTTAGTAAATTGTGAGCATCATTGGGATTCAGAAGGACTATTGCAGGCATTTTCGTGTAAATTGGCTTAGGTTTGGAACCTTTTTCATTGGCCTAATATCTATCGAAGTATGTATAGATATACGAAGTAATATTTCTTTAAAAAGCTATTTACTTGCATTGAGGTATGCTTGGACAGTTAGCAAATCTTTGCTTGATGGAAATCCGCTCTCTTCAAATTTATTCCATGGGATATCATCTATTATATTATGTATTTGGCCTTATCGTTCCATAATAATCGCGGCCAATAATCACCATAATAATTCGTGGCACCAGGTAAGTTTAATGTCAAAGTTGTTTTACCTGAAGTTTTACAATTTTATTAACGATTGATTACAAAGCCACACTTTCGAAAATGAATTTTATAACTCTGTTTTTGCATACTTATGCCTGTACCACCGATTAAAATAAGAGTTAATGGTCTCTCTTTCCTAATGAAGTCGTTTTCTATTAGATGTCATCAGAATATAGAAGAAAAAATATATACGAAGAACATAAAAAATACGGATTCTTACTCAATTTTTGGGTACAATTAGGATATGAATCTGACCAGCAGTATATTTTTTGATATGCGAAACGCTTTTGTCTCTTGAATTGATATTGGATATGATGGATTTCGAGTTGCGATTGAAAACTTTTCATTAACAAAGAAAAACAAATCAATTTCATGTGACATATGTTGTTCTTTTTTTTATATAAGAAGTAACTTAGAACAATTCAGCTTTTATATCTGTAACAATAAATATGGGACCCTCTTTGGGTTGATACGTAATGACAAACTGGATAGGGGTGGAGTAGCCTACCGCCACTCTCGGTGATGATGTTTATTCACTTCTTCACATATCCAGAGTGTAACAACTTCATACATAACACACGTATATATTTACCGTGATAAACCCATTAAACATTGCTTGGGAGCCTTTTTTGCCAGATAGAGGGCTGCTTTTTTAACGCCAGTTTTACTCTTCTTGAACACTTTCGCAGTCATTTCATTCGTAATAGCGTTCACTTTTTTCTATTAAAGTACAAAAACTGTGATGATATAACAAAACTAGCAATTTTCTTACTTTTTTCTGTAGCGCCTGGCCGTTGCTTTGTTGTTTCGTTGTCCCTGGAACCTTGAAACGATCCTACTCGATGGAATTCAGCTCTAGATAAATAAAAATAGTGAATTTTATTCTTGTCTTCGATTATTTTTGCTGATTATTCCTAGACACGAATTATCTAACGAACCATTTTCATGTATTCATTCCACGCAGAAGCGCAGTCAGTGACTTGATATTCACATTGGCAATCTAAACAAAAAGAGTAAACATTCCATGATAACCATATTTCTTCTATTAAAGCAGGAATCATTCACAAGGATGAGTGTTACTTGTCTTAACATAGCAATCACAAAATGGAAGATACTTACCAAGGCATTTGTCCATATAAATGTATATACGTCCTCTTCTGCATGAAAAGAATTTTTAGATTTTATATGTCATTCTATGCACGCTTATAGAATCATAGTACGAAAAAATATTTCCTCAAATGTGTCTGGCTTGGCTTGAATGAAAAACCTGAAATAGCCATCTTCTGACAATTAAATTTTTCACTTTTGAAACCTTTACTTCGTGATACATATGGTTAGTATACGACTGGCAATCGAAAACCTTTGCCTTTGGCGATAGTTTCTGCACCTAATGATATTCAAAAATACAGAGATATATAAAAATACAAAAGCGGCAGGCATTTCATATAATCTACTTAGGCTGCCGAATTCGAAGTATGGTTTATCATGTTCATGAACAATTCCTTCGCGACAGATAGGTGGGTATGGTCACCTCAATGGACTGTTGCTAGTTGCAGTAGCAATCGTAGTACCACTAAATGTAGCATTCATATCCGATAAATAATCTAAATTTATAATTTTCCACATAAAAACAATGAATAAATCTTGGCGATAATTGTTACCTGAAGTAGGATCAGTTTTAGATTCAATTTCAATTTTTATGTTGGATTCCAAATCGCCAAGCATATATGTTGACATTTTTGTTTTTTTTATTGATACTTTTGAAACAAATAAATATCTAGAATTGAATCAAAAACATGAATGCTTATGATAAATCGTTTATTATCCTATTGTATTTCATTAATTATTTCAATGAAATAATATTAAATATTTATCACTGGCTGTTAGAAAGTAAATAGTAAGAATTTATAGCTCTTTTATTTGTCAATGAGCAACATTGGATCACTATACATCGAAGTTTTTCAAAAGTCATTATCGTTGTAGTGGTCAATTCAGACACTTTTGCGGGTCATAGCAAATGGGCCTAGTTTTTGATTCAAGAAGAGTTTTTCGTTTTCTTTTTTTGTAGAAATTTCAAAATGAATGAATTTCTTACGTTTCTCGATATATTGGTTTTTATTTTTAAATAAAGATAGTTCTTGTAACGGAAAAATATTTAAGTTGCGTAAATATTCATCAAATAACTATCGAGATATATATAATTGCGTATATATCCTGATAGGATGATGGACAAAAAAGTGTAGATCAATATCAGTTATATATTTTAGTCGCTGTGTGCGTCATATTAACAATACTTCCACACGATAAGTTTATTCTTGTCCAAAATGAGTTCTGTCTGTTGTCTTTCAATACAACAGAATACAATCGTACGTATTACACAGCACAACTTTCTTTTAACTCGACTTGTTTAGAACTGAACTCGACTCGACTGCCCTATTGTGACGGAAAAGAGAAGAAGTTTAACTCTACCGTTATACGCGACATTGATGTTAGTCGAGCTACTTCATTCTAAACCGTTATGACAAATGGAGAGGCATAGTCTAGTCTTTTACTACACGATGCTTATTCAGCTATACTCTACATCCAAATATATCCATCCAACACAAAACACACGCTTCTATACGCCACCAAGAAAGAAGAGAACGGAGAGAGAAGAAAATACATAGAGACAAAAGTTATTGAGAGAGAAAAGATACACAGAAAGATTACGTACTGTTCAGTGCGCGATTATGTGTTTGCATATGCAATGATGAATATTAGTGATGCAAACTTAATTACGCCACCGCAGTATGTTCATCAGCTGTATGACTTACAAGTGAACATCCGGCGGTTCATATAACCCCTATTTAATCTAATCCTTTACGAGGGACGTAAGTTACTTCTTGGCACACGCTCCCCCTTAATCGAGACGCGCTCCCGAGCGTCTACAAAAGAAAAGAAAAAGGAAAAACATGTAAGAAAGAATGAACAGAGAAAAGAGAAAAAAACAAGAAAGGTACCACACTGAACTGAAAATGAACTTGAAACACAGAGAGAAACAGACAAAAAACAAATGGTAATGATAACTGTTCAATAATAATCATGATTCTAACCGATTCCATCATGAGTTATTTATATACTAAATCAGTCTTCTTTAACATTAGGCAATCATTAGCCTTCTTCAAGCATAATTTCATTTGAATTTTAGGTTGTTGATGTGTTGTCAACATACGTCATTGCTCCTTCTTGTGCGTGCTGTTATCTGTTCTGTTCTTCCCAGGTCGACTAATCCGACGAAATCTGTTGGTTCTTGTCGGTTTTCATGTAATATCCGATTGTATGAATGAACGATCTGGGATACTTATGACAGGACAGATATCTCCTGACATAACAATATTGTATGTGATCTTCTTCATTCAATTGATTCAATCGTTTTTTTTGCATCAATACGCAGAGTTTTAAATCTTTGAAATGTAAATCTCCACCACTAAAGCATAAACGGAGGAAAAGCAAGAATAGCAATTGAGAAAAAAGTTAATAATGAAACATAAATAATAAAATCATAGCCGTATGGTGAACTTATTTCTCTTAATCAGAGTAAACTTTAAATAAGAAAAATTGTTATTTTTGGTATTTGGTTTTGTTCATATTCATATTTATATTTTGTTGTTGATTCCAATACTGAACTTAACGCAATACTTGGAAAATCGAATGTGAGTAGTACGAGAATTTCATAGAATTTATAATGAAATCTTCCATTATCATCAAGAAATAAAAAGAATATCGATGTTACATTAAAAATTGTATAACTAATTGAACGCATGACAACATATTTAATTCTACCACAAGTTGTTTTTCCAAATTCAAATATATTATTTTTATTTTCATTTGAATAATATTCAAGTGATATATGTATTATATGTAAAATAAATTCAATACTAAATGAAAGAAATGAAACGATAATAACACTTTTGGAACTTTTCCAAAGAAATAAATAAGCTGAAAGTTCACCAAATTCAATAGATATTGAACCAATTGTTTGAATATAAACATAAGGACTAGCCGATGGAATATTATAAAGAAGATCAATCACCAAAAGAACAAAGCCAAAATAAACAAATAATCGTTCCGTTAAATTTGCTAAATCAATTAAAATTTGAATTATTGATGACCAATACTCATGGCGATGTTTTTCAATCACTTGTTTTCGTTATATTAAAATTGTTCTCTCGTCTAGTAATAGGATAGGATCTTAATGTTTTTAGTAATAAGCAGCAACAAAAAAGTGTTCATAGCTCTTTTTTTGTGTACTCAAAAAATGAGTATACTAGATTCAGTCAGTGTATCCGGCCTTCCGTTAACACAATAACCCTTGAAAGCTTCATCCAATTGTCATGACATTTTGTACACAGAATGATCTCATTAATATCTCAGTCGAGTTCGAAGATAAGAAGGATGCGCCAAGAAATGACTGAGTTATCGAAAAAATTGTCACTATTGACCAGGCCATTTCTCAGAGAAGAGGGGCAGGGAGTTTCTCAAAAAACAATTTTTTTTCTTAGAATTATTCACAACGTATATAAATCGACTCAGTTTTTGCAGTACACATAACAATCGAATGCAAATCCGATGCTTTCGCATTTATTCCCATTTTGTATCTGTTAATAAAGAGAAATCGGAAATGATTATGTGTTTTTATTCTATATATTAAAGTGCTTCAATCGAGACATGCAATAACGATAGGAAGTCATTAGTAGCATATTCAAGGAGGAAAAGGCGGATTTGGGATTTTGAAAATCCAAAAATCCAAAACGTGAATGATGGAATTTCCATCTGAATTTTTTCCCATATGTAAGTCTCATGATTCTTAGAATATTCTAAAATTTTCAGCGCAAACAGAAGTTTCCTTCTCAAGATAATGAATGCGCAAGAAATACTCATTTCACGGCACGGTCAGAAAATCCAGTTTTTTTGAAAATTCAATATTTTAAGAAGGAAACATTTATTCGAGTTGAAACTTTTAGGATCTTTTATAGAACATGAAACCTATATATGGGAAGAATTTCAGGTCGAAACTACGTCATTCACAGAGGGAAAATGCTTTTCAGTTTATGGGATTTTGAAAATCCCAAAAATCCGCTTTTCCCCCCTTGAATTTTCCTCTTTTTTTCTAAAATGCTTGGTGAGATGCCAGCCATCGACTATTCATTCATCAAAAAAGTATCATCATAAGCGTCGCGTAATCTGCTGCATCTCACGAAGAAAATAAAATAGGACCCGTGAGTTCAAAGGCTAATAGTGTTTTACCTGCAAATGAAGATGTCGTCGAGCAATTACGAAAAGTTATTAAAGCTCAAGGTGGACACCGAGACTTTACAAAACCATTAAGCAAAGCAACTGGCTTAAAAGAAGCAATAATAAATCGATTTATTCATGACAAAGATTATAGTGTGATCACATTGCATACTTTTATTGCTCTTTTGAACTCATTTGCTTCAACATTTCTAATTTTACCAAAATAATCATTTTATCAATAAAAGTAACAACAAATATGTAAAAGATCATAAACAAAGTTATTTACCAGCCTATTTAAAAATAGTTTGTGATTCTAACTAACAGAGAACAGTCTAAAAAATGAAGAAAAACATTAATCGTGTTTCCCCGTTGAAGATAGTAATTATGTTGTTGTTTTATCTATTTTTGGTAGTATAAAATATATTGTCAGATGATCGAAATAGTCGATCTGGGATCATGAAAATAACCGAACAATGTCGTGAGACTTTGACAATTTATTGATTCGCAATCAATATGATAAGAGATACAAGAAATTATTTAAAGAAAAAAGTTCATTAAAAAACGATTATATTACTTATGATGACGCAATTATCTTAGAATTTTTGTTTTGCTTTGTTCAATGCAACATATAAAAGAGAAAAATCATGTAATTTATTCTATTTCAAGGGTATACTACAGTTATCCCACATAGAACAGTTTAGTTATTTCAATTATATTGCCAGTAGAAGTTAAGAGCATAGTAATTTAAGTTTATTTCATAAAATTCTGTTCCTTCAATAACTTTAAATGATTGCATCGAGATTGCAATATATCAGTATCAGTAACAATCTGTGTTAGCCTTAGTGTTGAGCAGATCTATGTACAAATAAACTCTAACTGATATAGCTGTAATACACATTAATATTATATTAAAGATGATCAAAAAACGCTCGAGAAAAATTTAGATATATTTTGTTGAAGTACGCTACCCGAAAAAGTTGTCACTTTCACCTCCTGAATTCGATGTAATTAATAAAAATACGATTTCATTTATCCGATTAAAAGTAAGTAAACTTCGATTCAATTTTTATTTTGTTCTGATTAGATAAATATTATTATCTATTTTGGTTTTAAATTGCTCATTCTTTTGTAAATATTTTTGATCACAATATAAATGAAAGAATATTGTTATATTATACAATACCTTCATCATATCAATAATACAAGAAAGTCAAATTCAGGATGTGAAGTGTTATTGTAGCATAATAAAAAGTATGACCACTCATCCTTCTTCTTAGACAACTCTGTTATCATCAGATGGATATACTCGTACGTCGAGCTCTCGCATTGGCCATATATGTTTATATACTTTTTCGCTGTCATATGTGTTATGTTGCAAACAGTAGTGACTATGTTTGCATTACATACAAAACAATTTCTATAAGAATACGTGACTATTTTTAAGTAAAATCTGAAATTTTTCAAAAAATAGAGAAATACAAGAAAAAAAATTAATAATAGGATCAATTTTTAAAACTATAGGAAACATAGGATCACTACATAGCTGGTTAAAGATCAAGCAATTAGCAATATGAAATCCAGTTGACATTTTCTTTCAATTCAAATAAAATACCATTATCATGATGCAAAGGTAAAAAAGCGCAACTTCCGTACTTCGAAGTCCGATGTGAGTAGAATGGAAGTACAGCGAAGTATACATGAAGTATCTGGGAGTACAAGGGAAGTATGGAAGTCGCGCTTTTATCCCCTTGTCATGATATCATATAAGCCAAAGTTCATTTTAATGTCTTTCTGTTGGTATTTGCGGAGCATTCTTATTCGAAATACAATCCTCTTGATAACTTCGATTGGAATATCCATCGTTTGATACATTCATTATTCGATCAAGAACAATGACGTCTTTTGATTCTACTGTTTTCAAATAAGCATATAAACCAACGTGGCTTATACTTTTCTTCGGTCCCCAATCGTACCGAGGTGCATTATTTTGAGTAAATGCTTCTATATATCGAGGTTTTTCAGGACAGTTGTTATCATCTGAAGAGCCATTATCGGTTGAAGGACCAATTGATCGTATATATTTTGTTCCATAAAATAAAAATTCAATAAAAACATCTTACGATTTCTTTTCGACGAAGTGTAAAATATTCTCGAATATAATTGATAATAAAAAGCAATGGACTAGGTATTATACAAGCAACAAATATTCACCATCCAATGACGGTACTCCATCCGGGATCAACATAAGCTTCATAGCCAGCGCCAGCACCATTCGACATTTGTTTAGAAGTCCACAAATTTGAGAATGTTATTACCTGAATAAATAGATTTCATTTTATTGAAATAAAATTTTGATCTCTATTTTCAGTCTATAACTAGCCAACATAATAATTGGAGACAGGATACACCATGTTAAAAATAAATAATATTCTGCTGCACGTTTTCCTAACATCATTTTCACATCATTCATAAATCGATTGAATCCTTTAAAAACAAGTGTTGTTACTCATCAAAACGAAAAACAAAATTGACAATTAAAACTAACCATAGACATAAGCAATTACGTAGACTTCAAAAAATCCAACAACGACCATCGATATATTGGCTGCATATTGATTCAATAATTCAAATAAATAAATTCCACCCTAAACATTCAACTAACTTCGATATTCAGAAATAAAATTTAAAAAAACTTCAATACGAACTGGACATGTAAATGGTAAACTTATTAAAAATGATACAACACAAGTAATTATTACTGTCAACTCTCTCTGGGATTTAAATCTTGGAAACAATTCCAATATTGATGTTATTGGAACATCTGTTAAAGCAAACTAATCAAAAAGGAAAAGCCAAAAGGTAATTAGATAAATAAAATAAGTTTCAATAACCTGTGAACCAAGTCCAAGTGCTAAAAGCATCAGAAAAAAGAGAATCGAAAAAAGTGAACTAGCTGGCATATGTGCAATAGCTTCGGGATAAGTTATAAATGCTAATCCTGGACCAGATGCATCGGCATATTTTGAAACTGATTCTTTTAATTCCGTTGACAAATAACCAATCGTAGCAAATACAGCAAAGCCAGCAAATACACCGGTAAAACAATCACATGATACAACAATACACATTTGTCTAATATAAATTAGATTAAATTTTCATCAAAAGTAAGAGAGAAAAATAACCTGAAAAAATTATTGTTAAATTTATTTGATGCTGAATAAGCCATTAATGAACCAAAGCTGAGGCCAAGTGAGAAAAATACTTGAGATGCAGCTGCTTGCCAAGTCTATAACGGGAAATTGTTTTTTTAATGTTTTTGTGTTAATTTTCTTCTTAACAAAACGAATTCAAGTATCTAACTAACTATACCAAATAATAATTACAGATGTTTCGTAGAATTACAGATAAAATAAAATTTATAATAGCACACCATTCGATCCGTATTTCCATAAACAAAAAGTCTTTCTTCATATTAAATATAATAAAATTCTTCTTTTTCTTCCATTTAGCGAAATGCAAAACATGATTTTCTGATACATGAAAATCGGTATTTTCTTTGCTTTAGTTTTGGTCAAAGTTTTAGCTAAATTTATTTACAATTATGATTCGAGTTTGAAATGATCCAAGAGTTCTGGTTTTTTTGTCATGAAAATTGGTATTCATGGAAAATTTAAACAGTGTTCTAACTAATAGGGAATATTTTATGAAATATTATATGTACATATATCTGTTTAGTTTTTTATTTGTCTCGCATAGCTTAATGATGACATAGATGAAGTTTTTTTTTATTTTTAATTTAAAAAAATCTCAGCGTTTGAGTGGGTTTCAATCACCATATACTCTCTGAGGTCCTGAAATTCTAAAACATATTGAAGAATAAAAATTTCTATAAATATATTTACTTCAAATTTTGCAACAAGCTCCCATCTTGGAATAACATAGTATTTGATTCCTTGAATAGCTCCATTTAATAATGAACTTTGAATAATTAATACCAGAAGAACAATATATGGGAAAATAGCCGTAAAATATGCAACCTTAGTTAACATCATTTTATAAAAATAGTTTTAAAAATAAAACGAAACAAACTTTTCCTGACGATTTAACACCACGAATAATGCATGCACCAACAATAATCCAAGCCAATAATAATGAAACAGCAGGATACGCTCTTGGTCTGCCAAAATCTTCAAATTTATTACTCTTATTCAAAAGTAATTGACTGAATATAATAATTATTAAGAATTTATCTAGTTGTTTCTTTTTTGTTGATTTTTTATTTAAAACTTACAAAAAGAATTGTTCTGTAGCTGTCACTCGATCTGTTGCATTGATTTGTTCACATAAATACTCTGTACGATTAAGAAATTGCGGTTCAGTACAGTTATATGTTGTTCCGTTTACTCTAAACGATGAACTATCAGCACCGGGGACAAAACATCTCGCATCATTCCACCAATATCCACATTTTTTCCATAAAAGATTTGTTCGAAATGATGAAATAAAATAAAATAAAGCCCAACTTATAATAACATTATAATAAAGCATACAAAGTACACTATTTATTATCATAGCAAATCCGACACCTTCAATAGAAAATAATTAGAATTTTTTGTATCAAAAATTTATCTGGTGTTCTTTTACCTTGCCATCCTTTAGCAAGTAAAAATGCAGTAGCTGGACCTCGACTAGAAAATTGACCAAGTGCTAATTCAAGGTAATATATTGGTGCACCAATTAAAAAATACAATATAAAATATGGAATTAAAAATGCACCTATATAACATATGAATCGATAAATAGTATAGGAAAGCAGAATTGAATACAGACCACCACCACTCTTAGCGGCTAAATAAGGAAAACGCCAAACATTTCCGAGACCAACGGAATTTGAAATTAAAGAAAATATAAACTCAAGTGGATTATCCCATTCGTGATTATCTTTTTCCTGAATTGACAAAAATCGTTAGATTTTCATTTTCAAAAAACAATTCTTAAACAAACAACCTCTTCGTGTGTATTTATTGTACCAATTTCCGTATCAGTTGACTCTTTTATATGAGTTCGTCGCCAAAACTAATAGAAGGACGTGGATTTATTATGGTACTGGATAAAAAAAATAATTACCTTAAAAATGAGTTTATTTTGCATTACTTGCCCGATAGAAGATAAGTTTCGTCTAAGATAATTATTGAATCAGAAATCAAATTGTATTCCTATTGGAATATGGCCTATTAATAAAAAAACGAATTCTATTCTTGTTGACTCTTATCCAAATCAACTTTAACTAAAAGAGTAATGAAAGAAAAAGAAACGAATCTTCATTTTATCGTAAACAAATCTTCAACGACCTATTGAAGAATGCATGCAAAAAAGATATTTACTGTCTTGATAAATACCAAGGCAAGCGACATTTTTTTTGTTCTTCAAATGGATTAAAGAGTTATGTCTTTTTATTGAAATGTTTCCGTTGAAAGAGATTTGATAAATATTACAAGTCTATCTTCAACTATCGAAAAGTGAAAGAGCAGCACAAATTAGTGATCCCTTTGAATATTGTCTATCTAAACAATTGAAAACATGTTTGTATTTAATTATTTCTCTCGTTTATTTTTACTTATAGTTTTGATATCGAAAAAATGAAATTATTTTTCAAGCAATAATAATCGAGTAACAGTATATCTTTCTTCGTATTTTTATTTAAGATGATTTTTTCATATGTAACTCTTTAAATTAATCTAAGGAAACTAGAGAATAAACACAGTGTTTGTTGAAAAGACTTTTATCTGGTGATAGAAAATAAGTCGTGTCTTCAGATATAAACTCACTTTACAATTAAGATTTCTGCTGATGAATCATCTATGAGATAATGTGTGAAAATTTCTTTTTTATCCATTTTGGTTAACAGCAGTATGAACCGTCTTTGAGGACCGCATGTTCAATTCTGGATTATTTTGGTAATATAATTATTTTTTCTTCTTCTTCAAGATAAGCGATTTTAGTTGTTGCACTGCGTTTTGAAATACTATTTTGAATAGAAATATATGTTTCTTTCAACTACACCACATTTTATGTGTACACACATAAGGTATATTATATAAATGCATCAAATGGAAAAACAAAAGAGTTTGAATAATATGCTATTAATAATAAAGATCTATACTGTAATTGAGAGACAGTGAGGACATTCAAGTTCAATTTTATGTTCCCTGAAAAAATAACAAATGTAAAGGATTAACTTTTTTTATGACGAGTACAAACTTGAATAGATCGAATTTCTAACTATTCATCATTGTAGGTCATGTGTCAAGAACTCAACATATACACAAAACTTACAATTTTCTTATTAATATTTCGAAAATGCATTAGTATCTGTAGTTTTAATGATATCGAGTCGATAGGTCAGCATCAACGTCTTCCAACAAAATCCCATATGCTTCATCACAAAAATATTCTTTAAACTACTAAATTCTAAATAATTATTGAAGTTCATCAATAAATGTGTTTTTTCGACGAAATCATGTGTATCTTTCGATTTCTCACACAATACTACATCATTTTTGTGAGACGATAAGTTTGACGAATGGAAGACATCAATCGATAATAGAGATCGCTTTCATCGCCTACTCATCGTATCTACTAGTTTTTGTATATATTATAAATAACTTTTTCTTAATCATTTTAACTGTGTTTTACGAGAATTAAAAGTTAAATAAACATGTAAAAAGATTTAGTTTTGCGCCTTATCACTTCAATAGATTGTATCTTCGAAAGTCTGGGATCATCGACTAGTAGACTTTGAATGAATATCAATTACGAATGAAATGAGTTGCTATTGAAATGGACCCATAATTATATTTACTGTTTACATTACCAGAATATGTCAACTCTATGTACAGCCAATAAGCAATTGATGCTGTAGAGCATGTCAAATGTTCATTTTTGTTTTTCTATTCAGAACGTTCATTATTCGTGAGAGTATTTAAAACTGTATTTCATTTCAATAATTGAAAATAATGTATGATTAGTCAACAAGAACTGTCATTTATTTTATAATGCTTCTCTAAACTTAGAGCACCGATAATTAACGTTGATAGTGCTCTGTTCTTCGTACTCGCATGTATTTTTCGTGAAAGATAATAGTATTTATGAATTTTCCTTATTTCAATCAGCCAAGTATTTATGCGAATTGGTCGAGAAAAACGAAGATTAATCAAATAGATAAAAAGTGTTAAATATATAATTGGTCTCTTTGACTACATCGAAGCGCTTCTGAGTTGTTTTTGTTGTTTGATAAATTAAAACGAAATTTGACAAGAATGAAAATATTTTTAATGAAAGCAGATGATAAATGACTATCGACGATCGGATAGTACAAAACGTCAATCTCATCGTCGTACTTTATTATGTTGCTCAACTATATGCCTACTTTCATTTTTAATTTTATTTCTATTGTTAACTCAAGTATTTCATTATCGTTATGTGCATTTCGATAACAATTTAAATAGATCAATTTCATTAAATATAATGAAATTTCATTCATCATTAATTCAATGTGGTCAATCTGTTGTTGAAAAAGAAAATATGTATCAATTTATTGAACAATTAACTGAAACAATGAAGAATCTTGCTACAAAACAAAAGAATAAAAAACTTTTTCATATAAATGAACAATTAGATATAATTCTTATGCCACCAGACATTATTGTTTGGTTAGAATATATTCTAGCACAATGTTTTCAAGCAAGACAATTTTCAATAATTGAACAAAATAAACCAACCATTATTAGACAAATTATTTCGACTTTACGAAAAGAATTTTCATACATCGCTGGATTTTTTATAAAAGAAACTTAAAAAAATCGACTCGAATATCTCTTTTTATGCTGCGAAGCCGTAAAGATGTCTTAAATAGCTGTTGTTAACCACCGGCTTTCGGCCGCTTCACGTGATATGGGTATTCAGACACATTTGTTGTTTTCATTCTTATAGAATACTATTGCAATGGGAAATCTAATTTGTGGAATAAAATAAGCATATTCTTGCCATTTTACTTTTTTTGAAATTATTATCTGCTTTTCTTAGTGTAATCGGATAGATGTCCGTGTGTATATACTGATCTGATTTTTTTTGTGAATATTTAACGAATTATTGAAACATTTTTTGAAAAGTCGCACTATTATTGAAGATATTCTTTGTCATTCAATTGATCATGAAAAAAATCGAACAATCTATTTTTCAATTCATACATCATCCAATTATCCTCAATCAGAAACAAATACTATCAGTGAAATTATTCAACTGAAACAAGAAAAATATCATATAAAAAAACATATTAGTTCAGAAAAGATTTCTTATTCTTTATCATGGTATTGTAATCGTGGACTTACTCTGCGTTTACGATCAGAATATGAAAACAATGAACGTATATGTATGTGTCCACCTAGTTATTATGGTGATTTGTGTCAATATCAAAATGAACGTGTTAGTCTAACATTAGATTTGGTTAGAGCTGAAAGACGAAATGTTTATGTCATTGTTATAATGTTAATCGATGAAGAAGAGAACATAAATTCATATAATCAATACGAATATATTGCTAGTCAAAGTTGTGGAATAAAACTTAATCGTTATTTATTATTTTCAAAACGACCAAAGAATATGTCAAAGAATTATAGTATACGAATTGATGCATATGAAAAACATTCAATAACATATCGTGGAAGTTGGCATTTATCAATAGATTTTCTTTTCTTACCTGTTAATCGTATTTCGACTTTATTATACTTGCCCTATGAGCGAACTCCTATTTTATATAACTGTTTTGCAACCTGCATAAACGGTGAATGTGTTCAATATTTAAACAAAAACTATTTATCCTGCCGATGCTTTTCAGGATGGTCAGGTATTCAATGTGATATTAAATTAAATTGTCAAAGATGTTCATCTGATTCCATATGCATTGGATCTATAAATGATCGATCTATATGTATTTGCCCTATGATGAAATTTGGTCCTCGCTGTTTACTTATATCTGTATGTCCAAAAAATGCTTGTCAAAATAATGGACAATGTATTCCAGCCGATATCAGTGTATCTGATAGTCATTATTACGGATCAAAATGTGAATACCGAAAAGGTCAACCAGATATTTATTTAGAAAATTTGAATATTCCATCATTTCTATCAACTTTTTTCTTAACAATATCAAATAAATCAGAGCCTCAATTGACAATAATGATACAAAAATTAACTTTATTTCAACGTAGGGTTACATTTCGTATATCTATTCCATATAATCTAGTTATCATCGAATTGAATAGAAAATATTATCTTGCAGTTATTCAATCACTTCCAAACCTTGATCTATCAACATCAATTAATCCTTCTCACGAATGTCTTTCAATGGAAATATTATTCAAGTCTACATTAATGAAAATGTCTCGATTTCAACGAATTAAATTTTACCATATTCCATGTCAAACAAATCATGATTTAAATTGTTTCATGGATAAATTTTATCTTTGTTTATGTACAAAAGATCGTCATGCAAATTGTGTTGAATTTAATTATGATAAAAATCTTCAATGTTCATCAAAACACTATTGCGCAAATGGTGCTCAATGTTTACAAGATCATCCTACGTGTCCGTCTGCAATTATTTGTGTTTGTACTGATTGCTTTTTTGGTCATCAATGTCAATTTTATGCGAAAGGCTTAGGTTTAACATTAGATGAAATCTTAGGTTATGAAATAAAACATAATCTTATTTTTACTGAACAACCATTTTCCGTCAAATTAAGTGCTTTTATCACAATGATAATGCTGTTAATAGGTCTTATAAATGGTATTTTATCTATTTTAATTTTTAAAAGAAAAAGCTCTCAAGAAGTTGGCTGTGGAATATATTTGTTTGCATCATCAATAACTTCAATAAGCATTGTGATATTATTTTCATTGAAATTTTGGTTTCTTATGTATTCCTATAGAGATGTTTTTGGTAAACGAATAATTCTATTTTCAAATTGTATGATAATCGAACCGTTACTTAAACTTTTACCGTACATCGATAATTGGTTAAATGGATGTGTTGCTAGTGAACGAGCGTTTTCAGTTTTTAAAGGAATATCGTTTAGTAAAAGCAAGAGTAGAACAATGGCTCTAATTTGTAGTTATAATTAATATTATTCTTATAAGTCCTCAAATATTTTATTTAAATTTATTTGATGATTTAAAAGAAGAACGTACTTGGTGTGTAGTTTTGTATTCATCATTATTAAATACTGATAGTTCATCTATAATATTTTTTCATTTCTTTGCTCCATTTCTATTAAATTTATTTTCTGCCATATTTATTATCATTGGGACAGCTCGACGACGGTTTTTAATGACAGCAGAACATCGATTTACGAATCATTTTAAAAGTAAATTAAAACAACATAAACATTTATTAATAAGTTCTATTATTCTTGTTATATTATCATTGCCACGTTTAATTATTTCATATACATTGAATTGTAAGAAATCATCTGAATATTTTTGGTTATATCTTTCTGGTTATTTTATTTCATTTATGCCGTCTGATCTTATGTGCTTTGTTTTTGTTTTACCATCTGTTACATATAAAAAAGAATTTCAACAAGTTCTATTGTGTATTCAACAACACTTTTCTTTAATTAAAATTAAGTCATTCGCCAATAAACATTTTTAACGTCAGAAATTTCAACTGGACAGCTTATAGTAACACATTGGTCTATTCGAATAAAATTACACTAGTTTTCTGTTGTATCATCATCACTTCATATTTTCTTTGTTTTATCTACGATTCGTTTAATTAAAGAATAAATATACATATTCTATATCGTTAGTTCTTAAAATTATTTCGGTTTTATAGTTTACACGGAATCATAAAATTCAGCAGTCCTTTCTATAAAGTATCACATTCAATAGCTATATATCGAACGTAAAATTGTTTTTGACAAAGTTATCGTAAATATTTTTATTAAAGTGACTCGATTAATAATCTTTACAATGCGTAGGATACTATTGAATAGCAAATAAAAGTAATAGGCCGTTTTATGAATGCAATGTTTCTAATATATGTTGTTATGACTCGTACTAGAAGATTTTGCTCAGCTATGTACCGGCTTGATTGATGCAAACTTGACACCGAGGAAAAAAGCGAAGAGAAGACAAATAAAGAAGCCCGTTATTTGAACGATCAGCATTGATGTGTATCGAAAATCATATAATATATCCATCGGTCGACACGCAAGTGCAGTGGATAGTTGGTGGAATAAAGACGAGCCAACAAGAAGGATAAGTATCTTACGACACCAACAGAACCACTTATAAGGATTCTCTAGTTGGTCGCGAGATACAGAATCGTAAACCATCTGCGACACTAAGATCAATATCTCGGATCCAAAACATAAAAAGACGATTAATATACTCATGGAGCTGTAGCTCCTAATATTGTCGATAGAAGTTGATAATAACAGTGAAGGTGGTAATGACAAACATCGTTCTGTAAAGAGATTAAAGTAACAAATATTTATCAATCATATGAAAGTTCAATGAAAATAGTTCATTGATCAACTGAGTAGCTAGTCAGATAGTCTACTTGTCGTGCCCTATACTTCATACAATCATTTCAAAAAGATGATTTCTTACTGTTTGTTCTAATGAATTAATCGGAAATACTCACTAGCGTAGGCTCGATCATAAATTTCATTCGCTGCCAACGATACATTGATTCTATTCATTGATAATTCAATCGTCTCTGTTGAAGTGTTGCTCATTAAAGGTAGCCAAACGGCAAGTTGTGTACAGAATACCAATATCAGCATATGTATATATCGTATCTTATTACACCATTTGAACATACGATTGATACGTGTTTTTACACTGAAAATAAACAATGAAATGTATTATTTAAAAAATTAAATTCTCTCATTCGTGTGTCGAACGCTTCTAGATTATACTTTGACATTTCTTTGCACAAACATCATCTCCATTTTATCAAAACAAATATCAGGAAAAAGAATAATTGGTCGTCTCTTTTTGCACGAAATTTCTACAATTGAAACTGTAGTCCTGCATCTATTCCGATTAACAACAATAGACATAAAACGTCATTTTTTGTAATTAAAAAGTGTTTGAAACCGATAATTTACTGATAATACACCAAAAGATTGTTCATATTTATTTTATATATACTATTTTAATTGAAAAGTAATTTCTTGATAAGATAAAGAATGAATAATTTTCAGTTTCACAAATATTCACTTTGCATCAAGACTTTGGTTTTGTTCTATGATATTTTCTTTCATTAATGAAGATTCGTTCGTTTTACTACAAATTAGTCTTTTCCCTACTAGTATTATCGCTGCACAAAACAAATTTACAGCACTAAAAAATGTTTTTCCATTCATTTTACTGAAGGAAGTAATTTTGAACTGAATAAAAACTCTTGAATCAACTCTATATTCTATTTAAAATATAAGACTTTTCTTACTTATCGAAACATATGTACAGAAAAAGAAACAAAAGTGAATGGTAAATTGTCAGTTCATTCATATTGAAAAAGTTCCCGATCTAATTTTATCTTAAAACCAACTAAAGGCATTATTTAGCTTCACTGGCTGCTGATATGTATCTCACACACTTCACTATCTATGGATATCATATACACTAGTTGACCAAACGTTAATGTGGTAGTATGAAAATTTTATTTAGATCGTAGATCGAAAACTAGAAACTTGAGTATCGCTCAGTAACAGTTTCTTGTTTTGAACGGTCAATCGTCATTCAAAATTTATGAATATCTGTGAGTGTCGTTTATAGCGACAATACTCCATCATGCACTAGAATGTTTGCTTTGGCTCATTGCTTCAAAAGTTAACAGTTAGGTGTTCATGGCCCTCCTAGATCATCAGCTATTACGACAGATGAAACAATCATTCAAACTCTTGAAGACTCCCCAATTAGAAGTCATCAAAACAGTCAATACAATAAGTAAATCAGCAAGCGCAATCCACCAGAGACTACATTTAGCTGCAGTTTTTTTTAGAATGAGTGCCATATTTTGGCTTGCCTAATCAACACTATCAATATACCCTAGCTTCTGCTTCAGTATTCTATTGAATAAAACAATTTTCTTTTCAATTTATAATTAATAATGAATCATAAATTCGTTGTTATTAACATAAATCAAAATGGTTACCATATCAGTAAAAGGAACCGATCCTACCATCATGAATACGACTGAAACAAGAAAAGTCTTTGAACAAAGTTCAATATTTATGTTTTTTAAGAGCAAAAAAGGATAATTATCAAAGATTTCATGGCGTCAGATATAACATTAATCTAATGATATTATGCAAATCTTTTGGTAAACGAACTTCATATACTGAAATTAGAAAGCAACATCAGAATTTAATATCAGGTGGTGTCATTGTGTGACAATGCTTCAGCATCAGCTTACACATTACATCATGTTTCTTCTAAAGTTCATGGTGTTAAAATATGAATCACTTTAATATCCATCCTATTTTCTATGTTTGCCTTCTAGTGACTATTGGGAACCAGGTATCAGATCGCACTGATTTCCACAATAGACGTTCGGCAGTACGTGTTTGCTTTGCATACAACCTATATACTAATGGATGTGATGCACGCTCACGCACCACTGAGTGAAGGTGACGGCTGTCTTTATAGGGAGCAACTATCCTTTCGGCAATTTCCGAAGATCTAGGGAGAAAATTATGTTATCTTGATTATTACTTACTTCAAATTTTAGAAGATTACTTCAGTAGAAACTATTACGTGATTGAATTTTGTTGGAAATATAATACAATGTCTGAAAATGACTTCACAACAACTATAAAAAAAAATAGTTTCCATATCGCTGGTTAAAATGCACTGCAGCAGGAGGAATGATATTTCGAAAAGAAACCTATACTTATGGCTGTAACCCATGACTTTGTGTCAAATAAAGACACTAGGAGTTTATTTAAAGAGAGTAAATATGTTACAATTCTATAGGAATATCAATGCTAATATCAGTGAGTTATCAACAATGCAGAGACACATTTTCTACGGTAGTTAAACTCTGTATGTTACAGAAATTTTAATAGCAAACAAAGACAAAAGAGATATAGTAAATATCAAAATTCTTTGTTTTATACTCTTATATTCGTCCTCAATAGCGATTGGCACAAGAAACATACCCAAAATGTTTAGGAAACTTGCTTGTGACAATGTTTGATTTTGATGAATCTTGTTGTTGTCGAACAGGAAGCGATAGGATCGTTGCCATGTTTTATTCCACTAAAAAGATTGATAGTTATAGATCCTACTCTATCTTTATAAATTTATTGAAGAGAGCAGGATTCTTTCAAAACAAATGCTTGGAAAGAAATTAGAAAAAAATCTGACGAACTCAAAATCTTTTCATTACGTCAACTCGTTATATAAAAGATGTTAAGGTACAGTTAAGGCTTGGAACATATGCACAAAGAATGAATAGCTAAGTTGAGAATCGATTCTCAAATAGTCAAGCGAAAAACAATGATAGGTAAGTAACAATTACAATGTTCGAGTTGCGCATTTATCTTATGTATTTAGTAGCGAGAAAACACGTTTGAAAACGTTTTGGTCCCATATTTACACTTTTTCTTTCCAGTTACCTATGGAATTCGAAGTTCTTTGAAAAACTAATGAATAAACAACTAATTATATTCAAATAATTGATTTTCTTCTTCGATGAGCGAAATATGTAACATCACATAATACAAGACGAGGCTTGAGCAAAACAACAGATTTAAATTTGATAGATCAATGTTTCTTTATAATTTAATATTTGATAAATGTTGATCGAAGAATTTCATAAATCGATTATTATCTATATTGAATACTTTTCTTTCACTGACAACTATTATTTCCGTAATATAGTGAATCGTGTACTTGATACAGAATATTTCAGTTTGATAACGTCCTCTAATTATTTCGAACGCTTCATCAGTTTAGAAATGATTACATTAAGAATTTAAAATATTTGTGGTGACACAAAGAAGATAAACAAACAAATGAAAACATATGGATGCGTATATCCTCTTACTCAATTATTATTGACTCAAATTTGACATTTGACTAATTTCTTAATAAATCCAACACTGGTTTTTTCAGAAGAGATGAACAACTTGGAATCATGCTTATCTTTTATTTCTATATTTATTTCTCCTCTATTCTATTCTATAGTCAGAATCAATAACAATATAGTCTAGCTACTATAAATTTGTCAATGTAGTTACGTACCTTTATTTGGAGGAACTATCGAGTTTCGTAGAGTCAATCTATTCCATGAATGGAACTAAGTGAATGGATGCGAATTTTTCAGATGGACGAGATATTTGACCGTCTGATGATTGTTAAGTGAAAAGAAAGCGATGAATGACCTTTCTTCGTTTTCTGTTTCAAAAAGAAGAAGAAAAACAAAAAGGAATGTACTTATCGGTCAAAGGAAGAAAAAAAATCGGAAGTGGACGAGTGAAAAAAACTAGCTCGGTCGTTCTACATCGATCAATATTAAAAAAACGATGTAATTTTAATATTGATCGAATAGTTTTTTTTTCTTAATTAACTTTGACACAGGCTGATTATTGATCGTTAATCCGAGAAAAAAATAACTGAAATATTGTTGGAACACTGAAAAATGCTATTCTTTACTTTTCATTAAGTGTTTGGCAGGTCCATTTATTAATCACTTTTATTTAGATCGAAAATGAAATACGTTACGAATTGATTAAAATGAATTTCAATTTATTTAAAGAGCTTTTTAAATGTATTCATAACGAAATTATTTTCTTAATCGCAAAGAGAGTTTATCATCAAACGTTGATAGCACATAGTACTAACAACATAAATCGTCTTACAAGTGCCCAGTATTGAAACGAAAAATAAAAAGACGCCCAGTCGGTTATATAGCTAAAGACACCGGTGACACAAACAGCAGTTGGCACCGCCTCAATCAGTGATATTCACTCCTGTTGCGACCCGTTGCAGATGTAGAATTGATCATGGCGATCGACCAATCCAGTTCAATATCAGTAAGACCTTTAAATTTGTTGGTCACCTGGTACATCAGTTATGCTATCTTTTCCTAATTCTATTTGAAATGTCGCAAATCGTAAGTTTTGATTTACTATTTCATTATGAGTCTATCGGAACGTATTGGTAGGTCAATATTTACTTTAAGATTGATCTACTGTTAGCGCAGACGAATCTGATCTATTAACGCATCTACTCTGATGTTGACTGTTAAAATTTCACGTGATCTCATATATACTACTAGGCAAGTTATGAGAAAGTGAGCCTGTTCGCGAAGTTTCTGAGCTTCTAAGAATTCCGATCTTAGCTAAAATTTAACTGTTTCTATTTAAAATTATCCTAGACATCTACTGTGGGTTCCTGGATTCGTTTTTCTAATGGGCTATCATATTTCTCTGTTTGCCTATACATTTCGTGGATATGTGTACCGTATTTATCAGTATAGGTGAATAATTTGTAGCGAGACATGAGTAGGTTGTATATTTGAACTTGACTGAATATTAACAGTAGTGGTCAATACTGATGCAAGAGTTCTTCTTTTCGTAAGCGTCTGAAAAAATTGTAGTAAAAATCACATGAAAAAGATAAGATGTCACGAATAACTAGAGCGAAATTTAGAAAAAAAAGAGTTTTTCTACACATAACTTTCTATTTTAATTGTAATACAACATGTTCTGATCATTGTTAAAATAGCTACTTAAAATATATATTCAATTGGCTACATAGTAGTGTGTTCAGAAAAATCGTATCAGTTTTGATCATCGCCTACTAAATTCGGTTTTAAAGACATGAAACTGTAACAGATAAAAATCAGTTTGCACATAAATCTTATGCGACTGTCAAATGATATTTTCTATGGTAAAAATGTTTCTGATAAAAGAAAAGGATTTCAAGTTCATGCTATCTAAATAGGGCTCTGCACATAATTATTTTGAATATTTTTGATAACTTATTTTACCTAAGTAGCAACTAAACGATAGAGTATACTGACATGAAAGAAGAAAAAAGGCAGTAATTCTTGAAATCTAAATATAAAATTAATTATGCTGTAATTTTCTCGGAGGAACATTTTTGAATACGCAAGATTTTCAGACGTCATTTTTTGTGATGAGACAGATAGCTTGAAAACTGATATTAAGCTCCATAATAATCACTTTTATTTTGATTCTTTATGAAGTAAAAGACAGAGGATTTAATGAATAAACAATAATTATTTATTTCAAATCAATTTTTGTAAAAACAATCGCTCATATTCTATGATTTTATATGAAAAATCACGTTATTTTGGTTTTATCAGAAATGATTTTTTAAATCAATTGAAATCATTTTACATATGTTTTTATGATTGAATTTTTCCATGACCAGTGTCAATAATATCAAGTGATTGTCTCTTGTTTTTTTGCCGATGAAAATCAAGCATATTGTGGACATGTTATTTCGTTACTGGTATACAGAAAAAAAATCACTATAGAAAGAAAAGAAACGAATATGTAGGATGATTCGTTCCACCTAATATATACATATACTATTCGTATTAGTCTTTGTCTTCACAGTACATCTAAACAAATAGTGAACAACGTACACATTCTTGTCATTGAAATGAATTTTAAATCTTATTTTAATGTCTTTCGACATATAGTATTTTGTTGTTGTTACATTGTAATTCCTTTTCCGGTGTTTGTTGCACAATGTTATATACTAACTATTACGGGCCTGCCCTCATATATCCTAATATCATTTCTGTTTCATCTATGTGACGTCATTCTTTACGTATTCAGATATATCTCTTTCTTCGGTGCAACATCTCTCGATCACATTATCTTCATTTTCTTGTATTTGTTTTCTCTTTCGTTTACTCTGGATGTACGGATGGGACATATATATATATATACAAGTGTTTCTTTCTGTTCTAGTTGGTCTGATGTAGTGTAGGAGTGATGTCATAATATCCTTGCACCCGGTAACGACTTATTAGCACAAACACGCTACAGTATCCACATTAGGGGCATCCACTTTTGGGTATCCAGATTTATAGATACACATTTATATATATGTATATGTTTTGAAAAGCTGAGGAATTTGAGTTGTTTTGGTGTATCCACTTTTGGGTATCCACATTTATGTATATATAAATGTGGTTACCCAAATGTGGATACCCAAATGTGGATACCCAAAAGTGGATACGCTTAATGTGGTTACATCAGATTGTAGATGCACTAAGAATGGATACTTCATCAACTATTGCTGCATAGAGTATTGTGACGTAAAACTCTCGATACCCAGTGTAAAGGTATTATGACATCTATGAGTGTAGTCGTTGTGTGTATGTGTATCCATATGTGTTAAGTACCCAGTGGAACGAAATATTTTGTGGGTTATTAATTATTCTTTGGTTCTGGGTGAATTGATAAATCAAAATATAACGTTACGGTTTTTGATGATATTTATTTTAATAATAATATGAGCACACAGATAATACCAATTTGACATAAAATTGGTAAATGATTACAACACGCACAATAATAAAAAATGCTGAACGATAATCGTTTCACGATTCTGAATTGTAGCTTCTACTTAACATTTCTAACTAAGTAACTCTTTTTCTTAACTATCTATATCACTGCTTCTCAATACTACCCCACAATTATCTATCTATCTATTTATTCTACTAAATATCCGTCCTTTTATACTCTCTCTCTTCTCTCTTTCCGTTTCATTCTATATTTATATCTATTTTCCGGGAAAAGACAGTATGAACCATAAGAAGAATAACTTGAGTCATTTCGATCGTTTCATTGATTCACATGACCCCTGAACTTAGATAACTGTTTCTTGTCATACTGACCGGATTACGTATTGATACCCAGGTTAATCAAAACGGACTCGTTTACAGTCTGTTTATCGATGGTAAACTATGTCAAAACGGCGTATTTACGGAAGTAAATAGGCCGTATTTGCTCGTAATACCTGACGCAGTAATACGGAACCGTAAACGGGACTGAATTTTCATGGTTTACGGCTGTTTGTGCTCCGTACTCTCATGATAATACGGTCCGTATTACTGCGCCAGATATTACGGCAAACTTTCGCCCGTAAAATAGTCGTAAAGTAACCGTCAATGTCCGTATACGGACCGTACTGTTCGACCTGGGTAGTATTAAAAGAATATCTTTTTCTATTATGGATTAACCGTTCCTTAATGCTTACGTAACTCTCGAACTGTCTAGTCCCGCTCAATGACAGCTCTAATTATCCGTATAAAGAATAAGAAGAAATTCCAGAATGGGGAAACGTAGATATCTGAATCAGGAGGGATGTATCATTCAAAAAAAAATACACATGATTTTCTGAATATATGAGAATATAGATTATTGGCACACCCAGGTCGAACAGACGGTCGTTTACGACCATACACGGAGACAAAAAATGATCGTTTACGATTCCTGTACATTGAGCTCGTATACGATCTCCGTATTGCTCCGTATATTGTCATATTTCTCCGTATACGACACGGTGATAGACGATCGTAATACTGGGCCATGTATTACGGTCAAATACGATCGTATACGGGGATAAACGGAGCGTATACGATCGTATATGGACTCCGTAAACCTCGACGTGGGTAGTAATTTAATAAAGAGACGGGGGAACAATATCTTCCCCTAATACTAACGATCACTGATGAGCAAAATCCATTTATAAAATGGACAAGAACTTGGCAGTTGTTCATTTCGTTGACTCTTGCTTATGATAGCATCCGAATCAATCAAGCACCTTATATGATTTGCAACGTAACGGTGATCAAAGTGTTATCAATGCTGACCCCAATTTTATCGTGTCTCTTAACGTTGATGGATTTGCATCATTACTTGACTTTTAATATAGGCTGTGTTATACATATAGTACTTAGTGGCATTACATGTGTTTATTTGGCCCTATCTTTCTGTGATGCCTACGATAGATCGGAACAAATAACATGTATGATGGAATCACCTAATACCAAATATCAATAACAAATCCATCGGATCGACAAAAAATGACTTTTTTCCGAAGCCTTGTGTGATTTTTTTTCTAAAATAAAGAAGAACATGTCAGATCTTATAGTATAAACGTTTTATATTATAGGCAATAGAAGAACTAAAACGACCCATGTTGCGAATACCGGATCATTTTTTGCGGTAAACCGCGGTATTTATCCGTTCTGCGGTAATGAGAGCCGGCAACCGGGCCGGTAAAACCGCCGATTTTCATGCGGTTTCTATTACATGGGATTTTTTTACTGGTATATTTTTTTAAACTAACGTTTTTCTTATCACTTATCGTCATTCCTACCTAGCTCATATATATTCTTTCAATTAATTGATAAGTACTAATCAATTATAGATTACGTTCAAATTAATTATATAACTTTATCAATTGATTGCCCAGTGAAAAATATTTCGAAAAAAAACGGAATAGAATGGTTTTATGCGGATATGGAAACCTATCTCCTACGTAGAGAATGCGTTCCTTGTTTGAGCGAATGCGTTCAGAGTCAGAAAGAAATATTCTCGATCTGAAGGAGCTCGTTCTTTACCGTTCCACACTAGTATGGAATACTTTCTTCTATACTGAAAAATCGTTCCCTATTTGAAGAGAAAGCATTCTGAATCATTCTTAAACCAGTAGAATTCATTCTAGTTCATTTTCTTTCGGAACGGTTAACATAGCATTTCATCGAAATAAAATAGCTTCCTTTTACGTTCTCTCACGAGCCTTTAAGACAATGGATTCTCTGAAGAGATGAATGCTTTCTTTTCGAAGCAAACCACATTTTCATTCTAAAATGAAAGGTCTGAAGCAAAGCAGGTTGAAATTGATGTGAGAAATGATGGAATCTTCATTCGATTTTACTTTAGGGATATTTGGTCTGATTTAGAAAAATTATTATTTTAATAACGGTTTCAGTTACAACGAATTGGAGTACGCCATTCGATAGAGCTCGTCAAGTTGCATCAGGAACAGTCTTTTGACTAATTGTAGATTCATCTATTAATGATCACCCAGGTGATCAGAAAGGTTAGCCGTTTTAAAGAAGAGAAAGCGTTCCACAAGTGGCAGAATGCATTCTTCGCTGTTCCATTTCGAAACGACAAAGAACACCTTCTTAGAATGATAGGATGCGCTCTTGTTCGTTCCATTTGAGAACGGTTTCCATTTGTTGTGGAACGTTTTCTTTTCTTAAAAAAAGAGCTTCAGTTCTTTTGGAACGCATTCTTTATCGTTCTTTTTTAGTAATATTTTTCACTGGGTGACAGTCATTTATTAAAAGTGATAATATATTAAGTTAAAAGAGAGAACATTTTTTAAAGGTATCTTTTCACGAGAATAGATACTAGTGTATTAAGTTAGACAATATTGATATAATTTAGATATGGATTGCTATATTTTTAGATACTACATTAAATGCATGCCTAGTAAAAATACTTGATAGTCCTGGCCGCCTCTTGCTTAAAGGTTTTCATCAATCTTTGTTTCTTCTTCATCTCATACTTTGGGTACAGTGTACATATCTGAGTTCAATTATGAACAAAAATGTTTTCCACGAGTCTACCATAAAATTCACTCAGTAAAATGAGAAAATAATTTATTGTATGATAAAAAAGATTCGTCCAGATTTTTTTCCAAGTTTTTTCGAGTGAGCATCTTAGCACTATGACTGAAAATAAAGACGTAGTTCTTTTATAAATAAATTTAAGTCATTAACATTATCTAATTTACTGTTACACTCCAATAAATCGATGAAAATGTAAATGAGCATTGTAGATAAAGAATCGGGTGGCAGTGGCATCTATCATTGAAAAATATATAATATCAATACTATGTCAGGAATGAAATTATTGGTACTTTTTCTCCCGTTCCCTATTAAGTAATGAATCATCGGAATACCACCAGATGACGTTTTTTTTCTGTATCGACAAATCTGAAACCATTTTGTTTCAAATAATTACATCATTTGTAAGCATTTAGTATGGCGAATCAAAGTTTAAAACGTAAACTGGATTCATCAACTGAAACTAGCTCAGTGCCAAGTCGCTCTCAAATATTAAATGAAAAATTATCTCGTCGCCCTGATCGTCATCAATTAATTGAACAAGGAATATTGCATGATTCACAATGTGCACCAAGTCTTCAACACGTTGAACATGCTCTTAAACGAGCTCGGCTTGCAGATGAATTAAATATTCACCTTTTAAATCGTCCTGGTCCTTTAGATTTAATTCAACATAATATTCTTCATCTTGATAAAAATGAATATCCAAATTTAGAACAAGCAATTCAAGGTAATTCATTCATTCATTACAAACTTGAGAAGTTCTAGAAAAATAATGTTTAGGTGGTCAAATTCCATTTAAACCTACTTCATTACCTCGGCGTCCACTTATATTTCATGAATATACTGGTTCACCATCATCATGCAAACCAAAAGTAACAAGAATCGATTCACTTTCATCGAGTTCTAATGTTCATCAAATACGATTAGCACAACAGCAACTTCTTCTTGAATTAACATCAAATGAACAACAATCATCACTGCCATCCTCATTAGTCAATAGAAAACCACTTGAACAAATGACACTGGTCGAACTTCGGGATGTCTGTAAACATTACCAAATTCCATCGTCACATGCCAATAAAACAAAATTAATCGAAAGAATTAAACAAGCACAAAATAAAATTAATAATGAAGGTAACCCCATAGTTTTTTTTAATCTAATCTGTTCTATTTTCTTTCTAAAATTAACACAGAATAATATAATGAATGACTTTGATTGAAAAGAATTCGTATTAAGCTTTTAGAATAATCGGAATAATATGTCATTTATTTAATATTGAATTTATATAAATGTTTGTTTTTACAAGACAAATCTTTCAAAACCCACTAGCAACATATTAATTATAAGTGAAGAAAAGCAATCTTGATGGAAATTTATTTTCTACTAGAAAAATCAGCATTCGTACAATTGTACCGTTGAGGTCATAAATAAGAATCATGAGATCTATTGATGGAAATGATTGGACATCCATTTTCGATTATAGTGATTCTATTTTGTTAGTTTCTTCGATAAATTAATGTAAATCATTCTATAATGTGTAATATTTAAAACAGATAGTTTTATTTTAATCCTGAAAGTTTTCATAGAAAATCTCTTGATCATCTTGATTGAAATAAACATTTCAAATCAATGAAAGCATTTTCAGTTGTTCATCGATTTATTAAATAGTGTTTAATAATTTTTTTTGCAATGATAATATAAAATTCAATAGAGTGAGATGTTTATATTGATCGATTATTAACATCGGTCCTATGGTCTAGCGGTTAGGACATTGGACTCTGAATCCAGGAGCCCCAGTTCAAATCTGGGTAGGACCTTTTTCTTCTTTCCTCATTGTAAATACTGCCGTCTATTATAAAGTAAGAGAAAATCAACAATTTTTTTCTTCTCTTCTTCTTTTTTTCTTTCTTTTGACGAAGGTAATTTTTTTGCCATTTCAATATCTAGAGAAATTCAGAAATTATTGTATTAAATTAAACAAATGATTTTGGTTTTTAACATAGATTTATCAATATTAAAAGTAAATAACAGTGAATTATCAAATGCGGATATAATTGCATCATTAGAAATCTCGAATGTAAATGAAGACGATGTTGAACCATTATCATTATCGGAATTAGATGAAATTCTGAAATATTTTCCTATGAATTTAATAGATCGAGGAGGAGGAGAAGAAGAACAATCATCGAATGTTTCTATTGATTTTGATTTCCAAAATCCACTAGTTGATTCTCTAGCAATGAATAACGATGATTTATTTGTACAAATGTTACTTGATAATGATTATTTACCATCGTCGTCACAATCAACAACAGAACCAACGATTGATGATTTATTTTTCTTGGATAATTTGCCAACTTCATCATCATCTTCATCTTTGCCACGAATAACAAGTGTCGATGAGTTTGATGCATTTTTACGTGATTTTACACTTAATATATCGTCTCATCAACACGAAGTTTCAACACCGATTAGTTGATCTTTTTAAAGAGAAAACCAAAATAAATTTAACTGTAAAATAATAATGATTATAAAAAATATTCTATTTTCGTTTTATATTGTTTATGACAAAGCAATTAAAATTCTATGTTTTTTTGTATTTTTGTTTATTATAAAAATCTACGACAAAAAGTTTTTAATATTATTTTATTCAAAACACTGATCTTCAATAATCTTAGAGCAAATTTTTATTTGTTTTCAAAAAATTAAGTTTTTAAATAAATAATTTCAAATGTATTTTATCAGTTTTATTTCAGATTATTAATTTAATTTAATAGTCGTTTATGTGGGGAAGAAGGAGAAAATTGTTAATGAAATAAGTCATTCGAGTTCTTTTCTCATTCAAATCAATCGAACTATGTTGAATATGATCTCATATATATATATATATATGCATACAAGTAAATTTATTCTATCCACCATCATCTAATAAAAATTAATCTGCGCTTCCATCTAAATCTTTTCAATTCGAGTAGTAGATCAATATGAATTCTTGATTTACATTGAAAATGTTATTTAAAACAAAAATTATATTTGATTTGAATAATTATGCTTATCGATAAAATAAATAAAATATTAGTAAAAAATAATGCTACTTTACTGATTTAAACAATATTCATATAACTATGCTTTAGTGTAAATGAATCAATATGACATGGTTTATTTGTTTCATTGTTTTATCATTTGTATTTTGTAATCGAGCGACACTAAATACATTAGAAAAAAATTAAAATCATCTGTGAAGTAACTTTATCCTCTGAATTAAAGATAAATAATTTGAAGTTATAATTTAGATCTATAATGAATACAACGAAAAATAACATAGAAGAATGAATTCATGTTTTGAAGAAATTCCAAATGAATTGATACTTTACATATTTTGTACTTATTTCGATGGTATACAATTGTATAAAAACTTTTTCGAACTTAATTCTCGTTTTAATACTTTAATTAAGTCAATCAATAATATTCATCTTCGTCTTGAATATCAAGATAATGATAAAAGTCTCGATTTGTTTTCTTCGAAGGCTATTAGTTTATACATTGGTTCGAAACATTGAAGTATTAATTTTATTCCATTTCTTATTAATGTTCGATCGATAACATTAGCTGATCCAACAATTATACAAATAGTGAATTTATTAAAAATAGGTAAAACTATTGAACATATATCAATTATATGGTCAAATCCTTATTTAATTAATGAAATGAGTGCTCGATCATTTCATGAATTGATATTTAGTGCAAATTCATCGGAAAATCTTCGTTCATGTCGATTTTATTTACCAAAGAGCCATTGTTTATATTTAGAACCAAAACAGTGTATATTACCGTTATTACATTCAATTTATGTTCAAATATCAATTCCATCAGTTGATTGCCGTCGTACAATACGTTTATGTCCGAATCTAGTTCGACTTGAAATTGAAATAATAGATAATATTGATAATCAGGAAGAGCGAATTACCGTTGTAAGTCATTGTCAGCATGCAAATATTCGACGCTTTCATATATATAATCTATTATCACTTGCTGTATTTGATATATTAATGGGATATTTACCAAATTTAGCAAATTTATATATATCAATGAGATTATCCTCACATCCAATGGATGTATTTGAACAATTATCGAGTATAATTCATCGAATCGATCATTTAAAACAATTTCATTTTCGTTTTACGACTGACTTTTGGAATTTAGGTCAACAGCAATTAAAAAGGCTTAAAGAAATAAATCCTTTTTTTCGAATACTTTTATTAAAAGTCAAGATGATGAAATTATTTTTAGTAGCTAGGAAAATATGTCGATTGGATAATACTCAGTCCGCTTGCTTTTGTTTTAGTTTCACCAATAAATTCTAACAAACCATTAATTTTGTTTTTGTTGTAGATTATTTTCAGCGAATGCCTTCACGTTCAAAGAAAATTCTTTCACCCATTCCTTTAATACCAAATGATGAACAAAATGTTACTGATCTTATTAGACAAGTAAACTTCGCTTTAGGAATTTCTCAATAAATAATAATCGAATTTAGAGTCAATCAGTATTTTCTTCATCAAATCAAAATGATATTCAAGCATTATGTGAACAATTAATTGATATTCTAATTATCTCATCCTCAACTGATCCACCAAATACATCTTTACGAAAATGTGTTGTCAAGTAAAAGCAAATGTTTTTTTTTTGAAAAGTTATCGAAATAAATAAAACAAAATTTTCTGCATTTGCTATTTTAGAGGTTTTTCTTATTTGCAAACAAATCAATATGATAATGTTGTTAACCAATGTACTAAACGTTTAGAAGTATTTTTTAAACGACAAGGAAAACAGCATAGAATTGAATATATTTCTATGTTAAATTATCTGATTGAAAATTTCCCATTTGGTAATTTGACTTCGATTTATTTAAAGATTTTAGTCTAATTGAATTTGTATTTTTAGGCTTAGTTTGTGTATTCAATATAAAAGATACAAGTGAGTATTTCTAGTGAAATAAAATAAAATAATTCCTTACCTTCATATTTAAGTTTCTAATCAATTGATTTCAATCGGTGAAGAAATTTGGTCTGATATACAGTAAGAGTTTATATTTCTTTTTGAATTTCATTCAAACACTTGAACCATTGTGTTACAACTGCTTAGAATTCTTTAACTTTGCATTTTGATAATGTATATCTTTCTATAATTTTAATAATAATTTCGTAGAAGAATCCTTGATTTTGTTTTCATATCACAAATGATTGAACAGTATACGAAGCAAAATTAATATCTAGATTTATATAATGTAAAATAAAAGCATAATCAAAAGATGATTTTTAGGGGATTCATAATATACGTTATCATGTCTATTTCAATTCTTTATTTCTCATCAAAAAAGAAGAACAAAGAAAATATTACTGATTAGAATTATTCATTATTTTTTCCGTTTTTTTGTTATTAGTTTGTACATGAAAATAATTTTAGTAAAATAGTAGATATGAAGATCTGTTCAATAGATTTTTCTTTACTTAGATTAACAAATGTTCCACATCATCGATTTAATCTTTTTCAACAACTTCAATATTACTTGAAAGTGGTTGTTTTTCTTTTACCTAAATTTCATGATGAACTTGAAAGTGATGGAATTATATCTCGAATTATTCACGAAATGCTTAACGATGGTTTATTTATTTTACTCAAATGAAATTAAACCAAACAAATTTTGTTTTGTTTTTTTTAGAAAATCGAGTGACATTAGAAATTCGCTTGACGTGTTCATTAGTTTGGCATCTTTTGAAAGAAAATGAACAATTATCACCAGATGAAAAAGTCGGATTTGTTTATCTTTGTGTCAATTTTTTCTATATAGCTATATTGTCTTTTGTAGGTTGATAAAATGAAAAAAGTCACTTGCGTGACAATGTCTCGATTAGCGTTATATTTTGGTTTGATAAAAACAACAATAATAAATCAATATCTTGATACAAATTTTTTTGTTCGATTATTAGAAGAAGTTCTCGCTTTTAAAACGTATATTGTTTTTCTTTTAGGAGTTTCTTTTTTTTTGCTGAATTATTTTCTTTTTGTTTCAGACGTGATGCGACCATTATGGTTGGAATATCAAAAGCATTAGAAACTTATTCCGAAGCTTTAAAGTAAAAAAATACTCAGTTAAAATTAATCTATAAAAATATATTTTAGTTCGTCATGGCATAATCTTCATATAGCTTCATTAGAAAACATAATTGACAAATTATTAGCTTTTGCTTGGGATCATTTTAGTTTTAATGTTGAAGTAATTGAATTTTTGTTAGAAAATTATTATTATGTTTATTTTTGTTTTGTTTTAGACTGTTCGACATTGTTCAACAAATATTTATTCAAATACTTTCAAAATTAGCATGAATCATAGTATGTTAATTCATATATTTCAAAATAACTGAATCTTTACTCTGTTGACAGAAACGTATAGAATAGCATCATTTATTAATTATCTTATGTATTATTTGAAAAACAACACCAAAGATTATTTTTGCGATAGAAAGTACTTTTCTAGTTCTATAATTATTACTAATGCTTCACAATCGTATGTATCGAGAAATAAAATGGCAATGACAATTCCGTAATCCGTCAGTTTTGAAACATACCAGTATAGAATAGTGATCAAAATAGAGAATGAATTATTCAATCTAAAAAAGTCTATTTCAAGAAAATAGTTTGTTTCTATCAAATTTGACTGATCTATAATAATAAATGCGTTTTAAAAAGAAAAAAAATTGATATAGAAAATTCTTTTTAAAATTTTCCATAGATTGAGATTTTTGGACTCACAAAATAACATTAGTGTATTAATCATCATACTGAGTTATAATTTTGACATAATCTCTCGAATTGAAAATGTTGATATGAATTGAGTTTAAGATGATAAATTCAATTGTTACAGTTCATAAGAAATAAATTATAAAATTAGCAATACTTCGAAGTCTGAAATGATAATTTTGACTCGACACTTTATCCGTTTTTTTGCTAAATAAATACTTGAAAAATCTTTTTTTTTAAATAAAATTCGAGTATTTTAGATGATCTTCGTCAGTCAATTATTGACTCTCAATTAACATTATTAAAACAACTTCCATGGCAAAAAGATGGATGTTCATTAGCTTATCATACACTTCTTGAATATGTATCTGTTAGTGATATTCTTAAATGGAATTTAAAATTAGCAGAATCATGTCTTATGGCTATGAATGATCGTGGATTAGCATCAGAAGTAATTTTATTTAATAAAATATTTTTCATTTTAAAATCAAAGAATTTTTTAAGGCAAGTTATCTCTATTGTGTCTTATGTCATAAACATCGAGAAGAAGAAAAATCAACAGAGATATGGAAACAAACTTGGTTGAAACCAGTTGTTGATGCACTTGATACATCAACACCATTACATAGATCTCTTATTGCTGAAGTAAATCATCTTAAAAGTTCTTTTTTTAATTTAATTAATTAAATATTTTGGTCAGTATATTTTACCGAAAATTCTCAAAGGTCATCCAGAATATTTACAAGATCTAAAAGAAATAACAGGTTGATTGACGATGAATAAAAATTCTTTGAATAAATTTCTTTCTAATTTAAGTTAATCCTCGTACATTAATTGTTTGTACACGTATTGGTCGAACATTAGGTTTATGCCCAAATTTATTTTCATCTTGTCCATTTATTGAACATGATTTAATTCGACAAGGAATAACAAGTGAAGATGAACAAGTTTGTTGGCATATTTCTTTTCTTTTTTCAATTTTTGTTCATAAAAATTACAAACCATTTAGATTTGTCTTGATTGTTTATTTATTCTTTGTGAAAATCCCAAAACAACAGAATATTTAAGTAAAATTGAATTTGAATTAATAAAATATTTTCTTCAAATGAATGTTGATAATGGTTCAACATCGTTTCGAAATCAAGTTTTATCGTTACTAAAAAAAGTATTTTCTAATTCTATGTTATTTTAACCGTTTAAATCATTTACTATTTGTTTAGCATTTTATTCGCGTAAAAGACAGCTGGTTATTTTGTGCAAGACAGAAATTAAAAAAAAAAGATCAAGATTTTGATGATTTAACAGAACGATATCGAGTTTGTTTTTATTGTTTTATTCAACAACAAAAAAAAGAACTGTTTCTTTTCTTAAGAATTATTTAAATTGGCTAATTAATTGGTCGTGTTCTAATTTATATTTGGAAGGATCCTATTCTCAACGGCATTTATCAATTTTAATTCTTCATTGGTTAATTCATTTACATGGAAATCAAGGAGTAGAAACTATTTGCCGTAAGTTATTTTCATTATTTTCAGTTTTATTTCTATAAATGAAAAATAAATCAATTTTTTGTTTTCTTCTTCTCTAAAGACAAACTAAATTTATATGTATTTACCGAATTAATTGAAAAAAAATCTATGGAAAACTTATTCAATTGCTTATGGGATACATATGAAGATATACGTGAATATTCTCTTGAAATCATAATTAAAATGAATGTAAGTTTTTATTTCTTTGATAAATAATCCATTTGATTAAAGATTCAATTGTATTTTTTGCATAAATATTATTCAACCATTGATCAGGAATCGAATTATAAATAGCACCACTTATTTGTAAATAAAGTGTTAAAAGAATATTTTCATTCGAATCCAAAGGATTAAGATATTGACATTCTTTTCGTTCGATAAATTGTTTTTCTAAAGCAAGTTGAACACCTTGTTCAATATTATTATTATCATTTAAAAGTAAATCAATTAGGTCAAAAAAAATTCTATTTATATAGTCATTTGAATCCTTTTTTAATTTAATCAAATTAATACTTTCTTGTTTCGACAATCCATTAAGAGCATTAGCAAGTAATTCAATATAAGCAACAAACACATCCGTTGATGTTTCTCTTCCAAACATTCGTTTAATACAATCGTTGACAATTTCAACACGTTTAGAATATGAATGCTTTGAGTAAAAATAGCTAATTGGAGACATTTGAATTAATGCTGCAGGTTTCAATGAAATTTTATGTGGGTTTTTATCCATGTGGATTTCAAGACCTAATCCTTGAGTTGCTAGACTTTCACCGAATGAATCAATAATCTTTTTAATATGAGTACGTGGAGTAAAACAAAGACCAGTTGGACACATATAACTGAAAGTTTTAGTTTGTTTATAAAAATTAAGAATAAATAGAAAATAAAAATATCAAACTATTTTTTTTACCCATTCATCCACCATCGAAAATATTGTTGTAATAAATGTTCTTGAGAATATTCTCCATTATGAGCTAAACTTGCTAAAAAACATAATGCTAATGAAACGTCATCGGACCAAACTAAACTTAAATCATCTTGTTTTGAACATTCCTTTTCCATTTGAATATGTTCAATAACATCAGAATCTATATTGCGTGATAAAAGGTGTTCTCCTGACGTCATTGCATATACTGATGATAGAAGACGAGAATAATTTTCATTATGATCATTCAAAGGTGGGTCAATAGGAGACATTCCATTTGGACGAATATTCAGTTCAATAATCCAATCTTTGTTTAAACATTCCAATGGCATTTTATTTTCGCTCTGCTTTTTGTAATCGAGAAGTAAATCAAATAACTATGAGTACCGAAATCCAATACAAAAAAGATATTTTAATACTCTAAAACAACGAGAAGCAATGATAAAAAGATAAGCATTCGTGCTTTTTTTGTTTTTTCATTTTCAAACATAGGTCACTAACATTAATGATGACCTTCGAATTCGAACATTATTTGATCGAATACTACAATTATTATCTAGTACACAACCCCCTGAAACAGCAAGTGGTGCAACACTTGTTCAATGTATTGCTCAAATAAATATTACAAATCTTCCAGAATTAATAAATTGTGATATCAAACAAGAATATGATCAGATATATTTATTAATTAATCATATAACTAAAAGGTTAGATAGTGAAGTTCAACACGCAAAAATTAATTTACTTCAAGCTGCAAAAAATGGGCCTATGTATGGTTGTTTAAGTGGAATCAATGCACTTTTAACCATTATTCATCATGATAAGTAAATATAGACATTTTTATGCCAAAATAAAAGAAAATAAAAAGAAAACTTATTTTTATTTAGATATAACAATCAAAAACAAATAAACGAATGGAGAATTGTATTTGATCATTTAATTAAAATATGTTTAGAGATCGCATCAATAACTGGTCCAATAGTTAGTTCATCATCACCTGAAGGAATGATGCCAATGGAACTTACTGATAGTTTGTCATTTACTTTATAATTTTATTTAAAAAATTGTTCGGCTGATTCTTTTTTCTATAGTAAGTGGCAAAGATGAAGATGAAAGTTCTAATGGGCAAATAACATCACAAATGTTATTAGTATGTTGTTGGAGAACAATTAAAGAAATTTCATTATTATTCAGTCGTTTGGGACAAATTGGAATAAAATATATTCAAAATGAAAATCAGTATCGATTTATTAATTTAAAACAAGTTGATTATTTCCTTATGAAAATAATGATCTATTCGTTTCTGTCGTCTTTTTCGTTTAGGTTCATATTATATGCAATTATTATATGGAACAATTATTAAAATCTCGTCATTGTGGTGCATATGAATTAGCTTATACAGGTTTTCTTATTATTTGTGAACAACTTTGGAGGTTTTATTTTTAACTATGAATTCATTCTTGTTGTAATTTAATATTTTAGTTCAAATTGTGATGAATTATGTAATCTACCAATTAAATGGATTGAAAATGGAATAAAAATGGTTCAAGAAAATAATCTTGATAAAAATAAATTATGTTTAACACGACGATCAGGTGGTTTACCGTTTTATCTTCAATCGATATTAACTGATGAACCAATTAAACAACGTGGACAACAAAGAACATATGTTGCTAAATTAATGGAAACTCTATTAAATATTATTCAAAATGATCCTGATACAATACAAATAGATGGACAAGTTTTAGAAAATAGTCGAAAGGTATTTATATAAGACACTGAAAATATTATTTTTCATAGTTTATTGTTTTGAAAGATAAGTTATATCTTTCAATAGTTGGATCCAGGACGAATATTGACAACAATGGAGTAATGAGAAATAAGAGACGCTATCTGTATAGAGCAACAAAAGAAAAAAAATGATACAATTCTCTTTCAATGCAATATAGTCACCAAATCCATGATTAAGATATTGATTTTTATTTCTGTAAGGTGAAAATCAGTTTGAATTTTAATCGATCTTTCATCAATAGTATTTCAATAATCTACCTATAACGTAATAAAGAGAGACACAGATTAATGTACAAAAATAGTCTAAAATAGTCTAAAATTAGAAAATTATTAATAAGAAGGTTCGTTATTTGAACAGACAAAATGAATTAATATTTCTTTTGCAAAATTGTTTACGTTGAAATCAATCGATCTCTCATTGTTTAGTATGAAAATTTACCAAGTTTTATCTCTAATTGAAAGATCAGGGTAATAGGTTGAAATTAATTTAATTTTTTCCTCGTATCGATACTTTTTTGGAGTTATTTAAAATAATCTGAGTTGTTATTTATCTATCTACAAACTCAATACCTTGATGAAATATGATTCATGAATTGAAAAGTAGATGACAAAGTAAAGTTAAAACAATGAATGTCAAAAGTATAAATATCGAATATAATTAAATAAACGGATTGAAATTATCAATAGATTCATGCATACAATACAGTTCGTTCATTTTATCGTAATCAACGATTTGCTAATGATGTATTTCCATATATTGAACGTGGTCTTCATTTATCGATAACTGGTTTTACATCATCGATATGGATGATAAGAAATAGTGCAACATTATTACTATCAACAATAGTTCAAAGAATTTTTGGTCCATCAAAAACAAAAGATGGTGAAGAAAATTTATCGAAGAAAAATAGTATGACGTCAAGAGAATTCTTTAATAAATATCCATCATTATTTCATTTATTCTATCAACAATTACAACAAACCACAAGGTTCTTTTTTTTATTTGAATAAATAAAATAATGATGAAAATTCTATAATTTTACTTTTTTAAGTACTCGATCATCAATAGAATCATTATCATCATCATGTTTATTTGCAATACTTTTAATTCTTCGTCGTCTTTATCCAAGTCCACTTGATGGCATTGATTGTTCTCTTACATTAGATAAACTTTTACCATTTGTTATTAAGTAAAAACAAATTTTCGAATTTCTAACCACGATTTTAATCTTTAACGTCAATAGATGTGAAGAATCTCCCTTATTACGTATACGAGAACATTCATCAAAAGCTCTTTTAGCTTTAATTCATCATGATCAATATTCAACTATAATTAATCAACAAATAAGCCAATTAATGAAACAACCAAAAGATAAAATAAGACAAAATTCTCTTCATGGCCGTTTATTACAAGTATTCCATTAATTAAATATCTAATCGATCCAGTATTTTTCTTTTTCGTTTACGCATTTAGATAAATGCTATATTTGAATCAATGAAAAAGAATAATCTTCAATTTACATTTGATTCTTCGTTTAACTTACAAGACATGCTTTCATCACTTGAATGGTGTATCTATCAGTTAGTATAAATATTTTCATTGTTTTAATTTTACTTACTAGAATTCATAAAATGACTTCGTTTGTTTTGTTAATTATATTGCAGTATAAAAAGAATTAAGAAATGATATTATCAGAAATAGTAAAGTTGATAGATAAACGTATAAACTGACTTTATCTAAAGTTTATTTAGACATGATAAGAAATTTTCTTTGTTCGAAAGTAAATTTATTTGTTTGGTTTATTTTATCAAGCATTAAATGATTATTATTAACAGAAATAGAAAAAGCAATGTACTGAACCAGTTTAGTCAGAGATTTTAAATAGTATCAATCAATTTTTATTTTCAATCAAGAATCTTTTAATACATAAAAGTGTGCTAGAAAAAAAAACAAGAATTATTTCATCTAAAAATTGATTAAGAATTCCAAATGAAATAAATTAAACATCTTTATTTTGTTAATGACATTAATATACACAGAAAAAACAAACAAAATGCATCATTAGAAACGTCAAAAGAGATTTTTCAGTGTGAATTTTTCAAGTATTTTCATAGACTGCTTTTTTCTAATTGTCTATTGTTGAGATACACAAATCAAACGCGAGAAATGAATTTTATAAGAGACACATCGACTCTTTTAATATTGCTTTTTCATTATCGTGTTGTAATCGAATTATATTATTTTTAATTCATCGATCATAATGAACGAAAATCTTAAAATAATATTCTCATTTTTTAATTGAAGAAATAATTGTTCATTAACACAATGCTGTTATTTGGAATTATTATACAACATACATTGTCAAATCGCTTCAAATGATTTAACAAATAGTATAACTCATTATATGAGCAACATATTAAAAACTGCTGATAAAGTAACAATTGGAAGTGATGATTTAACTCGTATATTGACTCGTTTAATAATTCGTCTTGAAAATGTTCAAGTTCAATTCAAACTTTTCATGTTTGTTGAACAAACTCGAACAGAATTATCTTTTGTTGAAACACTTGTATTAGAAAACCATTTATCATTATTTGAAAATAATCTACGACAATGGGTTACAGATTTGTTATTAACTATGGATTTATTCAATGAACAACTCTATACTAAAGTAATTCAAAAAACAAATTATATTCTTTTTCATTTAATTTCTAAAAGAAAATTATTTTAGGCATGTGAATTACTTTTAAAAATCAATGATAAAACACATAACTATGAACGTTTAACTAGACGCATTGTTGAATTGATTGAAAAATTAAGACGGTAATATTTATTTATTAAAAAAAAATAAAGAAAGACAAAGACAAAGTCTTCTCATTTCTAGTCCAATGAGTCTTGCAGCTAGTTTTAATTTAATTAGTGAACTATTGCCTTTATGTTCGTCATCAAAAAACAATGACGAAGACTTAATCAAACTTGTTTATGATCGAATGAATGATTTTGTTAATGGTGAAAGTAATGATGAATGCGCTTGTGCTATTCTCAATCTTCTTAGTAAAGCTCGGTCATGTTTATATAATTCATGCAACGGTAAAGATTGTATCTTTTTCGCTCTGTTTTATTTTTATTTTTATTTTATCTCAGCGGAAAGGAAATGCCAATATTGGGGATTGATTTTGAAATTATCTTCATTTCCATCTGATGCTGTTCGAGAAACATTTATCAAAGTTACTCCATTGATTATTGACGATCAACGTCTTTCAGGTTATTTTCAGTTGTTTGATATGTTTTTCTATTTAGTGAATTAATTTTTATTTTAGGTGTATTTGGTGCTAATTGTTATTTGACGCAAAATATTTTATTTGAGTATTTTACATGCGATGCATTATTATATTCAACAAGTGATTTATTTGTTAATCTTGTTGTGAATTTATTCATTGATTTATTACGTGAAATTAATTCGAGTGATGAAGATGAAGAAGAAATTAGTCTTGATCGTCGTTTATGGCCATCATCTGAAGGTTACAATAATGTATTTGTAACTCAAAATGAAAGTTGTGATCATTATTGTGCTTGTTATGGAAAACATCTTCTTTCTGCATTGAAAAGAATTCTAGGAAAATCTTCACAAGTAAATATTGATAAAACAATTGCAATGATACGTGATCAATGTAATCGATTAATTGATATTCAAACAGAAGCTTATAATCGATTTCTTATAAGACAAAGATCAACAGTTCGATTAAATTTAATGATCGAATTCCTACGCATTACACATTCATTACAAGGAATTCAACTAGAAAAATTACCTCAACAATGGACATCTCATTATTAAAACAAGATCATTCCGTTGATTTGATTTTCAATAAACTTTGTCTTGTTTTGATTCTTTTTTCAAAAGAAAATAAAAAAAGACTTTTTAGGAAAAGAATATTAATAGTGATTATTATCATTTTTATACAAATCCAATTCAATGTTATAAATAACAACCAAACAATTTAAAACAATGAATTATTTACAGCCTTTTTTTTCATTAAATTTATATTTGGATTAAAGGATGTTGCGAAATCAGGAATAATTGTTCGATCCTGCAGTACGGAATATTAGCAAGGATTCTTAAAAAAATGATTTCACTATTCTTTCTTTTAATTTAAAAGTTAAGATTATTTTATATTTTTACGTTATTTACAAATAGAGTACCGATCTATAGCATTTGTTGCATATTCTCATGAAAGTTTTTATTTTCATGGATAAGTTAAAGAGAATCATCTAAAGATGCTCTTTTGATATGAATAATAGTTTATTTCGTTCTAAGAAACTCTATTATGTAGAATATAGGGTGTGGGTGTGGGTGTGGGTGTGAGTGCGTGTCGGTGTGGATATGTGATCTGATAGGACCCACACTCACGTTTGAACTAATTGTGTATACAAATGAATCTCGGCAACAATCGTCTATAATGTGACGATTTCTGTCGTGAGAGAGAGAATGCTTGTGTTAACATTGCGGTCATTTTCTTCCTGAGTTTGTAACAATCGTTACAGCTAGTGAAGCAGAAGTCTTCATTTTGATGTTAGACAATTGCTTGATTAAAAGTATCGCGCTGGATAATAGAGTAGTAAAATACATTTCCTATAAAGATTGAGCGAATAGAGATTTTGAAACTCAAGACAAATCGCATTTATATTTATCCATTGTCATCTTCAATTACGAAAAACTTGATTTTGTTTTCTATGGAGATTTCAAACACTAACGAGATGTATAAAATAAAACTTCTGCATTCGTGTGTGAAATTTATGTCGTTTGGTAAAGTCTTTTATGTTCAATAGGTCGAAGTAAATTTAAAACTTTTCCAAACGTCTATCATCAAAAATAGTTGTGCGCAGTCAGAAAGTTTTCATATTAGACAGCCCGAACGAATAATTATTCGTAAGTCATAGGTAAGTCTATGTAACTGAAATTCTTCAACTTGATCAGAAACATTAATAGAGCTCGGAATCGTCAAGATTTTCAAATCCATGTTCAATCGATTATTATTGAAGAATTACATGATCTATTGAAGTGGACATGATTTTAAAAATTCAGCTAAAAGTAATCGACGTCATATTGTCTCAGTGCCAATTTGGTAAACAACTGAGTAAATTAGTGCGTTTATTTTACAAATATCCAAATAGAAAGCTATGAGTTGAATCAAAACATGCAGGTTTTATTTTATTCACACTATCATCATTTGACGTCTGCATTATTATTATTGTAATTGTATTGATTGTGGTTTCGATTTCTTAGTTTTTATCAGAAGTCTCTTGATGCTGAGATCTGATGTTGTTTGTAGTTTATTTCTGAATGTATCTCGATATATTTAGATTCTTCACAACAGTATAAAGACTATGTAATTATAGGGTAACAGCAGAAGAGAGAAAATGATACGATTAAATATCCCATATATTATGAAGAAGAAAATAAGATCATTGAAACAAGTTTAGAAAAAAGGAAAATGCGCTATATGATTTGATAGGAAACAAATTTATGACGCACGGCTAAAGAAAATGAGAAGAACTTATATATAAATACAATCATATAAATAAAGATGTGGATCGCAATTTGTCCTTCAAAAGAAGAACCTTCGTTTGACATCTGATTGTTAACCCTTTACGGCCGGATGTTGTCATTTGGCAACATTGTGCCGGTATTTTAAGAAAAGTCTAGCTATACTGTGAANGCCGATAGATGAATAAGAGATCAAGTTATTTAAAATAGTCACAAAATGTATCGACAAGGTAGAAAGATTATTTTAATTTCAACATATGTATTTGAACTTTCGATTCGAGATAGAGTTTGGTAAATATGTGTGTAAGACAATAAGTGATAAATTGATTTCGATGTAATATTCACGAAAAGAATTTCACAAAAAAAGTGCGGTTAATCGCAGCAGTCAGACCGTTTATTCGTCTCCTGAAATAATGCTAAAAACCGTGATTTTCAAAAGATGCGGTTTGTAAAGCTGCAGAAGGTTGATAACAACGATTTCTCAAAACCGCGTTATATTCATAGCTGACGTAACTGGGGTGTGGCGATTCCTACCTGATCTTATTGTAGGAGATCAGGTAAAATACCCTTCGAGGCATAGTGAATGGTACTATAAAGTTTCATTACTTAGTAGCCATTTGACAGCGGCAAAGTTACGTTAAAATTTAACATTAAACGTAGTAGAAAAACAGGACACGATATACATTTTGCCGTTATGCATTCCTTCACAACCAAAGTGTATAATGAAAGTTGTTAATTAATCATTTTAGCACCGAAGTCGCAGTTAGCCCCGTTCGTTTCTGTGACACAATGCTTGACCTCGGTTTTTCTCTAAAACATTTTCTGTAGGCAGTCGTTGAAAATTGAAAATAAACTAATCATTTTGCGTCATGCCACTTCGTAGACTAATAATTGATAGATAGACTGGAAAAGATAAAAAGTCTGGATGAAGAGTTCATATAAAATCTATGGAATTTTCCCCAGAAATCAATCAAGACTCATCCAATTTAGCGAAAAGAAAACAAGAGTTTAATGAAATATTTTTTATTTGACGAACTTTTATCATTATTAAAAAGGAGAGAAAAAGATTTACCTGGTAAATCTATAGCAAAACAATATTTATAAAGAATCTTGCGCAAGAAGTTCCTTCAGTGCTTTACAAGGATCAGTATCAGTGTTTCTATGTATATCAGTCGATGTTCATTTTGATGTCAACGAATATAATCGTTGGCATTCTTCAAATAGACATGCTCCACTGAAAAAAAAACATACATACATAGCAGGCGCCACATTTGATTTCTATTGGTGAAACGAAGTCGTATCTGATTGACGCATTAACGCTAAGTCGTCTATTTAATTCTCTTTTAACTTTTCTAGCGACCATGGATCAATTCTGTTTTAACGATTCTTTGTTTTACCCTACGAATCATCATCCCATAATAGAAACATTGATCTTAAATTTTGAACTGCGAGCTGTTGATACACTGCGTTTCGGTAACATGAATAGGCTGATAGAACAAAGCATAGTGTACATTGTACACAGCTTGTGTGCATTCTTTATTACTTTTTTCGTCCGTCATGTCCACGCATATATAAACACGTGCATATGACTTATTTATTCGGATACATCTTGTTTTCATATAACAAACATATACGATGTGTAAAGCACAGATATTGGTAAGGAACACGGCCTTTTTAGTATGACTAAATGTTTCTACTTTGTTTTTAGTAAAACAAATTTTATTTGATTAAAATAAATTGACTGTGTTATCTACGTTAATAGCAAAGTTCCAATATCTTTAAATTGTTTTAACTATTATTGTAGCGATTAACAATGCCAATTTCACAAAATCGAGAAAACGTGATAATCAATAATTTTCAACAACTAATTGATCAGAAAAACAATGATATACAACAACTTCAAGATATAAATATTAAGAATGAACAAAGAATTGCTCAGAAAAACAATGATATACAACAACTTCAAGATATTAATATTAAGAATGAACAAAGAATTGCTCATTTAGAAAATCAAATTCAACGCTCACAAGGAACTTATACGCTTTATTTTGAATCATTTCTAACAAGCAATGTGTTGGAAAGCACTTGGATGTATGCCCCCATTATATTCATTGTACCAATGGCTATATACTTATTTCGCGTACGTAAATGATCGACAAATATTACAATGCATAAACAGCTATATTTGACATTTAAGTTGAATTATTGTTAATCTTCATTTCTTCATTAATCATTGTACTCATCTCTTATTAAGTGTTATGTTTTTTTCCTGATCAATTATTGTACTATTTTTCTCTATCAGATACTGCACTCATTTCGTTATTGAGCGTTGTACTCCTTCTTTTCTTTACCAATTATTGTACTTTCAGTTCATTATTGAATGTTATAACCTGTTTTTCCTTTCTCAACCAATGAATTATCATTTCTTTCTTGAATATTCTACTCCTTTTCTCTATTAGCTTTATTAGCCTTAACTGTTATTCGTTTAAATGTCCGTTCAAATATTTTTTTTTGTTTGTGATGAAATAAAAATAAAATATCTTGATATGTATTGGCTATAATACATAAGAAAATATATATCATACTTATATTTATATCGAAGGAATTAGATCAAATATATAAATTATTAATTGGATCGTAAAATGTTTCTTGAAGATGCATCAATGAATGTGGTATATCACTTCCTCTCTTGCATATTTTTGATGTATTTGTTGCACCTTGAAATGCTTTCAATTGTAATACATATGCATATACATACACAAGTGATGATTGGCGGCTACTAAAATGTCGATAGAATTTTACTTAACACTTACGATTATCTTCTCTAGTGATTAACATTATTGCGAGAGGAAATGAACGAAAAACAAACTTAAAGAGAAAAATCTTTAGATTAAGATAAATTTGATGTTAAATAAACAAAAAACACTATTTAGATTCTAATCACAACGACAAGGTTTGGTCAATGGTAGATTTTAATTGTGAACGAAAAAAAATCAATACAGATAAAGGATTTCCCATGTAAAAATTTATGGGACCTAAACGCGTTTGAAAACGCATTTTAGACGCACCTGCACACGTTCCAAAAACGAACGCGCCTAAACGCGTTTAGAGTAGATTTTGGGGAAAAGGGTCAGTTATGTTCTAGCAGATTCGGACTGCGTCACCATCAATGTCACATGACGGTCAGCTCAACCAAGAGGCACAGAACAAGTTTATATTTTTGTACTTACTTCTGTATCGTGCAGTGGCCGAGACTAGAACAGAAGATATTTTATTATTAGTCGACTTACTTAGGCCGTTTAATCACATTGGCTTACAGTATGTATCGTTTGAATATCTACTTATAGAGCCATGCGGCGCGAATCTAGAGACTTTTTTCATTTTTCTGTTTTTTTTCTCTATATCTTCGTCATTTTAACAGATAAAAAAAATATTTTGGTCCGCAACTATGTAGAGCAAACATTTTTCTTTAAGGTTCTGTTTTTGGATTTTCAAAATCTTTCCGGGAACAGCCTCTACGCTAGTTTCCTCGAGAGTCCTAAAGCGTTATCGATTCATCCCATTTTGGGCAAATAAAGAATCAATCATTGTACAGTGGGGCGAATGTATATAGTCAGCTAAATTTACCTTAAACAATAAAAGTCAAAGTTTCTCAGGCATCTTTACTCTGATTATGAAGATTCTTTCACTGATATGTAGCTCAACCATTTCTCTAAAATTGTATACGAGATTCATTTAAA